AATAATAACGTAGTTGTGCTATATGCTTCCATATGAATTCATAGGTATAGGTGCATTCTGTAAATTCTACGACCCTTTACTTCAGTAATGTACCAGAATATTTCCATTTTTTTAGGGGTGCACAGAAGCAGGTAGTAAATGCAGAACTAACAAAATCAGATCCTGAAACAGTTCAGGGAATTCTTGAAATTTGCTCAAAGAGTTTTAAACCAGTAAATGAACCACATGTTTATATATCAAGCAGGTAATAATTTTATTTATTTTTAAAAATCAGTGTGATCAACAGATATTAGGTGTCTCATTATTTATACTATCTCTCTTCATGACAGAACAGATCGCGGAGTCCATGCACTGTGTTCATCTGCTCACGTAGACTTGGAACGTAACGGTTGTTTGAAATATGATCCAGCACATTTAACTGTTGCTTATAATCGGTATTTCATTAATGCAAACGTTGACCTTAGGTAAGGAAATATCTTTGTATTGGTATCAAATCACATGTTGAAAGAATGATAATAAAAACATGCAAATGACTTACGACTTCACACTTTCCAGTTCTGGTTAATCCATTGCTTGTGCATGCTAGATTCTGAACTCAGACATTTTTTTAAGACAAGCACAAGAAGTGTTTTAAAAACATTTAGAATCTGTTGAATACTTAAATGAATTAAACATCTCCCAAAGCCAGTAAAGAAAGAGAAAATTAATTTTAAGATTATTTCAATACCATAAGAGTAAAATTAAAATTTCCAAGAAGTATAAACTTTTATAGAAAATAGAGGAACTTTAGAAGAATTTCGAACAACAATTTTAAATGCTATCATAACTTCCTGTAATTATGACATTTCAGAGTTCAGAGTGTGCATATTGTGCCCGAGACATTTCACGCTCGTTACAGTGTTAAATCTCGAACATACTTGTATCGTCTGGCTGTGAGGAATCCAGATGCTCCACCTCTCAACAAAAGTAGTGCTTACATGGCAGAAATTCCATTTGTTGAATGGAACAGATGCCATTTCATTCAGTAAGTAGCTATTAGTCACAATAAATATAACTGACAGTTCCACAGAGTATTTAACATTGATTGTAATAGATAAAAGAAGTAATTTGACAGGTTATGTGGTATCACCTATTGATAAAGCTGATAAACCTGCTGAATTTTAGCTGCATCCACACCATATATAATTATATTAGCCTCACCTTGATTATCCTATAGTGGACTGTTTTAAAGTTGAAATGTTAAGAAATTAATTTAAGATAAGCACATTGAAAACCAGCTGTGAAGCCCTGAAATATATTCATAAGTACAGCATGATACAGAATGTACTTTTTAGTGGATATGTTGGAAACAATGCCTATGACAGTGGACATTTGCTAGACCAGAACTGTCTAATTTTTAAAACCTAGCTATGTTCTGACTTTCCAGGAATGTGGATAAATTTGATATGTCACTATTGAAGGCTGCAGCTACTCTCTTCCCTGGCACAAGGGATTTCCGTACATTTATGGGACAGAGTGCCGGGAATTCTCACATAACCACCGTTAAGGAAATGTACAAATTGGACATCAGTCCTGGCCGACCTTTGATAGGAGCTGAATACTGTTCGTGCTGCTCACATTATAGTTTCTGGGACATCACATGCCAAGGCAGATCATTCCTTTATAGACAAGTAATGTGAATTTCTTACAATATGAAATCCACTTTCTTCTTAAATCAATATCCATATGAATTTTTGGATCTGTAGAGAATAAGTCTTAACTGATTGTGTTCTCTGATACCGGGTTTACAATTTATGTCTTTCGAGGCGCGCCCGCACCGCGCGGTCGGCTGGTGATCTGTTGACGTGGGCGGGACTAGTCCGTGTTCTTCCCATGAGTAACAGGCAAATCAGTTTCATTGCCGCTAGTAACAAGGAGCTGCGAGTGTTTCTCGTCACTGATACATGTTATTACATTAATTGTTCTTACCTTAAATCACAAAAGATGTTCAAAGTGACTTCCTTGTGCTTGCAGGCAAGCTTCACATCTCGTTAACATATTTCTAAATACTCGACGAAGCTCTTCTGGGATATTGCCAAAATGAATTGTCGTTTCCTGTTCTTCTTTTTATCCAAAACTGATCCTGTACTACGAATTTTTTTTACTAAGCTCTCTATCATGGGCCTGCTAGGAACACTTATACCAGGAAAATGTCTGCGAAATTTACAGCGGCATCTTCCGTAGGATGAATATTTGGCATATGTTTCGACTAAGAACACACGTTGCTTAATACTATACACCATATTATCAACGTCAATCCGCTACAAGAGACGCAATGAAACTGATTCGCCTGTGACTCATGGGAAGAACACGGACTAGTCTCGCCCACGTCAACAGATCGCCAGCCGACCGCGCGCGCCTCAAAAGACATAAATTGTAAACCCGGTATAAAACTTTGCATGTTTTATAACTGTACACTAATAATAAGATTTTGCACAACAGGTAAGGCGAATGGTTGGAGCACTCATTAGTGTTGCTGAGGGTCATATTTCTGTTGGAGAGATCCAGTATATGTTGGAGAATCCTTCAAAACACAGCTGGAATAGCAGAATAAATGTTGTTCCACCATATGGTCTGTACTTGACTAAGGTGGAATATGATCCCCTAGAAATGGTGATGCCACAAGAAAAAGTTGAACAAGATGACAATAATAATCCAATAGATTTTGCTGAAGTGTAATGAACATGTCTTCTTAACATACTGATCAGTGCAAATTCATCGTCCAGTCCCTATCCAAATTGTTTAAAGAATTTTCAGTAAGTTAGTAGTGCTGGACTGAAATGAAAATTTGATCAATGTAATAGTATGTTAAGTGGATGACTACAAGAACAATTCTCAGACATTAAAGTACTAGGAATAAAATTTACATAAATTGTTAGAATGTGGTTTCCTGTATAATTTTTTATCCATGGACAAGCAACTCAAATTGCTTTTAATTATTAAATGCATCTACTGTGTGAAAATTAATTGAAATTTCCATTAGATATGAGTTTTCTAGAAAAAATAATAGCCCGCAAATCTTTGCTGCATTCCTGTGAAACCACAGTTACAACTATATCTGGGCACAGTTACAAGGAGAAGATTCTAGAAGATGGAACTATGGTGATGACACAGCCACAATTAACTTTGCATGTTTTATAACTGTACACTAATAATAAGATTTTGCACAACAGGTAAGGCGAATGGTTGGAGCACTCATTAGTGTTGCTGAGGGTCATATTTCTGTTGGAGAGATCCAGTATATGTTGGAGAATCCTTCAAAACACAGCTGGAATAGCAGAATAAATGTTGTTCCACCATATGGTCTGTACTTGACTAAGGTGGAATATGATCCCCTAGAAATGGTGATGCCACAAGAAAAAGTTGAACAAGATGACAATAATAATCCAATAGATTTTGCTGAAGTGTAATGAACATGTCTTCTTAACATACTGATCAGTGCAAATTCATCGTCCAGTCCCTATCCAAATTGTTTAAAGAATTTTCAGTAAGTTAGTAGTGCTGGACTGAAATGAAAATTTGATCAATGTAATAGTATGTTAAGTGGATGACTACAAGAACAATTCTCAGACATTAAAGTACTAGGAATAAAATTTACATAAATTGTTAGAATGTGGTTTCCTGTATAATTTTTTATCCATGGACAAGCAACTCAAATTGCTTTTAATTATTAAATGCATCTACTGTGTGAAAATTAATTGAAATTTCCATTAGATATGAGTTTTCTAGAAAAAATAATAGCCCGCAAATCTTTGCTGCATTCCTGTGAAACCACAGTTACAACTATATCTGGGCACAGTTACAAGGAGAAGATTCTAGAAGATGGAACTATGGTGATGACACAGCCACAATTTGGCGCTTCTCCTGGTTATGTTGTTGACACTAAACCAGACTTTCAGATGGCCTTGGTGCTACCTGGACTGTACATGGGATCACAGGATGTTATACAAGATGCTGACTTACTGCAAAAACATTCTGTTACTCACATTTTGAGCCTAGGTGTGAAGCCCATAATAATGGATGAAACACTCACTCACATGTACATTCAGCTTCTTGATCTTCCTGAGAGTAACCTTGTAAGCAATTTAGACCAGTGTTTCGCTTTTATAGATAGTGCAATACAAACTGGAGGATGCGTGTTTGTACACTGCAATGCTGGTATTTCAAGGTCGGCATCAGTGGTTATAGCATATCTCATGAAAAAACAAGGCATGAGCTATCAGCAGGCATTTCTCTACCTGAAGGAAAGAAGAACCATGATTAATCCAAATCCTGGATTTGCCCAGCAATTGAAAGACTATGAAAAAATGCTAAAGACTCTGGATGGTGAATAGCTGCATTGTCTTAGTAGAATTTGTCAATCATATTCACATGTTACATGTTTTCTGTGCTCATGGGAAATGTGAGATATATTCTCAAAATTCCAACATAACTTTTATATTTAAATTATTAAATGGTTTAATATATAACTGAGATGATTTGCATGTAAGAAATAAAGGAAAATAACCAAGTGACATAAGCAAAACTTAGAGTTTTAATTGAAAGAAGCCAAATTCTGCCTGCTGTGTTATTTGTAGTATATTTCAAAGATTGTCCCACATTATTTCATTGGCAAAAGACCTTTCAATATAACATAACAGTTCTGGAGGTTATGTTTATATAGGTAGAAGTAAAAATCATATTTCAGTTATGTATACATAATTTTAATATGCTTTACAATAAATTGTCCATATCTGTGAGGTTTTCCAATCAAAATCCCCCCCCCCCCATGTCCAGCCTACCCAACCCTCTTGATTCAATCTCTGTAATAGTAGGTGTAGAGATTATGAAGCTTCTCATTATAGTTCTGTTATCCCTCTTTTGACCGTGTGTTCTCAGTTGTGACACCTTGAATCTGTAATCTTTCTTGAGAGGGAGAGATGAAGTTTCACACCCATATAGAACTACATATAAAATTTAGTTCTGTATAATTATGTGTTTCGATAATTTGAAAAGGAAATGATACAAAAAGTGTGATATAAATAATCACATTTATTTGCTACTGCTATTTGAAATTACTTGAACTTGATCACATTTCATAGGGTTTCATGACACACTTACATCACACGATTTTTCGAGATGGTAGCAACACAAAAATTCACAACTGGAAGTAAAATAAATTTTATTTTGAACAAATGTTCAGCTGCCAGTTTTTCAGTACATAGCACATGGAAGACCTTATAAAGTTTGTATGTTGGTAATATATACATAAGGCACAGAACTACAGACTGCTATCAAAATAACTACCATCAGTGGAAGCAACAGCAAATGGAAGTACAGAAATGATAGATTATATGCAAAATAAATTTTCTTTGAGCATTGGACTAAAGATATCTTTGGTGTGATTACACCATAATTTCACCTGTGTCAGTAGAAGCCCATTATTATGTGGCTGGTGCCCCAAAAACCTGAAGTTTCTCTGAAGTTACCACGTGTATTATTGCAGCCAGGAGTTGAGAATAAATACATCCATATAAAGGACTAGCATTTAACAAAGAGACAAGTATTATTTATTTATTGTTTGTTTGGCTGTCCTTGTTTAGGAACTATTAGCAACCTGAGTTTTGACACCAATTCTTTATATATTTCCACTCTCCTGGTACTAAGAGAAATAAAGTGACAAAGAAAAATAACAAATTCGGTAGTAAACAAGGGACACTTTCATACCTTTATTAAATTTAATTCCTTTTCCAACTTTCTGTCACCAATTTCTCAGTTCTTCCTTTAGACTATGAACAAACTGGCTCCATATACTGCCAAAGTCAAGTATGCCAACAACAGCCATACTGGGGCATCTGATGTTTGTTGTCACATTATCACCGCCAAGGTAACGGCAAAGTTGTCCCCAGCGTTTGACCAAACACCACACCATACAGATATATGGGGGAATGGCTCTGAAAAAATAAGAATTTGGCAAGTCTTCAATAAAAGTAATATTAGTTACATGTACTTCCTATTTGAAAAGCAGTTTCTTTTCAGTTATATTCAAGAGATTCCTGTTGTGATGTATTTTAGTTTTCAAGTCCCACAATGGGTCTGCTTCACATACTAAATTAGTTCTGTTGCTGTCAACTATCTTAGATCTGATTATGTGATAAAATTAAGAAACAAACACATTCTCCTTCCAGTGTGTTGAAACATACTGACAAAGTTATTCATCACTAATTACATTCTCAGTGTTTTTCTGTCAAAATGTAATCTGATGAAAATAAGGCAAATTATAAATACAGACCTGTATAACAAATGTGTGCCATCTTTCATCCCAGATATAGTGAATTTCACTGCAGTGTTATGTCACACAGTTCCCAAAGCAAAAATCCATCTAATGATTCTGCGCATATCATTAGATCTTAAATTTGGAGTTCATACTCAACTTCTTCTCCACATTTTAAAGGAATGATTTTTGTTCTGTTGTGGAATTAATGTTCATATAGAAATGGATGACAAGAAAATGTTGTTATTTTAAGAATTACAATTTCAAGTAATGAAATACTGAGTTTATGAAGATGGCTGTCTTCTGGGTTGTAGCGCCATGCTGGTAGAAGTTTACCATCATTTCAGAGGTCCATGCTGCCTCCATCGTTGTCCTCATAACCGAGAAGACAGCCACCTTCGTATTCACTGCTGTTAGAACCTTCAAATCGTACTTACTGAAGCCCATTATTTACTATCCACATGAACTGATTATTCAACAAAAACTGAGAACCTTAAAATCGTACTTACTCAAGCCCATTATTTACTACCCACATGAACTGATTATTCAACAAAAACTGACACACGTATGTTGTTTTGTGAGACAAATGAGAACCATATTTGTATTTATCAAAAAGTTCATTTAATACATATACTTTGCATGCAATTCTAGTTATTTCATTTTCCTGTTTAATTTGTAACTCTTGTTTTGTGGTTTCCATGTTTGAGGTTATTTTGCATTAGGAATTTATACATTCTACATGTTTTCCAACAGACTATATATTCATGTCAGTATGAGTTGCCATTTTTGTGTTGGTGACTGTGTGCATTATTTTAACCCACATTCCTACACTCAATTAAGACAGTTCATGAAAAGTAGAACAATCAAAAGAGAATAAAAAATAATGTTCTGTGTGCTTGAGTGTAACAATGCAGTCATGCTGGTTAAGTTATTAAATTACTTCAACTACTTACTACAAAATATGGTTTCCTACATATTATTAAAAATTCTTTCTCTTGTGCAATCCACTGTAATAAAGTTACACTGTACTTTAATATTATGTTTGGCAATGGAATGTATTCAGCAATTATTTGTATTACCCAGCTAAAATTCAAATTTTCTACCTGATATGACTTTTGCACTGAACTGTTTTAGTTAATGTTGGTAACTACAACATATAACTGGTGACACATCACAGCAATGGGTAACAATGACTCTGAATGAGATATGAGTAAAACTGTACAAACCAATGATTCAGATGGTATATTCAGGTTTAACCTGAAAAGTATGGCAAAGGGATAAATATGATGTGGGCAATACTTGGCAAGAAGACAGACCTGGACAATGGTGACTGGTAGTGCTAAAAATCTCTTATCAATGTTCCAATGTTACATAACTGTGTGAAGTGATTCTCCTTTTCTCATATACCCAATTTTACATTAATTTCATTAGTATATTTTTGTGCAATTTCTCTTAGACTGTATGGAAATTTGGTCTCTAAACCCACAGGACAGACACTAGTTCAGTACATAAGTCATGATTACTGAGCGTGAAATATCAAATGCCATACAAAAGTTAAGTATAATGTCTCTTATAAATATACATTTTCAGGTCCCCTCTGATATTCAGTAATTTAATATATAATATAATATTATAAAAATGTACAATAAAAATATGTTTCCTTTCACTTATTTTGAATAACTGTGTATTCAAAAATCTTAAGTACTACCAACTGCTCACTTCACAGTTGCAAAACACTTAAAAAATAAATAATGAGATATGTATGTTTTTAATACAATACAGTAAAGAAAGTTGGTTTACAAATTTGTAAGAAGTGTTGCAATATTAAAGAACACAAACCGCTACTTGCATAGCAGATGAAGATTATATATATACTGTGTGCATATGATTGACTTGACTGACAGGAGATGGTATTTCACCTCTTTCATTCTTTGTGATGAGTAGCATTATGACCCCACAAAATCTCTTGCAGTCCAATCAAAGGAAAAGGAGATGCTGGAAGACTTCATTTAGAGCCATGACATCATCCACTATAAGTTCATATTTGATGATCCTACCATCAGTAAATAATTTCCAAGAGAAAAATTTCAATACCTGCAGCAATGCTTATTGAAACAATCACAGCTGCACCAAACAGCAAACTGGATACGACACCATGACAAGGCAACACAGCCACAAGCGTCTGGCAAAAGCATGTCTCAACTAATTTACTGCCAATTTCCTCGTTTTCCTGAGAAAGTTCCCCTGAAGGGAATGATTCAAGTCAGGGAAGAGAGTACAGACCAAAGACAGGAGTATTATGGACAAAGGTCTGCAATATTAAGCACTTTATATCAAATGGCAGAAGTGTGTGATAGCAGAAGGTATGTAATTCAAATGAGGCAAGGTATAAAATGTGTCATATTAAATAAATAAATAAATACATGTTGAAATCTGGAAACTATTTGAGTCTACCATATATGCATAAAAATTCATCCACCATTTGTTTACCACAATATTTCCAGCTATGTGACATGTATCAGTACCTCATAATTCCAGTACATCTTGCCAATCTTATCTCTAGATCAGTGTTTCCTACAAGGCAAGTATGCATCATCATATATGCTAAACAGTATTCTTAATTTGAGCTTTACAGCACTATCAGTGTGTCTTCTGGGTTGTAATGCTGTGTAGACACCAATGTTTTGCATGAACATACTGCCACCATTTTCAGAGCTGAAGATGCAAACAGTATGTTTCTCTGAAACACTGGCATCTACCTACAAGTCTATACGGTGTTAACAACCCAGAAGACCAACATCAACATCTTCACTGCCATGAGAACCTAAAATCAATATGGTACAGATGATAATATTCCCATATCAGTGAAAAATATAATTCTTTCGTGTGAATGTTGTTTTATAGTCTACTGTCCTTTTATAATAGGCTGAAAGTATTACCTCCCCATTCCAATAATTTTTAACCAACTTACAGATTTAAACTGAATGAAACTTGGTATGAACATCATTTCCTTGTACTATTTATACCAATAACACCAACATGAAGACTCACATGAACTTCAGAGGTGGAATACTTGATGTATGAATTTTGAAATTTTGTAACAAACCTTAAAAAAAAATATACAAAACAGCACTTTGGCTCTTGCCTTCGTCATCCCAGATGTTTATACTTTGTCTGACTACCTAGCCTCTCCATCTACCTCTGTCTTACAGAAATGTGAAATCTATATTACCCTTGACTGATATCAACAACTAATGAACTACTGGAACTATGGTTGTTAACATTTGTATGATTACAGACATGACAGGATGAAACTGTGAGGTCATGTCTGAAACATTTGACAGTGAATCTATACTGCTGCAGATTGTATGCATAAGTGGCTCACTGAATTATATACAATTATTCATTCATACTTGTAGCTAATCTTATCATATAAACTAAATTACTTTAAGGACAATAAGTGTCATAAATTTCCCTCGTTTGTTTTTACATAATAAAGAACTGAAAATGACGCTAATTCTTCTGAATTACACAAAACAGAAACAAAGCCACTGACTTGATATGGGAACTGTACATGGCCAGGTCATTTTAAAATCCCTTCTTTGAATTATGGCATATTACACTCAGAAGCACTGATCTAGTACAGTTCTATAGCTTTTGCCAAGAGTGTAAAAATTATTAGTAACACAGCATTTTAATAACAGAAAGGATTCTGGCAAAAGAAATTAACTACCACTTTATAATGACAAATGGTATTTTCACAGCAAAATTTAGACTTTATCCTTAGCAACTTAACTATCTTAACATTGTTCCTTCACCAAACTACAATAAAATATGCTGAAGTCCAAGAATCTTCCAAATGTCCAGATAACCCTCAACTGAGAATACAAGGTACATCACTTATAATATGCTTTTTACATTAATAAATATGGTTGTATCTGAACCCAGTACAAGAAAATATAGAAATTAAAAATAATTGCTGTCTACTAATTCTTACATGTACACTTATAAAAAAAATACAGATGTAATACAGACAGACAGACAGCAAAAAAATTGAGCATATCACAAGGAGAAGACAGTCTCAGCTAATGTACGTATTCATACAAACTCCTGGCTTCTCTTAGGGAGCTGATAATGCTGAGGCTTCCCAAACAGTTTCAAGTTATGAATTAAGTATTTACTTAAATCAGAATAATTTATTTTAATGTGACATCTAATTTGCTACAAACCAGTGTCTCTCTCATGCTCTTCTCATGGCTAACGAACCAGTATCACTGTGGAGGAACCACAATGACTAAATGTAAAATGGTGTGCTTTCGGTTATGATGGCATGTGGACATCACCATAGAAGCTCTAATACAGGTAACTTCTATGGAGCAGCGACACACTGCAGGGAATAAAGCCAACATGGAAACACAACTCAGAAGACAACCATCAACATCTCCACAACTGTCAGAACCTCAAATCTCATGACCTTAAATGTCTCTCTTCACTACAGGATCATCATATACTGCTACAAGACCTGCTTAAAAAGAGACTTGCTATAAATTATTCTACTGAACAGTTATGAAGAAGACGATTCAACTCACAAAGTGAAATTCATGTAGTAAAAAACTTGCTTTGCCATACTGATTAAAGTAGGTGCCAAAAACAAACATTCAACTATTTATCCAGAGCTTCACTGATCAGAGTATGGCAGTACATCTGTGTTCTTATTTACTTACATCCTCTCATGAATGAAGTTCACAGTTGTTAAGTGCAGTGTTCACCTGTGTAACTCTGGTAAATTCCACATTTATAATTAATCTTTTAAGTATGATGTAGGTGCATACCAATTAACAGCTTTTCTCTCTGTCTCTTACCCAACCTGAGGGTGAGAGAAAGTGATAATGAAAAATTAAACTGTGCACAACCTCACACCCTGTACCTTTGAGACATATTTTGCTATTAAATTCCCATACATGTTTATAACTTTAAAGTGGTTAATTTAGGTATCCTAACTAAAATTCTGTATGCATTTTTCATCTCTCCCAGTTAGTTACCAAAAAAAAAGTCCCAGTACTTATGCACATTATATGAAGGTGTTTCTGATAATTTGCAATTATTTCATAACACAGGCCTGCCTCTGCTATGAGACATTGGAATAGGCTCTCTTCATGGTACATGGCCCATTAAATCTTTTACTTTGCTTCACACTGCAGTTCTAAGACTTGCGCCTCTGGCAGGAAGAGAGTTGCTTTTGGCTGGGATCTCCCTGGAATGGGAATGTGCAACTACTATAGACAAACACTGGACCCACTCTTCAGCATTCTTGCCATCCTTGGGTTTAAGGATAAGAGACTGGTCACCTGTGAAGATCTCAAATGCCTTAGGAATGTTACGAGCTCCTCGGCTCACCTTCACGCTGCGGATCTGATTTACTTCAATTGGTATCATGTCTTTGTCATCCTTCTGTAAGAAAATTACAGAACATCTATCATGTAATGATGGATGACATAAATTTTTAAAGCTCAGACTGTAATTCAGAGAATCCTGATTTACCTAAAAAAATCTATTTATTGTGTAATTAATGTTCTTGTTTTAAATGGACTGCAACTTCAGTTCAATAACAAGTTTGAAATCTGACAGTTTCATTTTTTGGTTTGAAATTTCAAAATACCATTATCAATTATATTTACTGCCAGTTCCCTTTCATCTTGAGAACAACACAATAAACGTTTATTAAGATACCACTTACAGAACCCTTATATGAAAGATGAGCTCCAGATAATGTGAAGTATCTTGTTCTCCAACGTTTGAAAATCTTCCAGCGCCCCTTCTTCTCCTTCAGCTGTCCTTCAATAACAGGCTGACTGTCTTGTAGGAACCCCACTGCTCTCTCAGGATGGTTACACAGAAAACAACCCCACTGAGCTCCCCCACTGGGACTTGGGGTCCCAGCTGCTTCAAATACATCGAAGAAACCACTGTGACGTAGTTCATTCAGTAGGGACTCTTGGTCCTACAAGCAACAAATAGTTCCTATTTTACTTTAATCAGCTGTTATATTTAGGATTGGTCAGTTAGCCATCAACAGAATAACAAACATTGCTAGACATTGAAATATAAGCTGAAGATCACTTATAATACAGAGATGTAGATGGAAGGATAATATTAGAATAGACCTTAGGGATATTCGATGTGAAGACAGCAGCAGCGAACTGGCTCAGGATAGAGTCCAGTGTCAGTTCTCCTGGTCAAATAAAAGCTGTAATTTCTTTACCATCTGACTTACTATCAACTTTTCAAGGAAGACTACATAACAGAAATAGGAAGGTAGGATAATACTTCATACTTCCTCCCTCAGCAAGAAAATTAGGTAATAAGTGAAGTTAAGTTCAGAACAACTAACCTTAGCACATGGAAATGCTGAGGTGACAAGAGTTAGGAATGTTTTGTTCTCACACTTCAAGATATCCCAACAATTCTTTAAGCTGCTTACTGAAGAATCTCTTGAACTCAGTGCAGACTCAGATCTTGCCTGCAACATAAAGTGATTTTAAAAAAAATCTTGGCTGTCTGCCCTTAAAAAAATTGAAGTTAATTTTATAATTAGTTTTTAACAAGATATTGACACAGTAGTTGGATGTATCTTATTTTTGTATTTTCCCTGCTTTTCAATGCATCTGGCCCAATATTCCAGAGTTTCATCATTCAATTAGAAACAAAATGTTTCTGATCTTAAAACCTTGCATACTGTGTAATGTATTAGAATATAAACTGTTTCTGGATGGGTGTTATGTCATTCTTGCAATGCTTACCATGACTGATGCTCATAATGGACATTTAATTTCACATTGTCATGAAGTAATTAGGACAATCCTTTATCTTCACTGACAGTACCAAATATTAAACACTTGTTGGGCTCCTTACCTGCAGGGCCAAGAACATCAGATGAATCCATATACGAGGGTTCCTTGTCTTCATTGTAAAGAAAGTACGGTTATAGAGACAATGCTCTCCACGACCTTGACAAGCAAAATGGAGTTTGGCTAGCTTCTTTGCGCGACGTTCTGTGACAGAATAATTAATGCTTTAATATCATCACCATCGTCCAACAACTACTGAACATCCAAATGAAGCTAACTGGAATTTCACAATGGAATAATTTATGGTGGAAGATGTAATAGTGAGTTCTTTAATGATGGAATACTGTATTTAACCAAATGTAAATACTCAAAACACAAGATCTGCAACAGGCTTATTCAATAAGAAGCATAATTGTTTGGAGAACATTCAAAATTTATTCTCAGGTTCACTCGTGTTACCAACTTACCTTCAATTGTACATTTTGCTGGAGGTGGGATACGAACTGAAACCTTCTCCATGTAAGACTTGATTTTGTCCAGATGTTTCTCACAGAAATGTTGTACAGTGTCTCTCATAGGATATGGTTCAAACACACTTATCCTCTGAAAAAAAAAAAATCATAAGTGCAAGGTGTGGTAAATTTGTCCTGGTACTTTTGCAATTTTCTCCATCTGTATCCTTCTTCTAAACACTAAACAACTGACCCCATGTAAAATGGGAGACATACCTTCCTATGAATATTGTGTTCATTCAATTGTATGCTCATTTGCTCCATCCTGTTGCTATTTCTTCTCTCTTAGGACCAAATAATCTAGCCCATACTTCACTCTCAAACACATTCAATTTATATTAATTATTCCCTTGGAGTGACACTACATTTTTCATCCATATAAAACAGCAAGTAAAATTATAGTTCTGTGTATTCTACATCATAGATTTTCAGGTACAAGACAGGAAGATAATCGATAAGCTGTTCTGCAGCTGTGACATAAGTCCACAATATATATTTTTGTATTTAACATGAATTACTTTAATATGAAACCAACATCCCAAATGCCACAGTTACTCATGGAAAAATGGTTTAAAGTTAACTTACAACCTGGTAATTTATTTATAAAAAATAATGGGATATACCTGTGATGCAGCAGCAACAGCAGCATTGCTCTGTTGGTGAGAATTGATGATGGTCACACTTGTGTTTGCTCGTCTTGATGTCACAACTGTAGTCGGTAATATCTGTGAAGTTACTGTCTGCGCACCCAAATTGTGATGTAAAACTGCGACTGATTGACTTGTGGGATGTGTAGTTGATGCTGAAGTCAGTGCTGGTTGATTAAGAGCAATGCTACCAGAACTACTAAGTACACGAGATGGAATCATATGAAGCTGCGATGAATTGAGGTTATGTATCTTGTTGCCAGACTGACTAAGATTAATGCCTGTAAAGTTGCTGTTATTAGCTGAAAACAAGAATTAATATACTCCCATGTAGATTTATACTAATATTAATTATCTGAGTTATTTTATACATCTATTAGGACTGATCATTTTATCTTGCTGGAAAATATTTGTAAGAGAAGAGAGTATATATCCTACCTATTTCTCTTGTTCCAGATTGTACCACCAGAGGACTATTATTTTGCAAAGGTAAAGGGTAAGATGCAGAGATGGACACAACCAAGTCTTTGTCTTCCCGCAGGCCAGAAGAATTTCCACTGAAAAGAATAACATTTTTTGTCATGCAACATCACAAAAATTCCCGACTTTCAGCCAGATGCTTATTTCTTTTAATTACTCAACACCAATAGGAAGGGGAGCACAAAGTCATGAAACTACTAGCTGTACTGTCTCTTACATGATGCTTTTGTTGGGACTTGCCGTGGTTACTGTGACACCTCCACTGGAAACCTTCTGAGCTGCAGACACGCTGTACTGTCTTCCCCCGTTAATCGTGGTGATACTGCGGTTATTGCTTGTTACAGTGGATCCACTCACTGAACTGGGCACTGGAACCAAGTTGATCTGTTGACTGGAACTCAGTCGTGTCATGCTTTTATGGAGACCACCAACAGAGCCCACTCGACTCCCACCAACTGAAAGATTGGTGAAGGCAGTTAAAGTAAGTCACTGCTTTTATATATACAGGTTATGTACTCAATGACTTACCCTCTAACTCTTGTTATTATAACTCAAACAATCAGCACCCAAAATACAAAAGCCTTAAAACTGGGAACTTCAATCTATCTCATGTACATATAACCCCTTCTGATACCTGTTATAATACAAGAAGGCTACACTTAACTATAGTAAATCTTATGACATTCGTCCCGCGCGGTCTGAGGCATCATGCTTCGGACCGGCGATACGGAATGTGCGCTGGTTCGAATCTCAGGGGAGAAGAAATTTTCTTATGAGCTTTCGACCAGTGTATGGGACCAGTGCCAAACCAGCATCGTGAGGAAATTGGGGAGCTACAATGGGTAGCGTAATCCGGTCAGGAAAGGTAGCAATGGCTGGGGGTTCATCGTGCTGACCACACGTCACCCTATATCTGGTTGGATGATCGTTCACCTCTGCTTAGGCATGTGAACGTGAGGCCAGCAGTCAAGCTAGTCGGCTTTGGCTCTCTGGAGCTGTTATGCCACGGATTTAATTTTTTTTTTTAAATCTTATGACATTCACGCCCATTTCATTCTTACAAAATTCTCTGACAATGTATTTTTAAATATGTACGCCCATTTCATTCTTACAGAATTCTCTGACAATGTATTTTTAAATATGTAAAAAATAAATAAATAAACAACAGCAGCATATGAATAAAACATGCCAAAATTAATACAGCCAAACACACACATATGTGCATGCAAACAAACAAAATGTGGGAAGTTGAAGATACTTTCTCAGCTGTCTAGGTTAAGTAGTTTTGAATAGTAGTATAATTTATGAATAATGTGCAGAGACGTGGAAGTAGTCAAGACCTTCTTTCACTGAAAGGTAAGTGATGTTAGCAATGTAAATGGAAATGTGACATCTGAGACAAAAGAAAAGAATAATATAAGATTTTTTAAAATGGTATATTTATCTATTTATTTAGTCTATAATCTCATTTGCAAACTTTGCTAAATGAGATCTACTCACGAACATATTCTCCATAAATACAGAGGTAAACTTGTGCTATACAAATATTTGTCTGGATAGATGAGTAAAATGAAAAGGAGGAATGAAGGAAACAGCAGCAGAAAAAGAGGAAGCAGAAGGAAAAGTAATTCAATATTCTTGTCATGAAATTGTCTCTTCCTAAAAATGCACTTATTTCTTAATACCTGGGTGTGAAGGAGATAACCATAAATTAAAGACATTTTACCATCAAACACGGTTAAACAAAATGAAGTTCAAAGCATCCGATACAATAACCCACCTACACAATGAAAACACAGAATTCTTCATTGCATGTATGATTATATCATAACACAGAAATAAAAATCCCCTACACAGAACATGGGTTAACAAATGAAAAAGAGCAAAAGCCAGACAGAATTTTAATTATTAAACTTAAAATAATACAAACCAACGTTTAGTCTTGTCATACTCCTGTTGCCCACAGACGTGTGTAACCGCCCTGTACTCCGACTGTCACCCCCCAGTCTTGGACGGTTTATCACCAAGCGATTCGCTTCCTGACGATTCAACCAGCACCCTCCAATATCTTGCTGTGCTAGCACTGTTTGCCTAGGACCTGAGATGAACTGCTCTCTTGGTACAGCGGCTGACACCACTTGTTGCTGGGTAAGCTGCAGATCTGGCCGACTTCCACCAACTTTTACGATAGTTACGCCACCAGACATCTGGTTCACCTGTGAACTTCAGACACATTCGACATCAGAATACACACATCTTGGTTAACAAACAAATTTCTATGCACTTAAATGACAGGTGGATGGTGTAAATTTAAGTGCAAAAAAATCACAATGACACTAATTTGGATCTTAAGGAAATAAGGTGTGAGGGTGCAGACTGCATTCAGCTGACTCAGGATAGAGTCCACTTGTGGGTATTTATGAACATGGCAATAAGCCTTCACGTTACATAAAACTTTCCAGCAAACACAACATGATAACTAATTTTCACATTTTAATCAAATCAGTTCATAAATTACCATCATAAAGTTAAAAATAAAATCAATATTTTAAAAGTGGGAAAAATATCACCAAAATTAGATTGTAATTTTTGAGGTCAGGTGCATGAAAGATCAAAACTGAAGTTGAGATATATTTTACTCATGTTCTCTCTCTCTCTCTCTCTCTCTCTCTCTCTCTCTCTATCTAACATCTTGTCAGACATGTGGTGACATGATAGTGTCTTCTTGACATACCATTTATGCTTTCATGGGTTTACTCACGTTATTATACCACAAATCAGGTATTACTACTCTAGCCAACGTACAGCAATCTAATTTTATGACAATGTTATTCTGCTGTTTTCAGATGCTGTGAAGACTTATATTTAGATACCAATGTTTTAGAGAAACAAAATGTCTCCATCGCCAAGGCTGAAGAGGGAGATAGTATGTTTCTCTGAAACGACAGTATCTATCTACAAGTCTACACAGCATTAAAATCCAGAAGTCCAATATCATCCTCTCGCTGCAAGAACCTCAAATGTCACAACTTTGTCTTATATTCTGAAAGCAACGTCTGACTGGCAGATACATTATTTTTGTATTATGATTCTTACTTGTTATTGGATTGATTCTTGTAGCTGCACTGCTTCACTTCTGCCAACATCTTCTCATTCACCAGAACTGGATAGCTGCTGCACAGAAGTGTGGCCTCTCTTAACAATGTTCCTTGGCTTCCACGGTCAGCCTTTGGCAGATGTTCCAGCACAAAGTTCAATGCTTCTTGAGCACGATCCTTATTGAGCTTACCAACAGATGAAATGACTTGTGCAGCAAGGCAGAGAGTATTGGGATGACATTCTGCTGCCTGCTTTATCTTGGACAGATGATCAACAAGCAGCTGTGGCCGTTTGCCAGCCATATTAAGGAAGACTTGCATTGTTGCTGATGCAGTTGAGGCAGTACTCAAGTATTCACAAAGCTGCGGCAAACTCGGTTCCAGTAGCTGAAACAGATTATGACACTGCAGTTCCCTGTTTCAATTCCAAGTTTCCATCAAGGAGAATGAAAGATACACACCTATAATATTTTGTACCACTCTGTATCATGAAACACCATAAAAGACAACTGTGCTATCTAATCACAGCAATCTATAAAATTATAAGGCACAGTAACAAATCTCTTCACTTTTCTGAAACGTTTCTTCAGTGTAATGTTGATGTACAGAAATGAATAAAAGGTTTGCTTAATAACAAGGCAATGTCCTGAAAAATAAGTTGTTGAGCAAGATGTTCGCATCAGAATGGAAACTTTCTACATAAGCACAAGTAAACTATTGTAATTTGCACAAATTATATAAAAGCAACAGACACAAATGAAGCTGTTTACAATAAATTAAGTAAACATCAAACACCTGTAAAAATTGCACATGCCTTCACACTTCACTTCAGTGAAAATGTTGCAGGTCATACCGATTGATTTTGTTTATTTAACAACACCTTTTCAACTGGACTGGTTATTTATCACTGGATGGGAGGGAGGGAGATGAACTGGAAAATATATGGAATGAAAACGTATCAGCCTGTAGCCAGAAGAACCCTGTCTCCTGGTAAAATATTCAAAACAAGAAATTCCCAAATACAAAATAAGAATACTGACCATTCAGTCACATCTAGTACAATGCTGTGTTTTTACATAAATAGGGAGTGCTGGTAGCTGAATGTGCACTCTTTAAAATTTATGGTCCCACATGAGGTGGGGGACAACACAATCTGACCACTAGCAACTTTCAAGGGCTGTTATAATAAAATGTCATTAAATAAGGTATATCTATATTCAATACTACTATACAATGAAACACACACAAGGAATTAATAACAGCTAAAAACATTATACAAGAATCTTATGTTCACAGGACATGATGCTTCAATATAACATAATCAAAACTGTAGTTTACATGTAGTGTTCCTCTGTCACAGGCTTTGGTCCACAGAAAAGTTTTTGTACAATGTGGTATTGTTTAAATTCTTGAAAAGCTTGATTTGAAATTCATGTGAAGTTGAGGTAATACTGGTTTGATACATATCAACATTAAATCTGTAAAATATTTTAATACCATATTTCAAATAAAGCTGTCAAAAACTTCTACAAGATGAAGTATTCTGATGGAAAAACATGATTTAAGAATTACGTATGTAGTGCAAAGAACATTCACCTTCATGTTCTCTTCCGTAATTAGCTTTTAACATTAGACTTTAAACTATAACTATTGAAAAGGGCCCTAAGTCACAAATATCTATTGAGAACTGTTTAAATCAAATTTTTAGAGGCATATAATTGTAGTTCATAAAAATCTGCACTTACAGATGGATTATTTTTTGCTATGAGAGCAAATAAGTTTAGTAGTGCCAGTTTCTCAGGATTTTCACATAAAGGCAGAAGTGAGACAAGAGCCATCACATGTTCGTGAAGAGGTTCCTTGTTTACTGCATAGATCTGTGGTAGCACACGACAGAGTGGATAGTTGCCTGTAATCAAATGTGACAAATGAAGCTCCTTAGTTGTCATCAACTACAGATGATATCAAAATTATTTACGTCTTTATTGTTTACAGACATATATGTTACATGCAGGTGAAACATGAAGTCTGATCAAAAAGTTGTAAGACTGAATTTATTTCAAGGAAATGAAGTATAAGTCAGAATATTAGCAATTCTCACTAATCTCATGCTTCTGGTGGAAAGTAATAACATCCATTTTATACAGACTAATTACTCAACACAATGCATTATAAAATTGAATATAAACTATTATAAATTATATCTAAGAATGAAACATTCAGCCAATCAAAAACATTTCAGTGGTTTGGTTCCTTTAGAGATGGTTAAATTACTGACAAGGGTCATGCATACTCTTGTTATCCATTAACATCACATCAATAAGAAATCAATCACTCTTGTTCATGATAAAATTTGTTATGACAACAAAAAATTGTTAAGCAGCAACAGAAATTTTAACCCCTTTGACACATGATTTTTTATTTATTTATTTACTTTTTCTTTTTACTGAATACTGATATTTAAAATTTACAGGTTATACAGTGTCTAATAAGATAGAACGATGATCATGATTGGAAAGTATGTAAGAATATGGAAGAAGGCTAGCATTACATGATGACAAATAATGAAATGGAAAGGATGTGGTCACGGTCAAATTTAAGGTACAATCCCAGCATTATCCTGGAGAGACGAAGGGTAACCACAAAAAATCTCTCTCAAAATAACCAGTCTCTAAACTGAGATCATCTGGCAATGAATAATGTGCGGTAACCACTACACCATGACGCTTGGTTAAAAGTTGACTGCACTAAGAAATAAAATGTACACCCCTCTGAATGGTTTAGCACATGCAGGAATGTTGTAGGTTGACAACATTTCATCACTTTGTCAAGATTTGTTTCACTCACTCATGAAAGAACTGGAGTTACCATTAAGCTAGAAGATCTTACCTGAAATAATGGAATCAATGATGAGCTGAATATGCTTTGCAAGAAGATCAGCATTTTCAATTGCAGCTAAAGACAGGTATGATGACATATTTCGGGACAATTCCTTATTGCCTTTATGTAGGAATTTGACAGCTACAGGTAACGCACGCTTCATCACATCCTTTTTACTATAGTTCTGTAATAAAGGTAATTTATCACAGAATGTATGAAATTTTCCATCAAAGCTCTTTTAATTCTTTAGGATTAATGGATATTTATATTAAACACTAGAAGTATGTATTTTGAGATCTAAATACCCTTCAGAAATGCAGCAGAAGGTAATTTAAGCATCATTTGTTATTATGAAAGGATTAACTACTAGACAGAAGAATTTCTTCTGATAAAACAAAAGCAACAACTTACAAGGAATATACATGATATTATGTCTGATGATATTTTGGCATGTGGAGGATCCTCGTCTTTGAGTGATGGCTTCAGGTTATGGTTGAGACATGATTCAAGCAGAGCCACAAGGGCTTCTGCATGCTGCTCCATTGATCCTGTCTCCCTGAAACAAAATAAACAACATTCTTCTATACAGGTCAAACAGAGAAACATAATGATATGTTACACTATGTAACACCAGCAAAGCTGAAGCCATAATCCCCACCCAGTACTGTGATCCACAAATGAGTTCAGTCTTATACTGTAATCAAACTCAGTTTTTCTCAGTTTTATCAAATATTTTCAAAATCTGTATCAACTAATAAAATGACATTCATGTACTTCAACATACCTGATTGCAGATGTAACTCGGGTAATACATATTTCAACGACACTCTGATCATTATCATTGTTCATATAATCAGGAAGACTAGTTATTTCAGAGATTGTGTTCACAACTTCTGTTAAATCATTCACTATCGCATTGTCAGCTACTGAAAACAGATCTCCTGCCTGAAAAATAATTCAAGGATGTATTTAGAAAGTTAACTTATAAAGAAGCAAAACCTACTAATTCATGCAAAAGTATCTACAATGCATACTGTACAAGTTCTAAAAACAGTACTATACTGGCATCCCTCACAGAGCTATTTAAATTTACTGGTCCTCAATTAAACCATAATAGTCCATCTCATAATCAGGTCACAATTCTGAATGTAAAATTATAAAATATTAGCAGTGACACTGTTCAAACAAACAACTGAACTAAAAATATTATCAATGATGAGACAGACTTTCTGACACTGCCTGTTTACAAAATACCATTTGATTTATATGGGGAAGAACAGAAACCTATATGGCAACTAGCCCAATGAACAAGAATGCACAATTCAGATATAGCTAGAACATATCTATTGTAATCTTTATAAAGCGACTGCTGATGCACACAGAGAACAGAATCCTTACCTTAGACAAATCCTTTTTGCTCAGCACTTGTGTGAATAGTTCATGCATATTTATATATATTATATCCGCAACGTATCAGTTGTCATATCTTGGCAATCCACACGTCTTTATACTTTCTTATACGCATCACTGCAATAAAACATATAACAATTTTTGCAAACGCCTATCTAACTGGTTATCCTACAAACCCAAATGTCACCTGACACAAGGTTCACTCAGGTTAGGAAAACATCATGTATTTAATTCAGGTATTTGCTAGCGTTTTGAAGAATGTTAAAAATAAGAGTTGCGAAACATTAAAAATGCAAACAGTTACAGCTTAAAATACCTCACTTATAGTGTATCCAATAATGTACATATCAAAACAGTATTGTGCCACATATCTGAACTTCCACACTTTCTCCGTCCCAGAGCAATTATGACGAGAGATCAACTACGTGGTTAACGACCGGTGTGAAGATAGCACAGAAGATAGCGATTATATCGTGTATCTGTTATCGAAAAATAAGAACAGCAGAATCCTACCACACTAATACCATGCAAACAAATGACTGGAAACGACCAAATTTCAAATACACGATGTGCTGTCCACGGTTTCCATGGACAAATCTGCACGAATAGCGGTTTATCACGACCTGACTGTACTGCATTTGTGGCAAAAAGTGCTCGCCGTATAGTAACCTGAGTTAGGAGGTAACACCAAAACTTGTCAGCAGGGTTGTGACAAAAAGCAGCAAGGCATTTCAGAACACATTATCCTACACATTTTTTTTACTTTACAACAGATCCTTAATATTGAGGCGGGGTCAGTCTAACTTGTGGACCGAAGTTCGATTCTTGACAGGTTGGGTTTTTTTCAGCACACCCATGTCAGGTCTAGAACCCACTCGGCCTATACAGTGCGTGTTGGGAAAACTTTAAACCATTTTTGGATGTCAAATTAACCGAACCTGATCTGCCTGTACAGATGCAGCAGATCCAACCTAGCTTAACATATCCCTCCCCACCAGAGTACCTGAAAGCCTCTTTCCACATCAGAAGTTCCTTCTGCACATTGTAAATTTGTAAATCATCCATCATGTTTCATAAGTATGTCATTATAAATGTAGATCATATCTCAAACACAGCAAAACACCAATGCATATAATATAGAACAGTCTGGCCAGCATGTCACTTAACAGATGGTAAAATTCCACTTATTTGTTTTTAGCCGTAATGACAATCAAATACCTGCAGCTAAGGCAGTTGTTCCGACCCCATGGAAGTTAACTTAAAAGGTAGCAGAATGGGACTTCAAGACTGGTACACGGTGTGGTAGACAAAATACCATTGCAAAGAACTTACAAGTAATGGCACAACACTGTAAACCCAACATGTGAAAGTCTGATGATTATGACCTAACTCATAATCAAAACTGGAGTACCAGGTCACATTTTTAGGACACTTGTAAACTTTTTGGTGAATAACTACTTGTTCTTTCCTCTACTTGTAGTTTTCCTGTTGAAAACCACCTTAGTAGTATAAAATAAAAGTAAATTAAGATGTACTAAAATCCATCATTCTTATTACTAATAAAGAACGCATTTCCGGAAGTCAGCATGCTTATACCAATTGTTTGAATGCAGGAAACTGCATGTTACAAACAGAGAATGGATAAACATTCTGGAAAATTATGTTGGGTGCCAGGTAATAATACCAACTTCCAATAAAAGGAATTCTACTACCCTTTTCATAATCAGGAATGTAAAGGAAAAAGTCAGGAAATGATACTCTCAAGCAGTAAATACCTTTTTGAGCTATAAGCAGAGACGATATAAAAAACAATCTCATGATGCTGCATTTCTGATTATAACTTCAAAGGCAACAAATGTATTTACCCTCCAAAACTGTGTTAGTATAACATTTTATTGTATTCTTCAAATTATACTAAGGTAATAAAAATAGCTTCCTTTTAAACACATGTATAGAACATTATATATATATATTTATATAATTGGCATAATGTTTTGTACAGAGTATATTTACAGAGGTACTATTTACATAGGTGCGAATGTTAGGCACTAGTCTCTTCATATTCCAAGCAACTTCATTTACTCTTTGCAAAAAGGCCATAGTGACTAGGTTTAAAGAATGACAGAGCCTGTTTTGTTCTGACTGCAATCAAAAAGCCAAGGAGATTTCACTTCCAGCAACACCGCATTTACTGGGGCAGTTTATTTTTCTCATCAAGTTTCTTCATATAATAGCCACTTGTTCCTTTGAATTTTTCACCTCACTAAGCAGTGTCATCCCAAAACTAATAATACCACAATTTAAATATTTTAGGGTGCTATGACTATCATTACTTATAAGGCTTTCACAATGTTTAAAATTAGTTGTAATTGGTGACCAGCTTAATTTTGATTGCAGTCCCAATTTATATGATGCAAATAAGCTGCTGAATGAAATAAGTTTTGTATTACATTTATGTTTCACATATGGGAAAATAAGCTTCACAGCACTCAAATGTTAAACCAAAGTATGACTGACTATGCATCATGCATGCATACATATATACACTCATTGACCTTAATTACATGGAGCATTGGCAACCTCATTTTCATCTGAACATACCTAATTAACAAAACTTGCCTAAAAATCCCGTAATGAGTTAAGAATGATTGTGAACTACATAATTTTTCTGAAGCATGGAGGTTGAACAAAAAATGCTTGTAGTCTTCATTAAGCCCTATTCAAGATGTGTATGGAATGGAAGTTAATATACAGGAGGAACAAAAACAGGTGATGTGCTGTTCACAATTAAATGACAGTGCTTCAGCCTCAGACTACATGAACTGAATAGGATGAACCTCACAATGGTTAAGGCATGAGGAAATGTACATGCTCAAAGGTACTTGAAGCTAACTACTTTCTGGACATTATCCACTGTTCCAGATTAAATAAAACATGATGTCATGTTTTATTTAATCTGGGACGATGGATAATGTCCAGAAAGTAGTTTGCTTCAAAAATGCACCACTGTCACAAACCAACAAAATAAAGTCAAAGGTACTTCCACCTTTCAAACAATATAAAGCCAAAATATCACTCCTTGTCCACTATTTGTTGATATCTGCTCTATACACGTCCTGAATAGACCATAGATACAATGAACACACAATAAAGTTTAAGAAACCATGGGCATATAAGCAGTGGATATTCATAAATAGACAATACTGATTATAATTTGTAATCTGTCTAATGCCCTGTGGCCGAAATACTGCACTTTACAAAGTGTACTGACTAAAGATTTTCAAACTGTCAATAAATATTACCATGAAATATTTATGCCTCTGTAATGAGACAAAATTTTAGTACAATTTTATATATATACATAAACAGATTTAGAGTTCTGTATATTTTGTCTACCATGTTTATTAAATTCTATCCTGTTACTGATTTCATGTAGGAATAGCACAGTCAAAAATATCTTTTCACCACTAACTATAAACACAAAAAAAGAAAGCAATTTGACACTGTTCAAGAAAAGATCCTGTGATGACATTAACAGTTCACTCAACTAAAGCTGAAAACATCCCGGACTTAACATTATTTGGGTTATTAAGAAAAGGAACTGCCTGCCAGAACCCAAAGAACATAATGAAACAAACTGAAAGTTGCTGTATGTTAACAAATGCAAAGTTAACGAGCCACATAATTGGCAAATAGTAATAAAAGTCAATCACTTGGGTAATCTTCAATAACATTCATTTTAATAAAAGTAAAAAATAGATTGAAACAAAACCACACTGAAATTTAAACACAACTATAATGTATATTAAACTGCTAAAATGTTACCCAAAAATTACTAAATACTTTAAGCAGCAATTACTGTTTAAATGTTGATTTTATGTCTCTCCTATTAAAGTAGTGGCTTTAAAAGCCAGTGACACAAAAGCATCTATGACACTGTTGTTAAACAATAACAAACATAATGTACAAAATACACATTTATTCATTTATTAAAGTGATTAACTTGCTTAACAAGCTGATGCAAACTTTCAATCAGTCTTCCATTTTGTTTTCTACACCCACTAATAAAACCCACCAGGCAAGTGTGCGCGGGTGCACGTGCACACACAGAAAACCTCTTGTAAGAAATCTTTGTGCTTGCCTTTTTGGTTTGTGACCTTCAATGTGCTTAAAAACCTTAATAACCACAGCCACTGGCATAAAAACATCACACAAAAATTATAATTTTAAATTGGGTACCAATTTCCAAGGTGAGCTGTCCAAAGGAAAATACAAAAAACAATTAGCTTGTATTTCTTTCTTTTCAATAGAGAATAAATGTCTTATTTAGGTAATAAGTATGACCCTCCATTGCTTGATATATCATTCTACCAAAATAATTAATAAATACTTGTAGTGATACAGTTTCAGAAGCATATCAAATTATTTAATTTAACAATTATTACTTGGACGTTTTTTGTTCATCAACCTGTATAAAATGATTTTACTGCAACATTTCTCTCTCAATCATCATACACGTCTTGCCCATTACATCCTTACTGATGTACCATGCTAATAATTTTATCAGTACTAATTAAATGTTCTCTCAATAACTATTACTTCTAAATGAAGCTGTTTGTTGGAGCTCACAACTTGGAAATTGTACATTAGTGTACAAACAGTGTAAATTCTACACAACATGTGAGCACTATGAATGAAGAGTCTGTAGTTAAGAAACAGCACTAATAAGAACATATTTTACCTGGCTATATACTTTATAGCTCAGAATGGCTGGTTTACACTGAACTTACATAAAGGATCAACAATGTTTTTAACAAAACCAAGATACAATGAAGGCACACTAAACATATCCCTAAATCATCCATGTTGTTTAATTTAGAACCACATTCAGCAAATTCTGAATTAAATCTCTGAAGCTAAAGTTGCTCTGAATAATTCGCTTCCTACCAAAAAGAAAAAAAGTCTCCATTAAAAAGACCTTGGTAAAGAAAATAATCACTGAAGATTGCTGTCTTCTGGGTTGTTACGCCGTGTAGTCTGGTAGATGTCTACCAGACTACATGGCGCAACAACTCAGACTCACAGCTGTGAAAACCTCAAATCCAACATAAAACAATCACTGTTTACATTCAGAATCATACAAAATCCATAAGTACACTCTGTGGGCAAAATGCCAAATTGCTGATTAAAGGTAGTGGTACATACAGTTACCACTGGGAATTACTGAAAGTGTTAAGGACTGCTAAGACCCAAAACAATATTGTAGTATATAATATAATACAATAATTGACAATATGAACACTGTTTCTGAATCTGAAACTAAGTGTTTTGTCATTAATATTTTTGAAATTGAATCTTAAGAGCAAGCCAATGTACAAACATTAAGAACCATATGAAATAAAATCATAAAACTGTATTTTTGTCTCATGCAGAAATGAGAATGGGCACATCTACTCAGATTTAATGGAATTCAAGTCTAATGTAAGACAGAGTGGGCAATTAATGCCAAGCAGGTAATAACACTATTGATCATCACTGAAAGCAGTTATAAAAATGGCCAATAGAGTTCACAGAGATTAGTCGCCGTGAACGTAACAGCACATTCACTCTTTACCTGTGTCAACTTGAAACTTCCATATATTATTATTATTTGCTGGAAAAGCTCAAGAGGTCATTAGCTACCACTATTTCGCAACACCTCAATTTATTACAGTTCTGGTCACACCACAACTGTACATTTGGCTAACAATGTCACCTGCTCACTTTACACTTTACGAAGTAGTTTTATGTGAGAATAAGAGAAAGCCTGACTTCTATTAAGAAGCTTAACTAGTTTCTGATAACATAAATACACTTATTGTTCTTCTATGAATAGTTACACCCCCATCCATCATTCTTTCCATTGTTATCAGTAATTTCTTTCAATTTTGGCCTGACTTAATTTTATTTTAAAGTATTCTTTCCAAGTCACACGGAAAACATGCATCTGTGGAGCTCTCCATGACTGCTGTAAAGTCTGTAACACCCATTGGAGCTGCATCCAGGACACATGGTATACCTACAAACACTTCACGATTGGGTTAATCCAAAGATATCCCTGTGCATAATCTTTGGCATGAATTTAAAAAGGTTCAAAGCAATATGACTTCTGTGTCACTTCAACAAACATTGGCTGTATGGCAGAGCCCTTTTAATTACTGACAATAATGCTCATCACCTTTCCTATTTTATGAATGAAGCATAAACACTAAATCCAGTTGTTTTGACTTCCAGCTCATGACAGCCATGAGCTCCATCCACTAGAGTGAAGTGTGCCCAACCTTTAAAATTTTATTAGAATTGAGCTATAGATAATTACAGCAGAAAAATCCTACAAAAAACTTCAGTTTCCAAAAACTACTTGCTAAAGTTTGGAAGATTATTGCCACCCCAAGATTTGCAGTTATTGGATCTAACAGTTAGGCCACACATAAAAATGTTCATCATAGCAGTGATGTGCTACAATAACATTCTTCTTTGGATTAGGCTACTGGACAGCAACACTGAATTATAATCTAGATGTGCAAAGTTACCACATACACAAGTCACCAGGCTTGCAGCCAGCAAGTCCATTCACCTTCTCAACACTATCAGAAGGAAGTGAACAACCAGCCAGACAACCCAGAAGAGCATCTAGCAAAGAAACCAACCCATCAGGATGATGTTGGTGGTATGTGGCCACTCAGAATCTGGAGCCAGACACAAACTGGCTATGTCACCATGTTCTCTCAAAATTTGAATACCTAGTAACAATGTTCTATAACAAAGACTGTAACAGGTTAATATGAAAAGTACAAACCCACATTGTTGCAACCAAAAACGAAAGTGAAATCTGGAGCAATACAAACCCACATTGTTGCAACCATCCCTTACCAACAAAATACCAAAAACGAAAGTGAAATCTGGAGCAGTATACAATCCCAGTGACACATACAAGTACAGGCAACCCTCGATTTATGCCCGGGATGAGTTCCTGGACGAACTGGCGTAAATTGAAACTCTTTTATAATGTAAATCAATGGGAAGTCAATGACATGCGTTCCCAACACCCAAACATTGACGAGTAATATAATGGCATTACATTTAAAGCTCTGAAATAACGTAAATTAAATGAAGGGAATTTAAAAAATATATTTTATACACTTACAATTGGCAATTCGTTGGTCCCAGCGATTGACTGCTATTCTTTCATGTGATTGATGTGTACAGTCATCTCTGCTGTTATGCGATAGTTGCATTCATGTAAGACGCCTACCTATAGAAAATCGCTTACTAAATAACTCCGGTACCTCTGCAGAGATTAAATTAGTCCTTTGAAAGTTTAAAGTGCCAGGAATGAAATTGCATAAGAGCTAACTCACATATGCAAAAGTTTGCAATTCACAAACAGATTTTAGCGATTCATCGATCTCATTGGAGCAAATTCGCGTTAACGAAACATACGTAATTGCAGAGATGATTGTATTTATAATTTTTATCCAAAATCAGTGATGTAAGAATTATGATTTATTATAAGAATCAGTACGAGATACATTGTAAAATGTTATAAATAATAGTAAAATATTTTTTTTTCACTTTTTGACTTTCTGGTTTCAAATTTGGCGTTATTCTGAATCGGCACAAATCAAGGCTTACCTGTACTACGTACCGAAAGGTTGCCAAAGTGAAATTACATGTGACCACATGGCACTTAATGTCACAGCTTAAAGATGTAACAGATCATGTATGTGGAAATAACATGTTTTCTATTTTAGAACATAATAACCATTAGTGCTACAAAGGTCCAAGTCTGCGACCTATGTGAGGAGTGTCAAGAATGCTATCTGGTGTGTATGATGAAAATTCTGTACTCAATGATAGTGGAAAGGGACATATCAGAGAATAAGAAAAGGGAGCAGTTCACAAACATTTACAAGCAGAATGGTGTGAACATCACTCAAACTGTATAACATTAAAAAAGATCTAGATTCAGGAATATGATGTAGATATAATTTTTTGAACATGATATTTATGTTCATGCTAACAGCACTGATTCACATAATAAGAGAAAAAGATGAGAAGCCAGGTTCCACACCTAGTTCTTGTTCTTTACAAATAATTTCATGCGACATGTTACGAAGTGCATGGGGAGCCAAACAGAGGCTCTAACATTGCAGCTCTGGAATAACAATATGACTATACTAATGTTTCAGAATATAAAGATCACCCTGAAATACATAAACCTCTAAGATCCCACATGCTGCAGGCACAAGTAGGGACCTGCTGCATCTGTCTCTGTGGTTCAATAAGAAGTATATCATCAGCAAGTCACAAAACACCTCCACCATCTAAAATGGGAAAAACTGACTGCATAGAATCAAAATTTAAATCAGACAATCAAACTGTTCAGGATATTATGAATGACAGACAATGAGAACAAAGAACCTTACTAATATATAAAAGCCAGAGCACTGGTTCCCAAGCACTTAGGCAGAACTCCCTGTGCAACCAAAAGGAAACAGCAATTTTCAAAACATAACAACATATAAGTACCCCAAGTAAATCAGATCTGCTACATAAAGCTGTTGTTAATCAAACTACACAGATCCAACATCCTCAACCTCACTATACTCTTCTACTTGCACAAACTTCAACAATAAAATGCATTATTTAAAATGTTGGTCTTTAGAATGTTCTGATTGATGCACAAAAACAAACCACTTTGGTGATGAAAAAAAATATAATACCACAAATGTCATATAAGTCACACAATTCTTTTTAATGGCAGTGAGATAATGCACATGTACATTTTTAGTGACAATAACAAAGAATGTGTACTTGAGAACAGAAATGCGGTTTGGTTTCAAATGTACACAACTGTTTTTTTAATCTTCTTACAAACACATGTACACAGCATCCAGTTATGCCAACATTTCCTTGCATTCTAGTTACTTTGGATTCACCAGTTTCAGCATGGATTGTACACTTGGCATCTGAAGACTTTATTTTGAAAGTCAAATTAAATATCAAAACAAATGTTTACTTCTTTCTCATTGAATCATGCCCAGTCATAAATTTCAATAACGGACTGCTGGACTGTTCACTGGAACTTCAAAATTGGCCACCTGTGGTTACATTAATGTTATTACCATGGCTGTTATACCTAATTAATCAAGATGAGTAATTATGTTACTGATAAGTAGTTAATACATGTTATTTTACATCATTAATTTGCACAATTCAGAAGTGAAAATGTAGCTTAAATATTACTGTGATCATCAAAACTTTATCAAATGGTCTCCACACTGTCCAAACTGCAAAATGTAATGAATTAATGTTTTCTTGTCACAGATTCAATATCATGTTTATTATTCACTTAATAAATTAATAAACCATTGTGAACCACTATTAGCAAAGTAATTTATTGATTAATCCATTATAAACAGTTAATTGATTATAAATGTTGACTGACAGACAGGCCTACCTATTCACCTAAGCTCTTAGAAAGTTACTAGAGTTAAAAATAAATACCTACAGCATTTTGTCAAATACCCCAAACACTTTTCCTTAAAAAAAAATGGAATGTGTGGCTTATTCGTGACAATGTTGGCAACAGTAATCATTCCAAATTCCATTATAAATGTCAAAACTTCCTGTTGATTTCGTATATCCATGTTGCCAAACCAAGTGCAGCCATAGAGTACAAGTGGATGTTAATCTGTAAGGTACTGAGGTGTCACGCATTCTGCTAAACATGCGCTTTTACGATCTCTCACAGTTGTGAAAAACTGAAAATAACTCAAGAGGGGAAGAAATCAGTAACTGCATGCTGATAGAAAATATTTTTAAGGAATGGCATGGAAGGGAAACAAAAGAGTTGATACTGCAAAGCACTGGTAGTCTGAGGGCTTCCTGAGAATAGAAAGTAAAATATCCTGAAAGAGAACAAAAGCATTGTAAATAAGCAACAAGCAGCAGTTCCAATGTGCAGTATAAATCAAATTGTGCCAGTTAAAAGCCCTAGCAGCAGCAGCAAAAGAACATGGAATCCAAGGTTTCGAGACAAACTGATGATTGATGGTTAGAATGTTTGAAAAAAAAAATGTAATTATATTTATAGCTGCAATGCAAAAACAATACACAAAATGGATAACTACAGGGAAAAATACATTCACACCACCGAGGAAAATCAAGCCACTTTGCATGTGGACAATAAATGCGTGAGCATGAATTCTACCCACGTCGGTTAAAACGAGCTTTAATAAGTGTGGAACTGATGACGACCATCACGGTACAGGGGACGACTATTTACAGGACACAGATCTTCACCATGTTGTGGAGTGATAAATATTTTTACCTCAAGCTTGCACAATTTAATGTTTGATTTGAACACGTAACATCTTAGTAGTGACACAATGCCGCTGAAATATTAACATGCACCATTCTCATACTGCAGGAAAACAGATCCTGCAAAATACAAGGCTGCAGAAGAAATAAATGAAGAACACCACATTTTAATTTAAAGTCACTATATACCAGAACGCTTAGTCTCAACACGTATATGTTAATACTTCAACCAATTCAAATAAAAAATTGTTATTTCTTAAGACATGGTGTGCATGGTTTCTTCAAGAATGAAGGGTATTTGAGAAAATACAGTAATATTTGTCTGCCCATTGACATTTATTGGCCAAGCTGAGACCGTACCTGCAGCTCCTTAGTCTTTATTATTTTAGCACCACACCAATTAAACAGCAGTCATCCTGAGCACAAGCTGCTAGCAGTTGGATGTATCACTACTGTACATCTTGCCACTCAACTGGATGTGCATGGGTGGCTGTGGGGCCTGTTGCTTAGCAGCATATGTTACCAACTGTTTTACTGAAAGAAAAGGGAACAACTGTATACAGGAAAAAGAAACCAAAAATATATCCATTTGTGATTCTTAGCAGGTTATACAGAAGGTAGAGGTTCCGTCTTACATACTATATTTTATTCCCAGTGCAATATATTACTAGGGCAACATGTACACTGCCTATGTACACAATTTCACATTCATTTTAATCATCTGACTAATAACTTCAACATTTAAGGAAATAATTACAATTCTACTGCCATTTCATATTACATATATATAATTTTGCCTCACATTATATTATAAATGTATCCATAAGGGCCTGAGAATGACCCTGCAAGGTCAAAATATGTCACCCTAATGACATTTTTGATTGTGAATAAAATGTACTGTGGAAAATGGAACCTGTCCCCTGAATGCATATTTTTGGTAAAGTCATTGCTAGCTGTGATGTGGCACGCACAACTTTGGAATTTCAGTGTACTCCAAATAGTACACCATTTCAATGTAGTTCATGTACTAGCACTGCACGATTATTTGAGCTGGTTTACTTTTTGTTGTTAATAAAACACATTCATATGCACTATTTCTATGCTGAGAGCTTAAATATAAATATATTCTCTTTTTTAACTTACCATTTCTACTGTTGTAAACTTTAAAAACCCTCTGGAACGGTTGCGGAGTTGGAAATTCATGCACAGAATGAAAACAGTCAGAAAACCTGGACTCTATTTCACTGCAAGATGATGATGCCCCATTTCGTATTGAAGTATTCCGAACTGGCGGAGGAGGAGGAGGAGCAGAACTTGGAACCTGAAACTCAGACACAATCAATTGTGGTTCAAATACATTTTCATATTGCATTTCCTTAGAAGTATATTTTATATTATTCTCTTAAAAAGAAGCTTCTATGTATACTTTTATAGCTCTTAAGCATTTAACATGCTTTAACATAAGAAACAACGTCAAAGAAGAGGTATCACATACTGATAACATCCAGAGTAATACATAAAGACAAGTATTTATACTAGATAAGACATACATGTATACATAATGACATGTGTAAGAGAAACACTGTATCATCGCCCTGATGACGGAGGCAGTATGACCTCTGAAACGTTGGTTAACATCGACCAGACTACACAGCGCAACAACCCAGAAGACAGAAATCTTCAAGAGAAACACTGTTACAATGTGTCCAAAAAAAACAAGAAGTATTTAAAATACAAACACTTAAACTGAATGGAAAAACTATTGCACTTATATTTAATAATTATTTTCTTACAGATATCAATCTCTTTTTTGGATTTTATATAATCCTCTTAAGTGAGTGAGTGTTATTCTGGATTAACTGTACTCACGGCTGGAGCCAGTCTTGTCTGTGCTGAGGGCGGATGAGGTGCAGGTGAAGTTCTATGCGGGGGTGGTGGTGGTGCAGATGTTGGCGGCGGTGGTGGTGGACATAGCGGAGGATTTACTCCTCCACCTAATGACCGAAATGGGGGTGGTGGTGGTCGGGCCACAGGAGGTCTTGGGGGAGGCGCCATTCCAGATCTATGAAAACCTGAAGATGGCGTTGCAGGAGGTTGCGGAGCAGATGACTTCAATCCATGATGACTTAAATTTGAGGGCAATGTTGCAGTTCTTGGGGGAGGAGGAGGATTTGTACGATATTGATGTAATGAGTCCTGGGACTGATGGAATGATGGTAAAACTGAATTGCCTCCACGGTAATTCCCTAGATTCTTTGTTGATGGTGGAAAAGGAGGACCCTGAGGAGGAGCAACAGGCGGTGATCTTGGCACACGCATACTCTGTGCACGTGTCACAGGAGGTCTATTTGTGTTTCCCACTGTACCATTTACTATTAGTTTCTTAGGAGGTGGCGACGGTTTATTGGTGATGCTGGCAGCATTTGGAGCAATACCAGGAGGTTTGGGTGCCAAGTTTGGCTTACCGTAACCCCCTACAGGTGGTTTGCTGGGAAGGGAAGGAGGACCACCACTATGTAGGAAGCTTCGGTTATTCACGTGATCATGGTTGTTGAAAGTGCTGTTACTTCCTGTCCGTACATTTAAAGCTGAGCTACTGCCTGTCAGTACAGAATCTGATGTGCTCTGAAACAAACAGCAATATAATGTCTATACAGCTTTTTATACACACACACAAAGTTTTTTAACATCCAAATACAGAAGTATGAAATTTGGTGCATATATTCTCAGTGTTCTTTGGTTACTGGCTTGCTTAACAAACATGTATCACACCACAGGTTATAAAGACAAATGAGAAATTATTTATGTATATTTCTGTACAGTTTTGATGGTATCAGCCCTATGCTGGTCCTTATTAAGGACATTCAGGAAGTAAACAATTTCTATTTCCAGGACATGGTGCTCATTCATGTTTTATCCTATCTGAAACGTATTATTAAATGCTTAAAATATACATTTAATAGGCACTGTGGTATGTTAGGTGTATTAACAAATCTGGAAAATTTATAAATATATTCTTACTGTAGGCATAGAAGGTTTCTGTGTAGATGGAGGAGGCTGCGGGGGAGGCCCTCTGTTTTTAACATCTCCTGGAAACGGTCTGCGGACAGGATCTTCGCTCTTAAGAACAAAAGATAAATTTCAGTACGTCAGTATGTTGAACTAAGTTTTGTTCACAAATTTCAATCTCTTGAGTAATGAATAATGAATTGGAATACACATTTGGACAGCAGTCTATATAAGCTGTTGGATTATTTCATTTAATTTTGAATATTCAATACCGGACCACTATAATCCATACTTCATACAGGTGCGCCATGAGGATAATAAAACTATGAACAGGATGCTTTTTTTAGCAACTACGTTTCAGTAAAAATTAATTAACCATTTATTCTCAAAATTATATTCTTTTGTATTTCAAATCCCCTTAAAAATGAAAAAAATTAAAGGGTCTTCTTATCATATTTCTGGAAAAGTAAACTTTTATATTACGCCTTCAAATTATCATAAAATGGGCATCTCCTCAATCCTGTGGCACATAAAATTATTAGGCAGAAATAGACTGTTTTGTCACTACCTACTAAACATGGTTTACTTTTAATATTAAAGCTGTCCCTAAGGTTAAATATCAAAACCATGCATTCTTAAGCTCAGCACTACACAAAGGTAAATGACCATCTTCATTCTATGGTCACTTTACAACCAGAGAAAGAACTCCCATCACCGGAAAGGAAGCTGGGTGGATCCCAGAGCCAGTATGGACACAGTGGTAAAGAGAAAAGTCCCTACCTCTGTTTGGAATTAAATTTTGGGCATCAAACACATAGGCAAGCATGAGAGACTGAGCTATGTCAAACATAGTCATTACTGCAATGGTTGTTATTACTGCCGTTCTTCAGCACACACTGACGTACGTACAAGAAGTGAATACAAGTAAATGCAGCTGGGCCAGAAAACCATCACCTCATGCCAACCGTATTTGATGCTCACAAATGCGGAACACATTATATATTGGAAATTACACACATATCTCAATATAATATAAATAATTAATAAAAACTATTGTACCTACCCCTGTCGCAGATGTTTCATTGAACTTGAATCCAGGTCTACTGAGGACAGATTTATGATTTTTTGGAGCACAGCCATGCTGATTCCGACCACATCCAGGACTAGCAGACGGTATGTGCACTTTACTGCTTAGTCCATTCTACCATGCAATTACAAGATCCATTAAAAAACAATGCTACACTCCATGCAAATACATGCATACTATAGGCTCTCACTCATATCTGACTAATGACAGTTGCAATGTGTATTGTTCACATACAAGACAGATTAAACTAACAAGATGCTATGATCTGGGATGGCAAGAATTTTAAAATAAATGTAAGTCAAACTACTAAATAAAGCATGGCTACATTCATCTATGATATGGTTAAACCAACTTGATTATGAAAACAGATAATTACTTTTATTATCAGTAACATTTTATGAATCCTTAAAAAAAGGTTTACTTTGTACCAAAATTGTCAATTATTTTACAATCAAGCAATTAAAATCATGTACGTCACACATATAAATTTATATTTTAATAAATTGATTTTAAAAATGCTGTGTCACTGAACGTTTTAGTTTTCTGACACATCATGTTAAGCAGTGTCATTCAATTTGTACAACATGGCAATCTTTTCCATAAAATGCCACACAAATACTGTCAGAACCACCAACATTTTTTATTCTCAGTAGAATGTTTATAAGACTGTATTATGCTAAGGAAATGGAAAACATGACATGTACATGTTAATGTAAACTATTCAAATTCATAAATTACACATAATAAATGTATATAATTTGCCATAATCACAAGCCATAAGCTTTTTGATGCTCCTGTATCTGAGCAAATATCATTATTAACGAAGTAAAAGTTCAATAAAATTATCTGCTTGTATTCTTCAAATAAACACTATCTCACAAAACATAAAGTTCAACAGACGTGAAATATAATTTTGTTTCTGTCAAAACTATTTTATGGGTTTATAAATATCTTGATTACTTACACCAGTGCTAAATGGGTAACTGAGAGCCAGTAGTTCCCAACGTCTGATTCACAGACCAGTAAAACAGTAATGGGATTTCTAAGGTCTGTCATGCTTTCTATGTTCAAACATTAAATGTCAAGTGACAGACATATTTATTGAAGCCATTGAAGTCAAACATCTTGGTGATGTTACAAGATTCAATTTAACCTTAGAGTGGGACATAAAAACTTTCAAATTCACTAATATAATAAAACGTAACACAAATGCAAGACTTCTTACAGTGAAGACAAAACTGGTTTGAAGAAGGTGCAACAATTTAGAAGACTAGAATGACCTCCATCTTCCAACTTTGGGAATAATTCATAAAACCATGCTTTGCTATTAGCAGATTCCAAATTATTTGAACAGGTAAGAATGAATTTACTAAAATATAAAGTTTATCTTGCAAACAGTTTTAACTTGGTACACCTTAGACAGTGATGAACCTTCAGGTTCCATAAAGAAAGTGGGCTATTCTTAGACAAGCCGAGTATATGACCGACTATTCAAAGAATTTCCTGCACCACAGAGAGAGTGACTGGCACCTCAGATGATAAAAATTAAGTGTATGAATCACCATGTATTTATTTTCCAATGTTGTCAAAAGATATTCTGGCTATCTAATCAATACTGGGAGCCTATCTTGAAGGTTGAACACCATTAACACCAAAGCAATCAAGGCTTATAAATGGAATGTGATTATATATATATAGTCCGTGAGCCTGCAAAAATTAATTTTCCTGAGCTTTACCATAAACTCAAGTATCCATTCTTAACCACTGTTTATATTATGCATTCTTCACAAGAGTCATCAAATTCCCCACCCAACTCTGTTGGCAGCAATGACATAATTTGACATTATATTATGATAACCACGCAAGAAAGAAAACAGAAAGGAAAACTGCATTAGGCACTTAAGTTGATGCAAAGTGTCATCAAGCTATAATATAAAACACACAACAAAATCAAAATCACAAACACGTAAGACAAACACCATATTTACTCATATAAATAACCTCATTTACCATTTCTCTTCCAAAATCTGTATGCAGGTCATTGCTATAATATATATGAATAATGAATTCATAAAAATTACATGTGTGTGTGCATGTCTTTCAGCCAAACTGTTTTACAGTGTGCACAAAGTTGCCAAATAACAATCACCATACAAAACGTCAATAAACCGCATGACTGCCATGTAAGTATTACTTTTGTTAGAATATTAAATAAAAAGAGTGAGATGTCCTTCTATGATAAGACTTATTTCATGAAGATCTGATCTCACAATTAATTAAATCAATAAGAGGGTGAGTGAGTACACAAGCAGACACAAAACAAACAGTGGTATCATAATCTTACCCTCATTTAATATAAGGAAAATAGAGGCTATGGATTGGCAGAAGGGTGTGGAGGTATGTAAGCCTGTCATTCATGTAGAAATGAAGAAGAAAAAAAAGAGAGATGAGGAGGAGGGGAAAGGCAAGAGGAGACCACTGTGGGTATAGCAAGTAAGCAGAACAAACTACGTTGCATAAACTGACCTACCAACTTTATTCACTGGTGCCTGGACAAGCCCACTTTTACAATTTCATTTCATGCACCAGTGTCACTACTTTTTGCCCAAGCTTGAAGTCATCATTTCTAACTGCAGTAACATATGCACAACTGTCATAATGATTAAGCTGATGAAGTCACAGCACTGAAAAATCAATGATTTATACTGTACAGCAATCAAACAGAACATATAAAAAATATATATACATATAAAAATACCTGTGATGATGATAAACTGGGTTTTTCTGATCCTGAGCTTCTAGACATGCTCTGAGACGTGTTACTGGCATCTATAGATTAGAAATAAAATTTGGTTAATGACTTATTCATGAAAATATTTTTCAACTGGTCTCTCAGCAGCATTACACACCAAAGTATAAATCAATTAGTGATATGCAATTCACCGACAACCTAATAAAAAAATGGATAATTTTATTTTTTGTGGTCTGATAGCAAAACTGTGATTAACTTTGGCACAGCATAATAGTATCCATTAAAATAAAAATTCATAAAATAAAAATGTTAATTATATTTTCACATATGAATACTATCTTTGCCTATAACTATCACACTTTAGATGCATTTCAGAACAATGACAGGAAGTTATGTATCCTGTAAATACAATTTTTGTTATATTCAACTTCATTCTAACAAAATATCACAGAATAGAAATTGCATCGTACAATCTCAATACTTACTGTATCCTCGTCCAGTGGGCTTCAGTTTGGGCATTCCACCTGCAAAAAGTCCACCAAGCCCATTTCGTGACATGTCTGAAGCACCTCCATAATTGTTGCTTCTAGGATTACTGCTACTGCTACTCTTATTATTACTGTTGGAGACACTGCTCACTTGACCTACAAAAAGTAAATTAAACAACATGACAAAATATAAAATACAAATCTTTAATAAACACAAGACAAAGATAAAACAACATAAGCACATAATCAAGACACAGACAGCAGATAAAACATCTAAAAGATTTTACCATGCCCTTTTATTATTTTAATGAATTTTATCTAATTTATAAAATTAACATATTACACATGTTTACATTAGGGAGGTGCACTCGCTTACACTAGCAAACTAATGTAGAATGAACCTGACAATGACTGTGTAACAGACAAAGTATGTTGTTCCAGTGAAGTGCTACAATATGCTACAATACAATAAATTACAATAGAGCAAGAGCACAATAAATACTGATGTAAATGTGTGATGAGTGATGGTATAATGCAATCACACTTAAACAATCATTGTAATTAACATACCTTTTCAGTTAGGCATATGAATGTTTACTATAATCAAAATTCATCATGCCTTGTGTATGGTCCCAGGCCTGAACCATTCCAACAACCCAAAAAAAAACCATCACTACATACATGAATCTCTCAAAATATATAATTGATGACAGAAGATTAATATCAACATAAATATATTTCATGAGGAGGATCACAGGATACTCTCTTTCAGGATGATGATGGAGGAGGCAAGGACCTCTGAAATGTTCATAAACTTCTTAAAGACTACACAGTGCTCCAACCTATATGACAGCCACCTTCATAGCATGATACATAGTTTATCAAGAGTGGCACATAGAAACAACCATACTTACATCATTACTGGATTTCCTTTAAAACTGCTATCCTATGCAGGAAACAATGTGTTAAATGTTATGACCGTATCTTCCATTACCAGTACCTCCATCTGCTACCCAGTTCGTCATATGAATGATCGAATGTACATTCAATTATTCTTCAGACTAATTCCATTTAATGTCATTATTGCAAATCATAAGTTAAACCACTGTTCCCATGTGCATGAGTTGAGACTTAGCCATCTTTACCATTGACACTGCTGAATATGCAAATACTACATGATCCCCTTATCACAGGTCCCCAAGACAGATATAAATCCACTGCTACATAGTAAAATATTACTTTCTTTTGTGAGGTAACTTCTACATACAATCCTTAACTGTGGCATTATTGTAAGAGAACCATCACAACTACAAAGTAGGATCCATTGCAGGTAAATAAACAGTTTTTAAGTTAGGTGTTCAAACCTTTAAAGTCTATGGGAAATACAGGTTTTATCAATTAATATCTCTGAATTTTGCATTTATGGGCTCATATAATTTTCAGAGTAAACTCGGATTATTTCCTTTAACAGCATTAAAAAATTGTAATACTGACAGAATACAGAATTTTGTCTGAAGTACAGATTGAACTCTTATATATTATTTATATGAAATTTGGCTTCAAGGGGTTAAATTAAAAAATGACACCACCTTATAATTACTGCCCTGCCTTAAAACCCAGTACAATATTCTTGCAGCAAGCTATATGCTGTGATATTTCAGATTTCTAAGGAAAAACTCAAAACTCAAATATTATGTGACCAACTGCAGCTCAATTCTGTTATCACAAATAGAAAAGATGTTTGATAAGTCAGATGCACTCAAGTTCACCCCTAAAGAATACCCATGGGGAAGTTAGAACTTACCTATCATGGGTGAGCTACGATCATTTGTAACAGTTTTCTTCAACGTGGTTCCTTGACGTATAGAATCCAGCAAAATATTTCTACCTTCTCCATCTGCATGTAAAGTTTGGGGGCCTCCTCTCCCAAATGTCGGTGCTGGTGGCCCAGGTGGAGGTGGAGGGGGCGGAAACGGCATACTGCTAATCCCACCTCACCCACTATGGGAAATTCTGACCTGTAAAATGAAACACAGGAAAAGTATAGACTTCTACGATATGGGAACTTATACATAAACTGCAACTCTCTACTGCTTTCCCATTATGACAACACATTCACAACGTCTGATACAGCACTTAAAATTCTTACACTCCTTTCAACATAATGGAATCTTACATCAGAGCAAACATGTAAATTACAAGCACAGATCTTGGATGACTCATGTGCAAGAGTACCCATGCCCTACCTTAAGAAAGAACGAATGTGAGAAAAGTTCAAAGGTGTAAAACAACTTTTAAAAATATTCCTAACTGACATTACGAAGAAAATTTATATTTTAATGTCACTGATAAATGTAAACCATGCCTCCTGTTAATAATTAGTATGTGCAAACCACTGCTTGTTGGCCCTCTCACGACGTTCGTATACTTGAAACCGTAAAAGCCATATGTTACAGAATAAAGGCAGGGAGAATTAAAATGTAACTATTTACCAATAAACTCAACTACACTAATAAATTAACACGCAACACAGTTTTCTTCTCCATACAAGGACACCAAGGTTGTTATCTTTTATATCAAAACGACTTACACTATTTTAAGCACTGTCACTTTTATTCATATACAAATATATGTGGACGTACATTATCATGTACCAGTAACATTCAAATTAATTTTAATTACTTCTGACCACTCTCAAGAAATACGCTTCGTGCGAGAATTTTCGGCCATTACTACAAGGTATCATAACTGTAGACGTCCTCTTGACACTTACTTGAATTTCACTGTTCTTATTTAAAATAAAGGAACTTCTTCACGTTTACATATTCACACATTTTCTATCATTAATTACATATAACTTAGCTGATATCAAAACCATTCAAGTGAAGTACTGATAAATATTAAATACACATCCGCTTTCTACTGCTCCACCTTGCACCAATATGGCCGTCTTGGTGGGTGGGATTATGGGAGTGTAATGGATAGATAGTGTGTGGTGCTGGTCTTTAGTTCTGGTAATTTTCCTGCTTGATGTATCATGATGTCAAGTTCGCACTAAACAAAATACGCATATTGGCTGTAGAAGTGCTTTGAACACTATGAACGCATTGAACATCTGGATTATGTTTACCATTTAAGGAAATTCTATTATGGCTGTCCTGAACCTTGTAGTGAATATAATCACTACATAAAATATGTCCATATGTGCTTGATTCACAATAGAGGTAGAGATTTTTCTCATTGTCACTTCTGCCTTCTATAGAAATTTTACCTAGTGCTATCTCACCAGGGATGTCAGAATGTAAAATTGACCACCCACTGTATCTAATGTTACAGCTATTCCTCCTACATGCCTTGTGTAGTCTTACAAATTGACATTCCACCATCACTCAGGCTCCATACAGCAGGAAATCAAAATAATTTACTCATTAAATGTCATTCCCTCCTTCAATCAAATTTACACTTTCTGGCACATTATAGACTTGTATATTATTCAGCTTACTGCCATATAAAGATATTGTTCCCCAGCTTCTTATTGCACTTTGAACCACACTGTCTTTAAGATAAGTTGTTATAATTCAGTTTCAGTGCATATCATATAAAAGTAAGACAAACTTTTTAAATGAAAGTGGAGATAAAGCATGAACTACATTTGTTGCTGAAGTCATATGTTTGATATGTGAAAATGAATCCCCTGAACTGATTAAAATTCACTCATTATAGTAGTCTTCCCTGATGGCTGTGAACGTAATGTTCTGAGATTTCAGGATCTAACAGCAATTATGAACATGGCTATCTTTTGGGTTCCTGCATTGCATATTCTGGTAGATTTCTACTGAGGTTCCACTGCCCTGATGATGGGTGCAGGAAGCACCTCTGCAATATTCGTAAAATTCAACCAGGCTGCATGATGCAACAACCAAGAAAACGGCCATCTCTAAACGTAATATTGTTACTAGCATTTGCTAGCTATAAAACCAAATTCAACTAGAGTGATTTGTCTGAGACTTGTGCATGTAACATAATCAGACAATCTATAAAAAAAAGTTGAGTGGAACCACGGTTCAGGAGAATCTGACGTAAATACGTCTCTGTAATGTAATAATTCTTATATAAGATAAGTACTTGTGAAATTCGAAAACGTTTTTACCAGCACAATATTTTCTACTCTACGACACACTTCTACAAGCGATTCACAGCTCAGCTCTTTCCGCAATAACAAAAGCGGACTGTTGATGGCAGTAATACAATGCCGAGTAAACAGATGATGCAACAATTAGTTTCTTAGGTAACATAACAGTGCACGCAGGAGTTCATATACAAGCTGACCATTGTCGATCCATATTTACACATTGTTGGTATGGATCTTACACAACTTCGTTACGCTTTTTTGCCAAATTACCCTTCCGAATAGACGTATTTACGTCAAAAACATTTGCATACAAGTACAAATTCAAAACTTTAGAGAGATTGCCAGATTCTGAAGTGGTGGAATTTTACACTGCATTCATTTGACAGATTACTTGGCATGGCTAAATTCTAGATAAAAAAATCAACTTCATAACAGATCCAAATGAGCAGGGAAGTGGATCTTCCTAAATGCAGAAAATATAAGTTAAATATTCTGTTTATGGTAGGTAGCTGACAAAAATAATTAAGAGTTTTCATAATTATAAAAAAATTTATTTGTCACTGATACCATAATTATTCCAATGAATTACCATGACAGGGAAAACATGAAGTTGATGAAAACTAGGTACAATATTTACAGCTTTCCTGGTAAAACAAATGTAGTGAATGTACAAAAACTATGTTGTTTCTTGAGTTACTGAAAAAGAAAGAAAAACTGCATTATTCCATCCAAAAATAAACTAGAGTGAAGTTCTCATTTAAGACTTGGGAGTCAGGAGATCTGAGCACCAAAGTGACGAACATTTTAAGTATCAGCTTACTGTCTTTGCGTAGAAAAGACCTCTGAAACCATGTGAGGTAGTTCAGATTTGTTGCAATAATGTCAACTAAAACATGACGTTCCATATTTGTGCCACTGAGCTTAGCTCAGTAGTAGCAACTCACCTTTATATGCATACTCTAGAGCACTTGTAATTGTCCTCATATCTCCCTCTATGCTGTGAGCCCAATTCTCAGCATCTCCAATCTCTTTAAGTGCTCCACTAAAACTTTCAACAAGATTAACCCACTGCTGTGTCTGTTTGGCAAAGTTTGTTGCACTATGATGAAGTTGCTTGGCTTCTGCATCAAGTCTCTTTTGATTTAAATAAGCTTGAGCTACTCTGTGGTGGATGAAGAAAAGTATGACTATAATTTGTACTCTTCACCAAATAGTTTATGAGCAATCAAAATCAAGGAGGGTCACTTGGATGGGATATGTAGTGCAGTTGGACAGATAAGAAATGCATGAAACGTTCAATGGAAATCCCCAAGGTAAGAGCACTTGGGAGAACTTGCGCACAGATGCGAGGAAAATATTAAATCCATAAAAAGCAAGGAATATCTTACTGACAATCACCTGCTTAAGGCCTCTGCTTCATGGAATCAGTTAACTCAATAAAACACAACGAATATATGAGTTTCAAGGTTATGCATGCTGTAGCTGATTCATTTCTATAGCCAGTGATTAACAACAATAACATGATAAACCATTTGTACCAGTTTCTAAATTTGAGGCCTACTTCATACTGACAATACCTATTTAATCCCAATAATGTGATTTAATTTAGGTTTTATTTAAAGATAACTACCCTAACACTTACAACTCAAACTTAATGCAACTGACAATTGTTCTTACAACATACCAAATTCATTACTAGCATGAAGGAGGGGCAATGACCTTGGAGTTGTTCAACTGAAACATTGGTTACATTAAGTTCTACAATGTTTTTATAATATGGCATGAATGCCTTTTTGTTCACATTAAGTTTTGATACAATTACACTATTTACAGAGAAGGTGGGGTATCTCATTCAGTATAGTGACTGACTACAGATTAGATGACTGGGGTTTGAACCCCAATGGGGGCGGAGGATTTTTCCTCTACACTCTGGGGTCCACCCAGCCTCCTGTCCAATGGGCACCAGGGTCCTCTCCCATGGGTAAAGCACAGCTGCCCACTCACCCTCATCTTGTGTTGAGCTTAAGAATAGGTAGGAGCTATACCTACTCTCCCCTCAAGCGCCTACATGGCATGTAACAGCACAGCTTTATTTTTTTTCTTTACACTACTTACAGGCAGATATCTGTAGTTACATGTATGGATTAGCAAGCAACATTATACCATGTTCTCTTCTTAATAGATGCCCATATATTTTGCTTTCCTTGGTTTACCAACATTTTACTGCATAATGTTTACTTCGCTGTGTAAAAGTATGAATTTGATAATTACCCAACATTAAGATGGTCTACAAGGGCTTGGGTTAAATTATTGGCAGCAGCTACTGCTTCTTTTCTTTTTTGTTCTGTAAACAAACAAAATTATCAGAAAAACAAAGCATTACACTTCTGAATAGTCAAAAATGGTTCAGTCTGAAGAACATACATTCACAATATCTGTATTATACTTTTCTCTCTCTCTTTCTCATACCTCACTTTTTATCTTAACTTGCATGCACCTTTTATTTGGTGTGTATGCCCAAACTTTTCAGGCATGCAATTTTTTTAGATTATGAATAATGAACCAAGAATAATTAGGGTATCCATTGCTGTACACCATATGCAATACTGGAAAGTAACAAGTGTATCAAGCATTAGTTGGATAACACATTTTGTATTTCCTGGATATATATAGAACAAAATCTGTTGAATGACCGCAATGGTCTTCAGATCTCAGTCCACCGTACTACTACTGGGGCTTTGTGAGGGCACACATGTAATCAGAGAAGATTAACAGGCTACATCTTCATGAACATGTCACTGAAACATGATGTCCTTAAAACATGCATTATTAAATTTAGATATGTTCTGAACATGATGAAAGGTACACTGAACACATCTTGTGCTTTCCTAAAATGCACAACTTTCTTAAGACTCTGGGTCATTCTGAATAATGTATAGGGTTACATATCCCAGTTTTGAGATCTATGGTTCTTTCCTAGAGCCGAACAGCCTTTTATATAGTTCTTTTAAGCAACAAAATGTTACTAAACATAAAAAGAAGTCAAAAACAGCACTGTATTAAAAACAACAAAAATAGACAAAAATATTATATTTGTTTCTGCCTTTATCCCAAAGCACTCACATCATAGATGGGGCAGGTTTAATCATAAAAAGCAAGGCCTAGAACAGACATCAATAATGAGGTTGAGTATTAACCATAAAAGTTTTTTGCTTCATACACTAAACTTTAGTTTCAAATAGAATAGGAATAATATTAGCAGCCATGAATTTCATGTATGCAACATTTCGTGTGTGTGAAAAAACTGTTATGGTTCTGCTTCCTATCTACTACAATTCTGGTGCTTGTGGTCCCAGTTTCTTAAGACCATCAGTTATGAAATACAAAATACTTATTTTATATCAGATATTTTTCTATCCTGTGAGACTGCTTTCAACTGTGTGGGATATGAGGCTCTAATCACAATGAGTACAAAGTCTTCTGGGTTGTAGTGCTGAGACAGCCACATGCTTTCAGCTGGGCTGATATTTGTTACAAATAATCTTCAAATATAAAATAAAAGTTACTATCCCACATTAACCAGCAGAAATTATTATACATGTCTGCCTTGCAGTCTTTAGGCTGCAAAAACTACAGGTGTGGGTGGACAGATGGGTCAGTGTATGTAGGTAGCAATACATCTAATCAAAAGTTAAATAAGATTATGAGTGTTGTTCATAAGTCTATAATGCATGGTGTTTATTATATGTACAACCTAATTTAATATTCAATAACTTTTAACATTTTGTCCAGTGTGTTTGGGGGTTCGGTCTGATTCTTAGAAAAAAGAAGAGCTATTATTTCCCTTAATAGCGTTAACAAATTGATCTCTGTAATGGAGACATATTATATTTCTTTGTGATAGAAAATAAATTTTTCGATATTATTTGGATTACCTTCATGTCTCCAAGGATTAAGACCAAGGAACGTTTAGGCTACTCCAAAATAGCAATAATTTTTTTCGGACAACGGAACGAAGGCAGTGGAATCGCAATTTTTTGAAGCTGAAAACAAAATAATCACACAAACCTTGCTTCTCTTTTCTAGAAGCTTGTTTTGCTTGATGTTCCTTTACCATTGACGAAAGCATATTAAAATACAATACCCAGAACTAATATATGAACATACAACGCATTTCCTAAAAAAGAACTTCTACTATTCCCGATGCCCTTTAGCAGCCAATTACGAACATAATACTTTCTGAGATCACGTTTATCACGTTTCTTGGCCAATCCTGTCAAAGTCGAGCAAATACACCACATAAACAAATTCCAATACTATTCTTTATTACCAAACCCTTATATGCCATACTATCAAACAGAAGACACACGTCCGGAAGTTACATCGAGCAGACAACCTTACAAACGAAAATCCATAGAATAATACCATCATACCCTCGCTAAGACGCATGGTGTTGAGCTATTCATGTTACTCAGTAAATAATTTCATATATTGTTATAGACGGAAGAAAATCTCGTAAACATTTTTTCTACTGAAATTCTGGTGACTTTTACATTGTGGCACTACCTTAAATTAAAAGTGCTACAAGCAATACATGTTCCTTACCAACATATAAACATATAAAGACAACAAAACAGGAAGTTTCCAATAGGCCTACATAAAAAACATAACTGGCAAAGTACAATCAACTGATAAAATAAAACCAATGTATATAATACTGAAATGAAATATTCCCTCAAAATTTTTGCTTGCAATAATTATTTTTTAACATCTACTTTTACACAAACCTCCTCAATATTGATACCAATTTTACATTGCTTACAAAGAAAGCAATGCCTAATACCTATACATTTCTCTGCAGATTTCTCATTAAGTATGTGGTATCTATATATTTCTCTGTGCCCTTTATGCAGCACACCTTAATGTAACTGGGGAATAATATTAACATTTTAGTTAAGTATCTCAGCATTGAGTCTACATGCTCCATCAGTTGTGGCAGACAGTTTTTAGTAAAGTGAAGACAGAATTCAGCTAGTAACATTGGTCACTGTACATTAATACATTCAGATACAACTGATATTTTCTCTTTTTATGCAATCACTATTCATCATATACCAAAGGTCTATGTGTCAGTATTATGATAACTGATGTTTGTGGTGCTTGCTGCCGTCATCATCAGGGCGATAAGCAAGTACCTCTGAAATGTTGGTAAACTTCTGCCACACTACATAACACAACAACCCAGAAGACAGCCATTTTCATGTTTGCCACTAAGAGAACCTGAAATGTCACAAAATAAATACTTGTGGTGTCTGAATAATTCTCATCATCTGCTGTGACAAGACAAGATGGTGACACTGGATGCTTGTTGCATATAGCGTTTTCTGGGAGTCTTCCTTCCGTTTAAGAAAGTACAATGAGTGTTTAATTGTATGTTGCTTGTAGTAGTACTACTAACAGAATTATCATAATTAGCAGCTGGAGATCAAATCCTGTAAATACACATATATGAATTCTTCAAGTGCACAAATATACACACAATTTAGTGCAGACATGAGTGCACATCCCGACACATAGAGCCATTTTCGTAAGAGGTGGCAAAATTCTTTACAATTAAGTGACTGACAGACAGCTTTGAGAAGAGGAAGCTGCAGAGAATATTCAGACCTAGAAGATTATAAGAGGAGACTGCAGAATATTATGAGAAGCTTCATAATTTGATAATTTTAATAATTAGGATGGTGAAATCAAGGATGACATGAGTGGACACGTGGCATACATGGAGGATATTTGAAATGTATTTTAAAAATTTACTTTGAAAAATAAAGGGAAGAGATCACTTGTAACATCTCTGCACAGATAGGAATATCTCAGAATGGATCTTAAAGAAACAGGGTAGACTGGAATCAACTGGTGCAGTAGTGTTCAGTGGTGAACATGGTAAAGAATCTGCAGTTATGTACAAACTCAAGCAGGACTCTGCTCCATGTAGTTTTATAAATATGTATATAATTTTCTATTAAGCCATACGTCACAAAATTACACAATAGTCTGCAAACAATAAATAGAAGATTTGATTCAAATCAGCATTTGCAGCATTTTAAAATGTTAACAATAGCGTGCTTTATTTCTTCCACATACACAACAAGGAATGGGCGGCAGTGTTGAGAATGCTGAGTTTTGCTATTTGGTCTGTGCCTCTAATTCCCGCTCCACTAACCGCCTGTATTCATCAAAACCTCCTTCAATGCTTCTGACACTAATATTTCCACAAACCCACAGTTCTTTGCACACCATACGAATCAGTCGCTCATCATGTGATACCAGAATCACACCTCCCTAAAAGAGAGACATAAAAACTGTTAAGAACATATAAAGATAGAGCAGATAAAAAAAATTGCTTGGCCTTGATGTTAAAACTGTCACTTAAATATTATACGTGAGCAGACTACTGTATCAAAGCCATATCATTATGTAATAACAGCAGTGATAATGTAGATTATGCTTCCTAATATGACATTTAAATTCCTGTCAGTAAAAGTGTCATAAGTTGTCAGTACCTTACCTAGTATTTTCTCTCATATTAATCACAGAGCAATTTAATAAGTGGGAAGGAATGATAGTACACTGTGTATCTAAAGAATCTACCATTAACATGTAACCTCAACAATGAGGAAAATAAAGATATTAAATATACAAATTTTGTACACACTCACTGAAATATGTGTGATATGAACACTTTGCTGTCACAGTCAACCGTGGTGCACATTTATTATTTTGTTTGAAACTGACACCTCAAAACATTGATTACCTTATTTTAAATATTATTCTTTATAGATGAAATAAATTTATACAAAAATAAAATGTTCTTTCTTCACTATGGTTATGATTATATTAAAAAAAGCATTTCCGGGCAGCTGACAACAGATCACATAATTGATACTCAGTAGGGTCTCGCATCCTCATTCCATAAGAAACTAGCATATTATAAAATTGTACATAATGCCTCAGACTTGGAGGAAAATCTGTTCTAAAGTTCTTACATGTGCATGGATGGACAAGGTGATTTTAGCAGTTACTCCACAGGGATACAAAAGTACCTAAATATGAGTGGTCAAGAGCGACATTTTAATAGCCTACGTCTCAGTTTCTGTTTTATGAAAAACAAATTAAAATTTTACAGTATGAGGCATACTCACTGTGTATTTGTTTATGGCCTTCCCAAGTGCTTCAATAGTTTCAATGTCGAGGTGGTTTGTGGGCTCGTCAAGCACAAGGAAATTGGGACTGCCCATGCACATCCTTGCAAAGGCCACACGTGACTTCTGCCCTCCTGATAAGCTGGCTACTGTCTGCAAAGCCATGTCACCTGTGATCCCGAAACTTCCCAACTGGCGACGATATTCCTCAATTGGTTTACCTGTTTAATGTAATTATAATAATAAAATTAAAGTTTAGTAAATCCTAAAGAAATTTCTGTGATTGTTATCCCAGAGCTAAAATGTGCAAGGCTCATATTTTTCAACTTAATTAGTTTACCTGCATATTCAAAACCCAAAAGATTGGAATGAAATTATCAGCTAAATTTTAGATATCTGCTATTCACTTAGGTTCTTAAAAACAACTTGTAATACTGCACCTGGGTAACTTGACTGCAGCAACTCTACAGAATTGGCATTCATATCGAGTTGGTCAACATGATGCTGGCTGAAGTAACCAAATTTAAGGTTTCGGTGAATATGACGAATTCCTTTAGTTGGTGTCAAAATGCCCATGATGATTTTTAGAAGTGTTGTTTTACCAGTTCCATTATCACCAACCTGAAATGTATGTTCTCTTACTCCAGCACATCAACTGCTAATTTACATAACTCTGAGGACACATTAATTAGTGTACTATATTCATCAAATATATTTTTATATCAGTGATTAATGTAAATAAGGGTTTTCACGAATGAAATTACATTGCATTTAGTCTGATCAGGAACACTTATAAAAAAATTCATCAATTAGTTTCATTATGCAAAAACCAGAACTGAAATTACTAAAACTGGTGTGACAATTCTGAAGTACAAATAAGTTGTAGGATTATGAAAACTTTAATATAGCAGCATACTGTACGATGGTATACTTTTGGTTTGACAATGGATAGTTAGGAATAAAGCACATGCATTGTTGTGTAGGAATAAAATACATGAACTCCACTTTTTTCTCTTCTTGCAGCACAAGCTGTGTCAAAATACACCACTCATGAATTACTCACAATGCATATCCTAGATTCTAGTGTAGCACCCAGATTTACATTGCTGAAGATCACTTTATTAGGTGAATAACAAAATGACACTTCATTAATTTGTAGAATCGGTGGTGAGAGTGCCTCAGCCTCGGGAAACTTCAGGATAACCTCGACGTCTTTCTCAATGGCCTTCAGTTCTGGCCTGTGAAACAGAATTCATATTGAGATGTGTGCATATCTTCAACACCAAGTGCACAGCATAGGAGGCTTCAATCTAATCAAGGATAACATGTTTAATTTCTTGAATTTTTCCATAATATAATGCATTCAACTCATGGAAATTCTCATAACTTCTGCATAATTTTTTGCATACCAACTACTGGAATGACCTGTTTTATACAGACACTTTTCATGACATTTGCTGTAATTTCTGTTTAGTTCTGGACATACAATGATGTTTGAATATATGATCTAAACACACGAGAATAATGGTTATTTTTGTAATAACTATAAAAAAATCCACAATGACATGCAGTGATTCTAGGTGAATAGTTAAGTCTTGAGTACAAAGTAGCATACTCACAGCTTCTCCAGCATTTTGATTTTGCTCTGTACACTGGATGCCCGATTGGCATTGTATCGAAACCTGTCAATAAACTCTTGAACATGAGCTCGGTGCTGCTGCTGGGCTTCAAATTCTCGTTGCTGATTCCGAAGCTTTTCTGTCTTGGTCTTCTCAAAGTTCTCATAGTTACCTCTGCACAACAAAATAAGTATTAGTAGTTTTATGAGTTTTAGGTCAATAATGTTCTGTATTACAATCTTCTGAATCTCTATACTGTAAGATACTTTATATTTATACACAGAGCTTGATTAATATCACTGTTCACTTAGCAAAGGCAAGATGAGAAATTTACAAGTCTCTAAAATTAATGAAATTCATTTCTGTTTTTCTTTATCTCTAAAGAATTATGTGTATATTCTGGAAATACCTTTAAAACTATTTTATTTTACATTAACTACAGAGTATCAAACTAAATCAAAGTTAAAATTATTTAAATGTATATGTAGAGATAAAGTAATTTCAAAAAATTAACAAGATTAAAATTTTGAAACTGTAACATTACTGTCTCTTTGTGGAGAGCTACAAACACAAATTTCATGCACAACACATTCTGAATTCATCAGTCTTGACCTTCCACTTCTTATATATAAGTAGATGAGCAATGAATGTAAGATTATCAATACCTCAAATATGAACCTGTGAGAACACGTACGTTTTGCACAGTTACACTGACCTGTATGCATCAATACGCTGTGAATGGAGATTCAAAATATCTGTTGGTACAGTGTCAAGAAAATTTCGATCATGAGAAACAACAAGTAACGTAGTCGGCCAGTTCTGAAGGTAGTTTTCTAGCCAAATAATGGCCTTGATGTCTAACATATTTGTTGGTTCATCAAGAAGAAGAAGATCTGGTCTGTTAGAAGAAACACAAGCAAAAACATTAGAACATAAACTTCAAAAAATAAAGCCAGCTTTCACAGTACATAGCCATAAAAGGTACCAATTAAGGAAATAGGTATGTAGGATTTGAGGTTTTCACGGCGATGAGTCAGAAGACTGGAATCTTAAGGAAATAGATACAAAGTCATTTTCAATACCACTGTTAGTGCAACCTTTATTTTCTAACAGTTTTAATATCTTTATTCCTCCTTCAGTTTTAAAGTGAATTAAACCAATTATCCAGCCATAGTACTGCCTCTCTATTCAGTAATAAACCAGGTAACAGTCTCATATTTAAATAAAAATCACAGTAATCTTTAAAAAAAACGAGGCCTTCAAGGGCAGAAATGTGACACTGTGGATAAAAATAAACAAAATCATGAAAAATAAAGTGTGCCACCATTTATTTACCTTGAGAAGAGGGCACGTGCGAGGGCCAACCTCATACGCCAACCTCCAGAGAACTCTTTAGTTGGGCGCTGCTGCATTTCAGGTGTGAAACCAAGGCCATTCAAAATAATACTTGCTCTCGCTGGTGCTTTATCAGCCTCAATATTCTGAAGCTGTGCATACACCTCCGTAAGCTGGCTGCTAAGCTCTGGATCTGTACATCTATTACAATGATTACAACACAATAAAGTATGTAGTTCTAGCATGATCACAGGCTGACTATTGGAACAACTAAAGACATGAACAGGTTATGATGACAGAAAAAAAAATGAAGCTGAAAGGCTGATTTATTGCATGAAACAGTTAAAAATATACCACAGTCAAACACATCTGATGGTCACTTGTGACTTCAGGACTGCCTCTCTGCCTAATTTGCACAGAATACTATAGCACACACAATAGCATATACTGTGCATCTCTTAGGGGCTCTTTCTGAGTGATAAAGTTCCTACAATCTTTGAAAGAAATTACATATGAACAGTCATAAGCTGATCTGCAGATTATGGAGTTCTGAATTTTATAATGGTTTTCCTAAGCAGTGCAATTAATATTGATCACCAATGGCTTTTACTACTACAGAAATGTTTGAGTTGTGTGTGACAGGCACTTTTAACCTGTTATTCTAAATAAAATGCATCAAAATTATGGAACTTATTTCTATAAGATACATCTACTTAATGACTGTAAATACAGGTATTTTAAAATAATTTTCTACATGCAACTTTAATAAACTACACAAATAATGTAAACAATAACAGGTACTTAACCCCATAACTGACCATGATAGTGCACTGCAAGAAGCAAACACTTTTATCATTCTTACTTTCACAAACCTCAAGTTCTAAAAACTGCAGGACATGCCTTATTGACCTTTCCTGCATCTCTTTCAAGTACAAAATAGATTGCTTTATGCATTAGACCTTATACAGTCTCCTCGTAACAATGAAGCACACAGAAGTAAGGAAATGGGAAGACAGAAGGATTTACAGGAGAAGCAGTGAACTATGTATACAATGTTTCACTTTTTTGTGCAAATACATACCCTTTATTGATACTGACACTAATCTCACGTTCTTTACTCAGTAGTTCCTCACGTAATGCATCACATTGTAAGACACTTTCCAGTGCTGGTGTATCATCACCCACCACTTCCTGCTCAACATGTAGCACCGATATGTGTGATGGTATCCGCAGCTGACCACTATATGCAAGACAGACTGTAAGGCACTGCAGATGTACATTATATTCTAAGCATTTTTCTTCAAACATTGCCACTTTCTAGCAAATTTACATAACATAAACCACCAGTGACAAACTGCTGTGACTAAACAGTAGTCTAATTTATAATCCACATTGCTGCCACAAACAAGAGCATATAAAATAATTATAATTATTTCATTTACTGCAGCCATAGCATAGAAACTGAAATGTATTGTCATAAATTGCATTATTAACAAAACTAATAATACATCTGCTGATATTGCACTGTATACAAATATATAAATTACATGTTCCTTGAATTTTATTAAATACATCAATCAAAATATGTTTCCAATGAATTGTACAAAACACTGATCACATATTTTATATCATGTACCAATGTTCACAAAGAGTTAGGATCTTATTGGAGCAACGCCAACTGAAATGTTCTTGGAAATTCCCAATACCAAGTTTCAATTACATCTAACCCACCATATCAGACAAGAAAGTATACTAGCAAAACAGAGCTATCTAGAGGGGGTCCAAATAAACTCTTACAAGAGGAAAAACTAAAAATTGATGTCTAAAAATATAAACCAACCAAATGTATACATATAACGCAGTCTACATAGACTGCAAAGCTGCAGAACAATAAAATGAGATACGACAGAGATTACAAGTAACAAAAAGAATAAAATAGCTGCAGAGTTAGTCAACAGCAACAACTTCAGAGAGAAGAATCTGACCAGAGCATAATTTCTAAAATCTCAGAATTAATAAAATGACAGGACTTGTCTGTGTGACTCCACCTTGCACATTCTACTCGATATGCCATCTGTACTAACTATATTTCAAAGTCAATTCCATCCAGAAGATAAGGAAGTTAAAGAGGAGATGTTAAAAAGCACCATGGTATATACCTAGATATCATTCGAAGTAATGTCGTCTTTCCTAATCCATTTCTTCCAACCAGCCCATATCTTCTTCCATATGCTAATGTAATATCTGCAGCTGCAAGTAGAACCCTAAAACAAAAAATATCACCTAATGCAATAGCCTGAAAACTTGGCTGCTTGCACATCCATAACCAAAAGCAAATACTCACAGACAACACACATCCACACACCTGTTTCCAAAAGCCACATCAAAATTCTCAATACGAATGTCCTGTGCACGGTTGTTTCCTTTGTCCTCCATCTTAGCCTCTTTCTTACTTGTAACTTGTGATGCTGTAGCAGATTCAAGACGCACCGCTGTCACAGTGTTACGACTATTTGCAGAGTCTTGACTTCGCTTCTCTTGTTTCTGTTGTAATTTTGCTTCTGCTTTCTCTAATTTCTTTGCATCAACTTTCTGACAATAAAACAATAAAATATTATTACTAGTATTACAACTGCTGCTGCCATCACAATCTCCTACAAACCAACAACATTTATAAATTACACACACAGACAACCAAAATTCTTATTAAAGATTAATACGTCCCTCCTTCACAGGCCTAGTACAATGTTCTCTGAAGGTGGCGCACACAATTAACACTCAATCCACCTGAAGCACAGCACAACAAACATTACAGTAAAACCAGCTTAAAAAAAGTGGTGGTGGACAGGAAGTTGTTAAAAAAGTTTATGTGGTGTGATGTGCTGTGTGTGTACCTTAAAATATAGGGTTAACTGCCAGCTTCTTTTGTCATGATAAAACCAATCTTAACCACAACTGGCATAGTATGTGTCTCAAGAGTTCAACAAGTCAGTTATTGCTGTGAACAGTGTTTATTTTACTTGAAGAATATTGGTTCACTGAAATGAAATATTAACACACATTCACTGAAATAAGGTTACATTTTAAGAACCTGATTAAGATGTAATTTTGTAAGTGGCACACTAGACATAACGGTATAGAGAGATTCACTCTTTTTTTTTTATTTCAGGAGAATAACTGACCCTTTTTGCCCAAAAGTTACTTACTTCTGTCTACATCAGTCTCAACAAAGTATGTTGTTGTTTTCACTATAATGTTTATTCTCCCTAAGGCGAGACACTCTTAGCTGAAGAACAGAACTCTTCCATATCCTGTTACAAAGTTGCTTCAACTGTATATACTAATGAACATATGAAATAATATTTAACTCACAAGTCCATCATCCCTTGACATGACCCAAATACTTTTAATGGCTTCAACATTATTCTCTAGGTTGGCCGCCATGGTTGCAAGATGCACAGGTGCATTAAGCACCTTTGCTGATCCAGTATTTATCATGCTGGCCTTTTCAGGTTTCATTATATGCAGGAGTTTATCACAGATATTTCTGGAAAAGAGTCATTTTTATTATGTTTCACTGTAAAGTACCACCAAACATAGGCCAATTTATCAGCCATACATTTCCTACCTAAGGTGAACATTTGTTTTTGATTTAAATTTTAAATTTCAAGAACTACAGAATTATGCTATAGTCAACTTCAGAATAAAGTAACCTATATACACCAAAGATTTTTCTGACCAAATTACAATACACTTTAGTAGAAACACACACTTACCATTTTCCCATTCTCTCTCTTTTCTTTTCAGCTCTAATTTGCATCTTGTAACTCATAAAAATGTCTTCATAATACATCCTGTTAGTTTACCATAAATAAATTACCTTTTTACTAAATTATAATTCCATAAAATACCTTTGAATCCAAGACGATTTCAAGTGTTGTCAGCCTATTATTCATATTCTATTCTACATTATAACTAGACCATATCATAGAGTGTGACTGGCCCAATGGCTATGGTTTCTATAATCAGAAGTTTAGCCTCAGTATCTACAGCTGGACCATTCCTGTTCACATGATAGTCACACTTAACTATTAGCTCTGGATCTGACAACTCCTCCTTTCTCTCCTCCACATTTATATAATAATCTTAGCCAATTTTACACATTTTTTATTTATAAACTTCTTCAGATCCATTTAAGTTGAGATAAAGTGAAAACTCTTCAACTTCTGAAATCTATGACTATTTATTGAAAGGTATGTGTTTACCTGAACTGTAAAGACACAAAATTTGTGGTAATTCTGAGTTATGGATGTTGCAAACAAATACAGGAAGGTAATCATAGCATGTGCTGCAACATAAGCAAGATAACATGGCTCAAGCAATCAAAACTAACTCTTAGAAGGCAGTATTCAGGTGGGCATCAATTTGGCTCCCCAAATACCATGATGGAATCTGATGTTAGTTCAGCAATGTCTGTTAAATGGAATATGTCTTCTAACAATAGATGTGTACTGAAATCCTTGAAAATTCAAGTCAGATACAAATTTATTGGCATTTATGGAAATGGATATATCAAACTTTTAGAATAATCCATTGAAAAGGACTAATTCTAAAAAATGAATAAAGAAAGGTTGGACTCTTGTATAAAATCCTTCACCTTCATTTTTGATATTAGTTACATTTCTTAGATTACATGTATTTTAATTTTTATTAAGGTGTGAGCCCAATAGTAATTTGTGTTTATGTCACTGCATTTCAGTTCATATTTGCAACTATCTTTCTAAAGTGAGGATATTGGTGGTTCCATATGAGTTTCTGGCCACTTTATGAATGTGTAGTACCAGTGTGTTATACAACATTTCACGTTGGAGTGCAACTGGATGGTTGATACTAGAATAGAATAGGGAGTGGTAGAAGAGGGCCAGAACAATAAGTTCCTATATACTACAAATTTTACCTTGCAATAAAAAGGGAATAAGCATGAAGAAAATTAAATTCTTTGATTAAAGTCCAACTAATACTATATACATGCAGCATGACCTAGAATGCATTACAAACATCTGATTGTCACCTAATGTCCATTTCTGACTTCTCTTCTGCAACCTCATGTAGTACTTCTCCAATAGCATCATAAAGCTCTCCACTGTCCTCAAAATCATCTGCTCCGCTAGCTAGAATTCCTGTAAAAGCACTTATAGTAATTACTATTTAAAATAAGCAACACAAAACTTCTAAAATTGGTTGGGAAATAATAAATCATTGTACAGCCTAATTAATAAATATAACTATAACAATAATACCTCACAGGTGTAAAAATAAGAGTATGCTACTTTTTTCAAACTTCTCAATAGCAACACATACCTTCTACATATTGATATAAATCATCGTCAATTAACGGGAATTCTGATTTAATGTACTCACTGCAAGCTGCCATGTTGCAGAATGCAATTAGGACTGGTACAGGATGACCAACGTACTATAAGAAGTGTAAAGTGGAATTAAATAAAATGTATTAAAATCAACTAATTTACATTAGTATAGTGACGCAATTAAGACAGTATTCTTTACACAGTAGTTTACAAGAAATATATTCTTTTGAATAAATGAAGGGTAACCTCAAAATTAATATTTTAATGTTCTGATTCCATTTATTCGTGTGGCCTTTTCTTGGGATATAATTACGCAAATGTTTGACACCTGTTATACATTCACAAGGTTGTTTTGTTAGTGTACTTTACCACGCAAACTTCAGCCTGGATAACACATGAACAGAAATTGCAAATATACATTTTATTTTAACTTGGCTCACGAGTAACAGCAAATTGGTACTTCATTCATGTGTTCCTCATTTTAAGCTGCCCTGTTGTGGCTGCGAACGATGACGTGCATTGAAAAGTCGCTTTTCCACGCCTTCACAATGCTTTGGCAAATATTACGGAAGTTATCGATTGAGTGTCATTTAATATTTTTCGATATGCGGGGCTCTCGAAATTGAACGTGAATGTTCCTTATACACAATTTTAGTGTAGTAAAACTGTTAACGAAAGCCAACAGTTATGGGTTACATTATGTGACTGTATCTTGTCTTTATATCAAAATAACTTGTTGACCTATGTTGTGAAATGTGCCATTATTCTGTACATTAAAAATGTATTGTGTGCACTTTATTATAATTTTACCAGATGCATCTATTTACTGCTTCATACCACTTTTAGTGATCAGTTTGTATTTACTCTTACTGAAGCAAACTACCACCTTATCACCAGTGCCCCTGAATGCCTTCAACAGTGTGGTGCATAGGTATGTGAGGCTGTTCTTCATTAAAGCAATAACATCAACTCTGAATTCATTTTCATTCTACATTCTCCAAATACTCACTTTCTCATTTTTAATACAATAGTTAAGAAGTAAAGGCAATGAATTATCAGTACATAATTTATTTTATCATGACCATTAAAAGTGGTTCTAACCTTATGTTGGTTGGTTACTTACCAGTACAGGAGATACAATGTTCAGTCTCTTCCGTGGATAAACTGATCTCACATAAACTGCAGATAACAAATTTCATTTCATACACTTTGTTCTCCAAAAATTTTATTAGTTATTAAAAACATATGTAGACATGTCTACATAATCACAATTAATTCATACTTTCATCACAACCAACAACCAAAGAATCATACAGTGACTGTGGCACATTTACATATGGTTCGTATGTCCACTTTGGAAATACACGTTTGTAAATATTCATCAGCACTGTGTCTTGAGATTTCAGCTGTCCATCAAACACACACTTCATATGACCATGAGTACCTGAAATAAGTGAAAATATAAATGTACTGTAAGCTTTATACACATATTTTTAATAATATCACTATGTGGACATCAATAAAAAGATCAGAGTGGATCACAGAAACACACTGTGCTTTTGACAGAGTGCTGTTCTATTCCGAATTTATTCACAATTCTGCCACATTCTCTTACATCACCTTACCAATATGACTGTATAATATCATTTCTCTCTGTTATTAGGGATTTGTGACTTCTGAAGTGTACCTATTTTTATGGAACATCTATATTAACAAGTTGATTTCAAAAGAAACATTCAGTGTTAATGTATATGCAGCTCAAACTCTCATATCACCTACTCATCACCAAGATAGATCAGAAAATCACTCATTTGACATACTTAGCTGTCCTATATCAGATTAAATGCAACTGGGTTAAGTAATGACAACTTCAAGTGAAATTGAAACAGGTTATTTTCTCAAATATCCCAATCTAGATGTTCGAGACACAACATGCATATTTTAACTATGTTTTCTTGATCCTAGGATACCTAACATGTGAGTATACTTCTTTAAACTATGTATTAATATTACTCACCTAAGGGTTCTCTAATATGTCCCCTCCGCCCATATTTTGTTCTCAATTCTACTGGCTTAAACCATTCTATATCTTCGCGGTTGAAGAACATGAATCTTACAACTGCAGAACGCTTGTTCACTTTAAACAGATGTCCTGACAGTACAACACGCTTTGCAATAATTCGGTCTGGGTTCACAGACAGCAGGTGTCCTGTTGCAACTAGTTCCTGCAAAAAATAAAGATTCTTTTGCTAACACAATGATATAACATTTGAAAACATTCTACATTTACGAAAGTACTTTGCCTACTTCATAAGATGAGATGCAAAATTCAGAAATGATTTCTGTTGATTGTGTAGAGCTATTCTTGTAATATAAAAAGTTTCCACTATTTCATCTTAGCATCTGCATAACACTTTTAAACTATGAAAAAAAAGCACCTAATTCATGAAACCTACCTGAGAATGATCTTTCATCTCCTTGTACACTAACACAGAGCTTGGTGGGAACATAATTGGAGCAAAAACACTTGCTACCACAGTACCTTCTGGCCGGAAGAATCGTTCATACTGCAAAGGAACATAACCGAAATTTTAAAAAAAAAGCAAAAGGAAAATTACATTTATCCAACATTACAATAATTTGTTCACACCTATATGTGTGTGGTTCATGCCATTCTAGGTTGATTTCTATAAATACTTAATTCCTCTTTTGAAGCACTGGAGTTTGTATAATCAAACTAAGTGAGAAGAAATTGAGGAATACCTGTGGCAAGATAAAGATGGAAAGATATGATTGTCAGATGACTCACATAAAGTAGAAGGTTTTGAACATGAAAGCAAAAGGAAAATACCAAAAAGCCAGACTGAGACCAAGATGTAAGGAACCCAATTATCATATTCAAAAATGCAACAAAATTATAATGCTTATCATTTCGGATGTACACTCTCAGACAAATGTTTGGTATGTTTCAAAATATGAAACTTACTTTATACAGTACTGTGGAAGATCTAGTACTTCAAAAATGTGAAAATACTTACTTTATGTTTAGTGCCATTAGTATGTTGACTAAAAATAGGGCATGCTTTAAATCTCCTGTAACCACAATGGAAGATTAGTTGCTCCTTTGCTCTGACTGGCTGCTGTGTGTGCTTTCCAACATTTGGATGCCTGACAACAAAGTTCAGAACAGACATTTTTTGTTCATGTGGCAACATTCCACATAGAACAAGTGGTTGATTCGGCCGACGAGAGTTAAACAGATGCTGTGGAACTCCGATGACATGAACAGTGACATACCAACCAGGCTGCCAACAAAGCAATATATGAACTTACATATTCATTTGTTTAACAGAAATATAAAATTAATTACAAAAATCATCTCCCATAATTAATATATTTTACTAACACACACTTCATGGAGATCTTAAACCTAGAAAGATGTATGGCATCCAGACTGACAACTATCAACATTTATTCTCTTTTTTTCCACAGACAGGTACAATGAACTTTCATAGAAAATATTACATGTTAAGACTCATAAATTAACAATAAATATCATCAAAATATATAAAAAGAAAGTTCTGATTGATTTACCCAATTCTAATGTGTCAAGAGTTAGAAGTTATTCAAGAGCAACATAAAAATTGCAGTGGCTTAAATTCATGCTTATTTGATTCAGTATACACACCAAAACTCCTTCCTTTGATTCCTCCTTCATAATCCTTTTGCGTGTGCGATCAAAGTTCTCAAACTGGAATATCCTGCTATATTCACTTGGAAGATTCTCTTTGGGATCCCATGGGGATGTTCTAAATGACTTAAGACCACGATACTTCTGAAAACGGACCCTTGCTGGAGTATCCATTGGAGTGTCAAGCTCATCAGGGAAGAGTTGCTCCATTCGTGCTTCTGGAAATTAAAGAAAAAATACTCTTCATGCAGCTACACAACAATATGCTAATACACTAATAGCATATATCCACCTATACATGTTTTGATAAATGTTAACACTATTTTGCTTAACTCAAATGATTACTATCATTAAATGAGCAGAACCTTTTCCATTCACTACCTACCCTTAATCTTCTTCATAGTCTCTTCCTCCTCCATCAAGTCCATTCTTTCATCATATCGTTCAGCATCAACACCAAAGTCAGTCATCGTCACAGTATCAAATTCCCCTTCATCGGCCTGTTCTCCATCAGAGGTGTTTTCTTCGCTCACTGCATCCAAGTCAACATTCATACCACACTCATCATCTTCACTAATATCAACTTCCTCTGGAAAAGAAAAGTTGCAAAATACCTATAACAGAACTTCTTTCCAAGGTATTAAGATATTTTCCATTTCCAGGAACTTGCTAACAGTCCTAGTAAAAGGTACATATGTCCCTATGCTTAATTAAGCGAGACACAATGAGGATGCGTGAGAAACTAGAGGCATAATTCCACAAATTCTTAAACTCGGCACTAAATGGAGGGGAGTAGTCCCTAGAGTTACTCTGGATTCAATGGTGAAGTAATGCAATAGTAAAATTTGACACTTGAAAGATCCAATTCTTTGTGTGAAATTATTAATTAGAGTAGCAATTATAATGAAATTAGAGTAGCAAATTTCGCCACTTCTGAAAATATAAATGCCAAAACTGCATACAACATTTCAACACTGCAATATACATAAACCAACTTGGACCTCTATGTAGGATAACACAAAATCTGATCAATAATGTCTTAAGAGATAACAGAAGGGATTCAAGTGTAAATGACATCCAGTCCCCTACAGGAGGTGAATGTTACACTGATTGCAAAATTTACAAACATGAGGAAAAAAAAACGTTTGATTGCGTTCATGGCATTAGTTCCCATACGTAGCACAGTCACAACACATCACACCTTCATAAAATGATATTGCATACGAAAACATTCATCTAACAAAATTCTTCCACTGTATGATATTTTTAGGGACATTACTTGACTTACAGTACACCAAAATGAGGTATATAATTCCATCTCATATAAGTAAAACTCTATCACACCTGCATCACTGTCAGGTATCCAAGCTGCCTGATACTCTGACATTCCCTTTGGTACCTTCTTTATTCTGCGTTTCATAGCTCTAGACTGCTCCTCAGCTTCTGCAAGTTCCTCCTCAGTAGGCCATGTCTGTTCACCTTCCATAGGATCTGGGATGTTTTCAGTTTGAAGTGACTCCTTCACATCAATATATAATCATAATAGAGTGAGACAAATATGACACTAGACATGTGAGTTACAAGATCGGCTTCCACAATGAGACGGGTAGCCAATTAACTGAAAGAATCCTCTGCATGGGAAAAAATATCTTATTTACTCCCTTCTTGTGTTCTTACAACCTTATGTGCTTGATTCTAACAGCTCTCTTTCTACAAAGGAATTTATCTTTAGCGTATTACTTCATCATCACGAGCACACACAAGAAGCCTACAGCAATAACATCTGATTTTTCAGACCACACAACAGTGAAGTACAAACCCAAATATGCAAAGAAAACATCTCACAATACAATTTGTAACAGTGCTTAAAAAACAAATTAGTATATCAACACAACTCTGCTAAACCCTGAGGAGATCGTAAATCAAACCTGTATCACGGGATCAGCAATTTCCAACACCCTCTCATCTTCATCCATTGTTTCATTGACATCTTTTCTGCCTCCTTTCCTTCCTTTCTCCAATGGATGTGGATCCTCAGCAGCATCAATCTGAGACATCTGAAAATCTCCCCAGCCTGGGATGTGGACAAGGGAATTGACACACATGGGTTGATAGCGCACATAGCCAGTCACTTTCAAAGTGCCTAAAGAGCCCTAAGAATAATAGGCAAAACAATTCAATAGTCAGTTTACAGATTTACATCTTTTGTGCTACTAACAATGCAGTTAACCTTACCATAAAAAATGTGACCAACTTAATAGGGCATAGTCCATAATGAGACACTGACAGTTGCTCAAATGGTTCTGAAATTCCTTACCTTTTATGGAACCTGATGGTCCAATAACCTGTTCAAGAGAGCCTGATATTGAACCCTGTCCAGAGCCAAGTTAAAAGGTCAAAAATTATTTCTATAAGATCAATTTCAATACCATCCTTAAATATATGCCTGTGTCTTTTAAGTAATCGCTTCCCTTCAGACATTTTGACCAACATTCTAAAAACATTTTTCATGTTCCTTGTGTATTATACATGTGCCACCCATCTCAAACTCTTGATTTGATCATCACCACAGTAAATGTCTTATTAACTAATGCACAGTGAAAATTAAATTACATGTCCAAGAACTGGAGCACATAAGTTTTAAACCAAAATGATACGTAATGTGCTAAGATGTTAGCTACTGCTAAACCAACATGCCCTATATGCAATCACCTCAGCATCTGGAGTGTAATCCGCAATTTCTGCAAAAAGATGGGGTCGTACATCACGGTGGTTAACAGAACGCTGCTTCTGACTTCCTGTTCGCCGAAGAATTGCCAGTCCATCAGTGGATTGGCTCAAAGTCATAATTTTTTCATCAGGCAACCAACATGATAATGCTTTTTGAAGATTCTGCTTTCCATCATGTCGCTTCTGCAACAAAAGTTGAATAAATCCCATTTTAATACATTTGTATTATATCCCACAACAACTTGGCCATGAAGACAGCAATTATGACATTTCAAATGTTCTTTGAGCCCCTTCTGCTTACATTGTGATCAAACTCTGAATATAGAAGACTTGGCCAATTCTACAGACTTTATTCAGCAATGTATGCAAAAATGAAGGGCTCAAAGAGAAAATTTCATAGGTAGTTTCAGTCCCCAAAGGGCAGAAAAATATATTTATATGAATCTGTAAATACACTTGAATTGTTTTTAAACAAAGAATTTGTTCCAATAATTCTTGAAGCGAGAAATAGCCAACTGAAAAAGGAGCAAGACCAAAGTCGTGTGTTGTCTATCACAAGCACAGGAAGAAGAGGAACAGTGTTTATTGGTGTACGAAATGTGATGACAGGCTCCACTCTAAAAAGAATATGTGGTCATGTAGTAATTTGTATGTTATTCTGAATGTAAAATGTGAAAAATATTAACCATTTAATACAGTTTTCTGGTTTTAAATGTTTCTCACCCTCAGCTGTAAGTAAAATTAAAATGTCCTATGGTGATGAAGTTTAGAAAAATGTAAAATATATTTTATTAACCACATAATTTTAATGGAAGACTCATCACAAAATCCAAATGAAAATGTCTACAGTAAAATTATTGACTACTGTATGATAGGAATTTTTACAAATCAGTTATAGTCTACCTTGTCTACTGTTTTCTGAGCAGTGATTTGTTTACTATATTAGCCAATCCATTTTCATAATTGTTACCTTGGGTGGTAAGCTGTCCAAATCCATTACAGCCACAATGGTGGAAGGTAGTCCCTGTGCTAAAGAAGAGGTCAATATCTTTTCTCCCACTGCATCCACGCCATGTTGCTGACATGCCGAGACCAGGAAAAGGACTGTGTCAGCCACTTTTAATGCATCCAGAATGCTATACAAATCTCCATGCAAAGGAACCATGACTGAGAACCGCTGTTTGAACCTAGGAATGCTGGAAGAAATAAGGCAGCTTATAGCTATGACTGCAGAACTATCTGATAAGATAACCAGATGGTATAATACCCAAGAGTGGTGAGCTATGCATTCAGAAGGTACTGGGCCCAGACACTGTCAATACTAATTAAGGAATCCAGTTTTCTTCAGCCCATCCAGATTAATGCCAGGTTAGTACCTTAAATCACGCCTCAACCACAAGGATGATCCTATACCAGTTATATCAATTTCATATGGTCTGTAATATTATCCTCCAACCTCCTTATTCTCAAGTCAAAGAGGTTTTCCACCAAACTTCTGCAAGCACTTCTTCTGTCCTCCATTCCATGCTTACTTTGTACATCTTATGTACAAATGATCTCCTGAACATTTGGTCTTATTCACTTGCGCACAGTGCTAATAATCAGAGTGATGAATTACTCTTCTCTTTATAGTTGTCATTTCCTGAATATCCAGTTTTCAGTAACTTGTTCATCACCTCCCACCAACCAGCTACATACATAAATTTTATGGCAATGCTAATATATATGAAGAAAATTAAAAAGAAATAATAATTCTTAGATGTCATTATCTCTGCTTCTGCAGCCTGCCCTTTTATGATTTACTGAAAAATGTACAATTTAGGACAGTATCAAGCAAAATGTTTACTACAGAGGCTTCTTTAGTATGATTAATTTTACCTTATATGTAAAATTCCTTCACGACTCTGTGTAACAACTGCTTCCTCATCTGCTTGCTTTAGAAATTCCACAGCACCAAGAGGGTCAATGTCATCACACAAAGAAATAACTGCTATAAGAAAGGGCGCTGAAGATCCACCACCTAGAGAACGTTTTCTGAATAAAATTTCATCCCGTTTCTTCTGCCTTATTTGGGAAGCTTTATTCCTTCTTTCCTCTTTACGAAGTTCATGACGTGCTTTCTTAGTGAAAACTTTAGCTGAAGTTCTCCCTGCAAAAATTGTTGCATTTTACAATACTTCTAAATTAGTCATTCACCGGCAGGTAAGAATACATGTTTAGGGTTTCTGAAATCATGGAGGAAGTAACAGGATGTAAAGATTTTAGGTTGTCAAGGTGGTCAGGATGATAATATTCTTCTGGATTTTTGGTGCCGTGTGGACTCGTCGATGGTTCTCCATCTTAAGGGCTGAATCCCACTTCCCAGCATCGTTACTTCAGCCCTGAAAATGAAGACAGTATGTTCTCCTAAACTTTGGTACCTACTGACGACTCTACACGACACCAAAATCCAGAACATCATCATCCTGACAGATATGAAAATCTCAAATCTCACCACGTCTATATTATTTAAAAAAAAAATCGAGTTGTTCCAATACCTTTTATAGCACTGTCAATGGCGCCTTTACTTCTGTGCCTACCGTGCTTATGTGCTTTATTCTGTTGTTTTAGTACGCCAGGTCGATGTCTTTCTTGACTTGTTTCAAAAACCATTTTCTGACTAACTTTTAATTAAAACCATCACAACTGGCTACCATGTGCTACCATAACTCCTACTGCGACTTCATAAAAGACCACAATGTTCCACACACGAAATACCAACATAAGTGACGTCATGAGGATATCAACTGTGCTCTCTGCATCGGAATTACGATCGATAATTCCATAGCTCTTCGAATACCAATTGATGTATTTCGGCGAACTAATTTCGTCCGACAGGGTCACTCTATTAAAATAAACTGAATACATTTTTTAAGGTACCAATGACAGAGTTTAATATGTTATTTTAACAGACTTCAAAAATGTTTCAGACCAATCCATTCTGTCTCAAAGTCCAATAAATCAAAGGTCAAAATCCAATATGTAGTATCTTTTTTAAAGAAAAATAATGTTTCTATTTCCTTTTGTTTGAATATCAAACAGTACGTTTTGACATGGCTGACAGCAGTCCAATATAAACCAATAAATGAAAGAAATTGTTACTTTAGGGGCAGATACTTTGCAAATTCCTGATCACAAACTCAAAACTTACCAATTGAAACACAGCAATGACTTCCCAGTAGATACTCAACCATTATGTACATACATTTCTACAATAAGCCTCTTTGTGCTACATATCAAAGTTCCAACAGCAATAAACAAATTAACAACAAATGACATTATTATCAGCAAAATTTATTGAATATAGAAGACAGATCTAAAACATGTTTTACTGCTGGAACTCTGCTGTAGCAACAGTAATGATGGATAAATGGGAAGGGACAGGAAGGAGAACTTTTCCAACAGGTTAGAATAAAAATAAAATTTTTAATAGACCTCTATAACTGGTCACCACAGAAGCCATTGGCCACATGTAAATAAGGGAGTGAGAAAAATAGGAATTTACCTCATTTTAATCTCAAGGAACTGGCATGAGAAAAAAATCACAGCATAATGAATACACACATAAAACAGCTATGAAGTTCACCATCCCATGGTGACATATAACGTTTGTGAAATAAACCCTGAAAGTAGTTTAAACAACTGGTAAACACTCTGGTTTCACAAGAAAATTTGCAGCTAACTATAGTTTACAGGAAATATATTTCAGTCTTTTGTTAAAAAAATCCAACCTCTCAAAGTAAAATACAGAAAAACAATTCAGTTTATGATAACTTACTACACTGTGTACAATTCTTGTTGAAATATAGTGCCTAATAAAAATAATATTTCTAGACATAATTTTGCATATAAAACAAGACTAAAATTAATACATATATTATGAACTTATTAAAATGATACGAGAACACTTGAATTACCTATACCTCTTACAAACATGCACAGCAACAAAAAGGAAAGGCATTTCTTTGTGTGTTGAAGATCAATTTTCCTGCAATAATTTTCTTCAGTACTGGGAGAGAAGGTATGCCCACATACAATATTCATTAAGCTTTTCTCAATAGAAAATTAAGCACACAAATTCTTTAAGTCTCCCACCTTCTATCTACCACAAGAAATGTTAACTACCTCTGGTAGATAAGTAGTGGGAAGATGAAATAATGATGAAAAATTTCACAATTCTGTCATAATTGTGAAATGAAAATAAAAGACCAACAATTTGATTAATCAAAATCTCAGAACTAATAGATATAGGCTTAAGCTGCTCTCTCCCATGGCATAAATTACAAATATCTGACACTTGATTATACAGATTAATTAGTAAACTTGATTAGTGAACTGGACAAGATTAAATGTCATGTATGACACAGTGGTTTAACTTTCTCATAAATTTTGTGGATCAAACTTCATAAGAAATGTTACTAGTAAAACTGAATGAAGATGCAAACTTCAATAGTTCCAACCAGTGTCTATACAAAAATGGTAACAATATTGATCATAAGAAGTGTCAATTTTAGATCATAACTAATCCCTCTTTACACATGCACTATGGATTTTACACAGTATTGCAGCACAAAGTTCATAAATATTTTATGAAACAAACCAGCGATAAAATTATATCTTGGCAAGTGTGTATTTCTGCAATAAATATCTTAAAAAACTTGAAAAAGTGTATACAGCTAAATTCTCTTGCTCCAATTTTCAGGTTTCATGTGTTACTGTTGACCACCAATAAATATGATCAATTTCCTACAAAATGCTGCACTGGGCAAAATGAAATACATATTCCATTAAGTAGACAACAGAAGTCTAATACAAATTTTAACAAGGCCTGTAGTACATATGTAACCCTGATATCATATCATACTTCCAATTCGTACTGTATTTTATTCCTAAGACATACTCAATAGTAACATAATAAACCAATTTTAGACCAGTCTTAAACATCCAGAGAGGGCCAAAAAACCTTGAACATATTAAAGACATAATTAATAACCAAAATGCAATGCAATAAAATGTAAGCTGTTCAAGGAATTTTTGTCAACCTTTCATATTCAGAAAAAAAAAAACATACCACAAATAGTAGAGAAGACTAATTCTAAATCTAACTTCATGAGAACAAGAACAAACATATTTCAGTAATCTTCTCCACGACTAACAACCTCTTTACAAGTTGGTCTCAAAAGAATGGTATGTTCAAATTGTGCAGTGTAACTTCCTTTCACATCACACAATGGAGGATAGGGATCAACAACACCCTTATCACATAGATCCTTAAGAGCCATCTGGTATTTGGTGCAACCAACACGATCCAGCCAACGGCGACAGAAAGCCAATGTACCAAAATGCTTGTTGATCACATTCAACAGAGACTTTGATGACAGCAATCTGGAAGGAAAACATGATAGATGAAATACAATCACACTTACACATTATGCATATACAGAGGGTTCCAAAAAGAAGTATACACATTATAATACTGAATATTAACCTTGTTATCAGGTGCTGACCATTGTCAACTGTGCCACAAAGCTAACAGTGGTTATTTTGAACACCAACAATAGATCTGCTAATTCACTAAATATCAGTGCTGACATATGTATTGATTTAGTTTATTAAAATGTCTATATTTAATTCACTAAATGTGTATACATAACTTTTTGGTATACTTCTATATTTATGACTATATATTACAAGTTAATATGAATCTAGCAGCAAACAAGTATGTGAAGGGCCTATAAATTTTAAGTAGTCACTAATAAAATGTATTTTTAGCATTAAGCCACTGTGATAAAGAGTTACTTCAAACCAGATTTTCTTATTATAAAAACACAAGCAAAAACTTTTAATATCAAATCAAGGTCAAAGTTACCATACAAAGCTGATTCAACTATAGTCAGGAGAGGTACCAATGGTCTCTGATACTGTCTACAAATCACATCACAATACGCTAAAGCATGATCTTACCTCAATGGTACACATCACAACATGCTAAAGCATGATCTTACCTCAATGGTACATAACCAACTTCAAAATTCTTCATATAATGTGATACTTCCATATCATCATGAACTTGGCCACGCCCTGTTGAGCCAAATGTTTCAATCGCATAGTACTCATTTTCCTCCATGACTGTTGCTTCCCCACCTTTCACTATTGGCACAGTCTTACCAGCATGGATACCTAGCAGAGAATAATGAAAGGGAAGATTATTAATATCACATTTACCAACCCTTATCTGCAGAGCACATATAGAGCTTACTTTAATATTAATGCGAAAAATTTAGAAAAAGAATCTATACATAAGCAGAATATTTTAGTGTTAATTAGTAATAAATACACATTAATGCTGATTGTAAGAACAAGATAGGTCTTCAACACAAACCACATTAAAACTATGAACATGATCTTTAAACTTGCATAAACATTTGCAAACTCGAGGATGACTTCTGTGCAGGCTTCTGTTGGGTAAACATCTATAAATTCTCTTTCATTCTGTGTTCTAAATTTTGTCTCTGCACCCAGCAAATGCTCCTTGAAAGTGGTTAGCCAATGTAATGTCCACCAGGTAATTCATAATATTGCTTTATGTTCCAGGACGTTCTTCCTGGGAGAGTGGATGCCATGTCTGTTTAGGGGTGGGGGTGAGAATTACAGCTGTTTGGTGTTCCCTGGCATTAGACCAAATTACTGTGCGTTATTGCACATCATATGTATATATAATATTTCTGTTCTTACTGAATTAATTACAAATTATGAATATACATACATTTTGCATCCATTAACTGACCTTCCACCCTATTTCGTGTTGCACTTAAAAATATGGGTGACCCACTAGATCCAAGTACTATTTGTTTATAATATGGCACATTATATTGCTTCTTAAACACAAAATTCGGACTTCATTGTCACATAACAAGAACTCATCTTTTACCTGCAATAAATAAACTTCAAAGCCAATGAGATATTCAGGATCACACAAGCACACGTGCACATACACAAAAAGCGTAAAACACCACACTGCTGCCAGTTCTGTATCTCAACATGTCACCTGTCTAGTAAGAGTACCATATTTGAAGGTTGTAATATTCAACTTTACTATCCATATTTATGTCTGCTTTGAAGTACTTACGATAAGGTGAGATGGAGTGACCATTCAGGTTCCTAATGGACTTGACTTGATATACCTTACCATCCAGCTCCACCTCATATGACTCCATTACCTCTTGGATTGCTGCACCTATATCACACAGCTGAACATCAATACCAGCAGCCTGAGAAAGAAAGTTATAAATGAAAACATAAATGAAGAAATTCCAAGCAGGTACTGCAGAGTTGGTATACTGCGTGGATTAAGAACAATGGTGTATGAAGCAGTTCGTGCACATATTTCTTCTCATTTTCCATGTTATTTGTTACAGTGCCTCTGAAATTGTGATCCACAAAATTCTTGTTAGCATTACATTAAATGTATTTTACCACAACCATCAGAATCAGTAATTTACAAAAACAATTCATTCATTTTTAGCTTACTTTCAGAAATTAAAAAGTCTGTGTTGAATAGTACTATTTTCTTCTTTCCATCTTCCTGTATTCAATTCTCTGCCAGAACTAGTGCTCTAGAATGTTTGGGACTTCAAAAAAAATTAATTTCCAGCTTATTTAAATCTTACCTTAATTCCAGTATTTGTAGCATCACGTACAGCTTCAATTAGCTTATCATACTTATGATCAAATGCCAAAGTGAATGCACAATCAATAATACGACCTGAAAGGAAAACAATTAAAATTTAAACTCTGCAGCTCTTTCATCTCACATTCAGGAAACACAAGATCTGAATCCTAACTGGCACTGGTTATCATCCTGATTGGGGAATCTTATGGTCCTTGTTGGTCTTGTTACAGAGCACATTCTCATAACAGTGCAATGGGATACACATTTTCTTAGTCGCAGCAGTAAAAATTCAATTCAATGTGATGACGTTAAGAAATATTCTAAGAGCATGAATATTTCTCCAACAGAATTTATCATCTGCCTGCTGTCTAAAAATATAGAGAATAAAGAAATGACACCACATTGCTATCACGTTTTCCAAGACACTGGCATCACTATCTTAGCCATGAATTTGGCCACGTACAAGTTCTCTGTAATAAATGAAAATCAGTTTACCACACTGCACAGTTAAAACTAAAAATGAAAGTAAGATTATCCTGAAAACCTTTTATAAAGACTCCTTTTTTTTTTAAATCAGTGAGATTTCAGATTCTCACAGTAACAAGTATGAAGATGGCTGTACCATGTAGTCAGGCAGATACTGACCAATACTGATGATGGGGGCAGTCAGAACCTCTGAAATATCTATAAGACTACAAGATGCAACACCTCAGAACAAGCCTACTTTTTAGATTTGAATCCTTGATGCACTATGCATGTGACACCAACAATGACTCACCATTGATATGAGTTCCAAAATCAATCTTGGTAACATCGTCATACTGCAGAACAGTCGTGTCACCTGCATTTGGAGTGTAATGGGCAGCACAATGATTGCGAGAGCAGCCTGTTGGGAATGCCAATCCAGCTTTCAGCCCATCTTCCTGGATCAACTTGCGCGCTACTGACTCAAGTTCTTCACAGATTTCAATCATTGTCATCCCCGGTTTAACCCACTTCTGGATGTGCTGCCGAGTCTGAGAAATAAATTATGTTACATGTTGGGATTGGGTTGGTCAAGGCCTATAATAGGTTGTAGAACCCATAATGATGACGACATGTTGAGATACAATTGCAACTTGACACGCTCAACAAATGAACAGAATTTAAATTTAAAGCAAGGAGTAACAAATACCATTACTTAACAGCAACTGTAAAGCAAAACTTGTCTTAACAAAATTAAAGGACAAAAGACAAAACCCATAAATGCATTTTCTAACAAGTGGATATCATCATGTACATGGATCAAATTCTTGTCATTAAGTCCTACATATGTCTCAAACATTTCTTGATACAGCAAATAATTAATGAGATTCTTAGCAACTACTGCTGTTACTCTTCTGTTCCGATTACACTTGTAATTAGACCAACAACATACCTGTCTATGAACTTCTGCTGCATGACGTACTTCATTGTAAATATCATTATGAAGTCGGTCAAGTGCACGTTTCTCTTCACTTGTAAATCGGTCTTTAGCAGTACGAGAGTCCCCAACTAAAGGATATTCCATTTCCTCTCCTATAGGGAACACACCTACAGCACAAAAATATTAAACACACGTCACATAATGATAATGAATGGTCCTAAAGGGCTTTCTAAGTGTGTTTCATCTGCTTTTCAATTATTATCTCATACAATACCACCAAAAGCACTCAGAAAAAACTGTCATGTTATACTTAAATCTTATTAGCTGCGATCTCTTTTTTTAAAAAAAACTAATAACAGGATTTCAGTGCTCACCATCTGGAAAGAGTTCTGCAATAGGAATGGAAGGAGGGTCTGTCTGGATTTTCTGGCCTTTTCCTCGACTTTTACGCTTTTTTCTCTTCTTTTTTGCATCATCACCTAACTCTGAAACATTAAAGCACAAATTCACATGAACAAATAGAAAACAGCAAGAGAAAATAATCAACAAATTTAAAAGACTGAAGGTAAACAACAAGTTCAAGCAATGGAATGTCACAAATAAATCACAGTATCACCAGCAAGAAAGTAATTAAGAGACATGAACAACTTCATAATATGGCACATACTAAAGCATCTGTAACATGTATTTGTCTCATCTGCTAACACAATCAACAAAGACTTGTTTTATTTATGCATAACAACAAAAACAATATCAAGTCAATTAAATTAAACAAACCTGTCACACATTAAATACGTGAATAAAATTGCAGAATCTGGTCCACCTAACCATCTCCTCCCCTTTCACTCATCCCCTTTGGTATACTATTTCTCTATAACCTATGTGATACCTGAAGCCACATTGTTTCCAATTCACTTACATCTGTGATTAAAAAGTACTGATATCAATTTAAATAATCCGAAATCCAAACATGCCCTGAAATGAAAAATGCTAAATCAATGAATGATTAATGAATAAGAAATCACATGGAAGGAGGTAGTCACACACGTTCAAATTACATGCATTACTCTATTAACTCACCATCTAGTTCGTTCTCTGCTCCATTAATTTTTGCATTTCCTAATTTGTCGCCAATTTCTTCAATCACGTTTTCAATTTCTCCCCCACCTGGTACATCAGCGGTTGCTTCACCAGCGCCTGCAAGAAAACGTATGTGTATGTATATATATGTGTGTGTTTATTCATTCTTTGCGCGTTAATGTTTTAAGTCGAACGGCATACAATACATTTTTCTGAAAACTGGCCTTTGAGATTTCAAAACGACACAAACCCAAATTCCGGGGTTGGAACACGTCTAATAACTTACGGTTTAAAACATTTTACTCCTTACCAGCCTTCTTCTTTTTCTTCTTCCTTTTCTTTTTCTTTGAAGCTTCTGTTGCTCCATCTTCACCTTCTATATCGTCAATTTCATCGATATTTCCATCGTCCACCAATTTTTCTTCAGATTTTCCTACCTCATCCAAAACGGCAGCCATAATTACTATCTCCAACAGGCTGCCCAATACAAGTCATTACTAGTATCCACAGATAATAAAACAACTAGTATCGGATATTGGGCCGCAGACTCTCCACAGTGTTATATATTTCGTTACCGTCGAAATCGACTTGATTTCCGTGATTATTAGTCTCTGGCTTTCTCTGCGTTCCCTGGTGCGCAGTGGTAGCAGAATTGTTTTTCTATAAAGATTTCTGTCTTCTGGATTGTTGCGCCGTGTAATATGGTAGATGTTTACCAAAGTTTCAGAGGTATGAACCCTGATGACGGAGGCAGTATGACCTCAGAAACGTTGGTAAACATCGACCACACTACACAGCGCAATAACCCAGACGACATAAATCTTCATTCTCACTGCTGTGAAAACTTAGACTACTCTCCATTTATTTATCTTAATTCATGTGTTGGTTCGGAATGCAGCGACATCTTACATGTACGTGAAGTAATGTGGCAGACATCGGTAGTTCTGTCGGCAATAAGAGTGACGACGTATCATGTCTCCAAAACACAACAAACACCTCATGAGGTCTGTGTGTGAAGGTGAATGCCTTCTGGGATGTAATTTACTGCCTCCATCTTCAGGATGATAGAGGTAGCAATCGGAGACACGTGTTGCTCCATAATACAATGCGATACACATAAGAAAATAGCTCTGTTTGAATGAGCACGTGATTTACAATATTGACAGTTAACGTAATAAAATGTGTCTGAATATGGCATTAAACATATGTTACTGTATGCAACACTGAACATATAGAATTATAATAACTAAGCCTTCCATCTGAATACAGTAAAGATAAACTACGCGAAACTTAAACGTTATATGTTACTTCATACGAGTGAGAAACTTAGTCACGCACCCTGAGAAAAGACCATAATTGGAGTGCTTGAGAAAAACCTGGTGAGGAGAGTGTTTGGACTGAAGAGAGAAAAGTAACAGGAGGCTGGAAAGAACTGCATAATAAGACGCTTTATAATTTTAACTCTTCATCAAATACTGTTAGGGGTGATCAAAGTAAAGGATTAGACGCCTGTGGCATAGAAATGCTGAACTTTACCATTTCTTTGGCGTTGTTCATAAAACCCTCAACATGTTGAGGGCGCGGTTTTTTTGAGGTTCACCAGACGCCAAAAGATTACAAAAGAACGCAACAAAAATATAATTTTTTACTCTGTCTTTCAGAAATGTTGATTTTCGAACGTAAAACGCATGTATTATTGCTGTTAGTAGATATGCTTTGTCTCATTTCGTCTTGCTGAACCTGACTTCGATTAAAATAAACAGATATTCATCAACGACATGCATGCATTTTTGTCTGAGTTGTACTGAAAACTCTTATCACCCTTTCCCACTCTGTTGTATTCTGCCTTCAGGGTTTCTCTGTTTGGACTTGTTTCCTCTCATTGCTCTCAACCCAAATACTCCAAAATCTTTTGTCCTGATCAACGATGACGCACGTTTCTCCTTCTCTTTTCCTCTCCCTTCCCTTGTTTCATAATAATGCTCACAGGGGTCTCCTGCGTGGTTTATTGTTTTCAACAGAGTTGAGAGTCTGCTGCTGCAGCTTCAGCTCCTTCCTCCCCCAGGATTTTTCTCTCGCTACTGTGATGGACCTGGCTTTTGCCACTCATCTGAAAGTAAAGCTGACGATCAATACTTATTACCCCAGTTTTTTCCACGGAGTTTTATAAATTCAAAACTGCCACGACAATTCTGCTAACCATCTGGTTTATAATCACGACTGGCGTCTTGGTGGATGAAAACTTAAAACAATATTACAACACGTTTTTTTTTAAAAAAATACGAATTAATATTACAGCAAGTTATTGTACCACGCTGTTAAAATATTCGTGTTACTCGAATGAACACGTTCAATTAGATTTACGATAAATCCGAAATACAGACATAAATATTGCATCAACCCCTGAAGCAACTATGTAAAGGGCGATGTTACATCTGCAACAGCTGCAGGACTGGGCTAACTGAACAAGTTTTTCTATGTTTTTACTCTATAGAACAGGTGATCCGGTTTGAAAAAAAAAAACGTTTCTGCCCTCCCATTTCCACCAAACCCAACTGTGCTTGACAAAACTTTCCTCAATAACTGAAAAGTATCCCTTCTCTCACTCGCTTCGTTCCCTCACCTACCTTTACCTAACCTAACCCTCGTCCCCTTTCCCCTTCACGACAGCTCATTGTACCCTAACCCAACCCCCAGCGCCTGTAATAACGGACCGACGCGAATGATCGCTCTCCGCTCGGCAGTTGTTTCTTGAGTTGCAGCTCACGCACAAGCCAGGATCTATTGTCGCTGAAGTTTGGACCTGCGTCCTGACATCGCAAAACAGTGGAGCGCGTCGTCTTAAAAGTGTTTGAAATTCAAAACAAGAACAAGTACAAAGAATCCGGTATTTTGCAGCTGGTTACCATTCCATGCTATGCTATGCTGAACACACAGGATCAATGTAACAAACTCTTATTTTCAAGTTCCTGTTTCTTAAACGTTTTTGCGGATTTTTGTGGGATCAAAGTTTGTTCGTTTGAGAAATGTGAATGGATTTACGATACACAATGAAACGCACAGTGATTACATCTACATTACAGGGTAAGTTAAAAAAAAAACTTACTTTATTGTCTACTAATTTGTTGGAAATTCATTAGGATATTAAATAAGTGCAAAAAAAAAAAATAAGCACATTATTAAGGAGTCTAAAATTATCCGCCATATTTGCAGAATTTATTTAGGTATCCCGTATTAATCTGTTTATTCCAGTAACTCATAAACACGCCGTTCAAACATGTTTATTGATTTTAAATTCATGCAGTGTCAAACAATAGATTATACGCTGCTGTTTCAGTAATTCTGTGATATAAACATTCCCGCCAAAATATCACGATACGAGGATGGATCTTTTCGTCACGTACAACTTCTGTACAATCATGTTATTTTGTAGGGTTTTATATCCTCTCTTCTTAGATACAACAAACGTACAACCCAACTAAATCTCGTTTTCTGATCTCGATGTTTAGGCAGGCAAAGCACATGGTCATTTAGAAGCACGCATAGCCGCCATGCTTACTTTCAAAATGTAAAACGTTTTTCGACATTTATTCCTAGCAAGAATTTCAATGCATATAATGCATGCTAATTTCTGTATAAGCCCAGTCAATAAAGTGACAGACTGAGGGCAGAATGACCTGGCTTCGATTTCTGGTAAAGTCAGTTATCTTTGCCGCAACGTCCAGGTCGACTCTTGGCTTCCATCTAGTCTAAGTAAACGAAATAGAGGGCAGAACGGCCGGAGCATGAAGCTGTCTATCTAGTCTAGTGTCAAAAATTAAGAAACAGCGAAGTTCTATTTCTTCCACAAACAACGTTTAATCCTTCGACGTTGAAGCTCGTCTAAACAACATTTAATAATCCAGTCCGTACCGCGAAGTAAACACTACACTTCACCATTACAGAGATCATCCAGCTAACGCAGTTTAAGAAAATAATCGAGGTTAATCCCGAGGATCACACAGAAATTATGAACACAATCTGGGCCTAAGGCAGAGTTAATGATTGTTAAAGCAAGTGGTACATATTGTTACCACCTGGTTTTAAAAAGCTGTTGCTGTTGATGACGACGATGGATGAACAGGCAATTCGTCATTGAAAATTTTGAACATCACAGTCATTCATAGCAGCAGTAGCAGCTGGTATGTCAGAATAAGATGTGTTCTTATTACGCGCTGCTTACACAAACACTTGCAGAGAACCTTGTGTGAAAAAATCAAAATCTTTGCATTAATTTGGGAAGCAGACGCCGAAGAGAAATTTGAGTCCAAAATACCCGGGTACTTTTAAGAACGTAAAAGCATTCTTACGGGTGAAATATCGTTCGCTTGTTCTACATAAACGGAATTCGAGTTCGTATTTTTCTGTTCTCGTACTGACCAAGTTCAGTCATGAGAAAAGGGCTCTGTGTGATGAAAAATAGCCGAGGCGCCAGCTCAGTTGCGCATTTTTCACACATCACTCGAGCCAGCAGAAGGGTGACGAGGGGACGGACGGACCGTCATCGTGCCTCTCACCTGCTCAGCCTCGGAAATCACACCAGGCAAACAGAGAGTCTTAGACGTCGTCAACAACACATTTCGACCAACATTTTTTTTTACCGAGTTTCTTCTTTAAATGAGCAAATTTTCAACCACCAAAATTACCGACTGAACCTAGTAACTTCGATTATTTACGCTCCTGTAACAGAGATAATAATGCAAATATAAACCACTTCTGTAAAACTACGTACGACACACACGTACGTCTAAGGTTAAGTAAAATTGCCCGTGGTCCTTAAATACGTTCCAGCTGCTTTACCCAGTGGCTAGGAGGCTTTCAGGCTACTAGGAACGCGCCGACCGCAGGCACGGACTGCAGCTCAGACGGATGACTTCAAGTCAGATTCACAGTGGATCACGTGACACTGGACCATTTCTCTCTCCGAGTTTTTGTTTCCTCCGCTAATCACCATTCAACCATTGCTCCACACTCACGTAACCTAACCTAACCATTGCTCCACACTCACGTAACCTAACCTAACCATTGCTCCACACTCACGTAACCTAACCTAACCATTGCTCCACACTCACGTAACCTAACCTAACCATTGCTCCACACTCACGTAACCTAACCTAACCATTGCTCCACACTCACGTAACCTAACCTAACCATTGCTCCACACTCACGTAACCTAACCTAACCATTGCTCCACACTCACGTAACCTAACCTAACCATTGCTCCACACTCACGTAACCTAACCTAACCATTGCTCCACACTCACGTAACCTAACCTAACCATTGCTCCACACTCACGTAACCTAACCTAACCATTGCTCCACACTCACGTAACCTAACCTAACCATTGCTCCACACTCACGTAACCTAACCTAACCATTGCTCCACACTCACGTAACCTAACCTAACCATTGCTCCACACTCACGTAACCTAACCTAACCATTGCTCCACCCTCACGTAACCTAACCTAATCGGGACCTCTTTGACTGCCCCATCGTAACAACAGCGAGTAACCCGCATAAATCATAAATTTTCTCGGAAGTGAAATTATTATCGTGATCATTTCCACGTCTTAGGCCCGGTGACTTGATGCGGTTCCGCGTCAACATTTGTACATTGTACCATTGCCTCTTCCCCACTTTTTCGTCCGGCCGGTTAATACATCCCAAACCAATTCATCGCCCTGATGGAGGAAATAAGTACCTCTGAAACGTCGGCAAGTTTCTACCAGACCACACATCTCAACATCCCAGCATTAAAATTTGATCGCATCTGACAGTTCTGCTGAGTTGTTGTGACAGACATATTCTTGCATCGCATTTCTTCCGGAAACTGATTCAGCCTACCTCACCTCGTACTGTTGGCTTCGGTCCAGGAAGCAGGATTACTTGATTGTATGCACTTGAGAGGCTTCTGTTTGACGTCTGAAGTGCACAAAGACGATATCCGGTGTAAGTCCACTACGAAACTTCGCTCGGTGTAGTGGGCACATTTCCTTTTTCCACCCCGGCCAAAAACAATTTCACCTCGCAGACATTTTGTCTTTTTCAGCGATCCACATGGCGTGGGGAAATAATCGGTTTTGATCTGCGTTCCCACTTGCCCGCACATTCAAGTTGAGACGGACCCAGGGCCTGTAAAAGAGCAATCAAGGTTAGACCTTTAAAACTCACAGGTAAATATATGTACCAACAATCAACAATGCTTCAACAATCAATTAATAATTCTGCATTTTGTACACATGGATTCTGTATGATGCTCAGTGCAAAAAAACAAAAACAAACAGATTATTTCACTGAACAGCGTTAATCAGTCTTTTTATTAGCGAAGTGTTGTGTTTTCTTTGCGGTACGGACTGAATTATTATAGAGTATTTAAATGAGCTTTGGTTTCAAATGACTAAAATGACTTTTAAAATAACTTAACCTGGCCAGTTAATAAATTCAGCAACTAGACTGCAGTAAACATGTTTAGCTATTTTCATAGAAAGGAAAAAAAGAAAGATTTTTTTTGTGTAGTGATTGTGTAGCTCCGCGCGTTCTAAACCTCGGTGAAAGAATGAGGTGTCAGCTGGTACACCCTTGAGGAAAAATCAACCGAGCAGATGGCTCCAAAGATAATTGGACTTTGTTTCATATGATTATACACGCACACTCTCGTACTCCAGTACGTTGAAGAATCTAGAATACTAGTAATAGGGGGGGGGGGATATCCTATATCCCCCCCAAAAAAATTTAAAAAAAAACGATCACCACTGTAGGCCGGACTGAATTTTTCCGCGGACCACATTTTGCTTTCTCCTGCTAGAGAGTGCTCGAGATTCACTAGAACGAGACAAGCGCTGTCTGAATTAAGCAGCAAAGTCATTATTAGCAGAGGTCCTTACAGTTGGGGCGAAGACCGTGGAAATGTAAGTCCTTACGTAAAGCAGCCTCATTCAGAAGGGGACCCCAGGCTGTGCGACACATAACAAGTTGTATAATGAACTCTACAACTTTGTGTCGCTACTGCCTTTAACTACTCAAGACTGCAAAATATTCCACAAGATCACAACTTTTAGCTGCATATCACGCTGCATTAATAGCCATATTCAGGATACAAAATTCATTTCTTCTTTCTAAATAAGATTACGAGACATTTCGAAAACTCACGCCTGTGATTTCATTTTCTTAACTGGGCACAGATCTTCAGTCTAGGCCTACTCTACTGTTTTCAAATCATATCTGACAGTGACATCTAGGAGGCCGTGAAGAGCTTGGCATATAGCTATGATGGAGAAGGCCACGGTGTACACATAATATTAATGTGGAAACCTCCTTAAAGACAAGAGAAGGATATTTGGAAGTCCAATAAAGACGGGCCTCAGGAGGAAGATTATGAAGATGGACTAACTAACTAACTAACTAGATGGCTTACCGAACCCGAAGGTTCATCACCGAATTAACCAAAGCCCTCCACCGGACCCTGTCCTGGGCCAACAAAATCCAGTTTCCTTCAACTCCTAACTCCGATAGATCCCGCCTGAGATTATCCTCCCATCTACGTCAAGGTCTCCCCAGCGGTCTCTTCCCTGCAGGTTTCCCAACCAGTACCCGGTGCACACCTCTTGTCCCATCCATGCACGCTACATGTCCCGCCCATCTCACTCTTCTCGACTTAATCACCCTCACAATACTGGGGGAGCAATACAGATTTTTAAGCTCGTCATTGTGCAGTTTTCTCCACGCCCCACCGTCTTCCCTCTTAGGCCCAAATATCCTCCCCAACACCCGATTCTCAAACACCTGCAATCTGTGTTCCTCCCTCTGAGTGAGAGACCATGTTTCGCACCCATACAAAACAGCAGGCAAGATTATTGTTCTGTATACTTTAATTTTCAGGTTCTTAGAAATCAGACGGGAAGACAAAATATTTTGAACAGAGAAGTAGCAAGCATTTCAGGGATTTAGTCTCCTCCTAACTTCCTTATGAGTATCATTTTGATTTGTTATTGTTGTTCCCAAATATTTGAACTTTGTAACCCTTTCAAAGGATTTATTAGCCACCCTAAGATAATTGACTCGTCAGGGTATGACAGCTTTGCTGTTTTTAATTGTTTACCCTGAAGTTAAGGAAGCATGGCAGGTAGGAATTTAATACTAGGTCTGGGATATCAAGTGTCACCTGATATCCGAGCTCGTTCCTATGACAGAAAAATACGGGTCGGGACAAAGGAACTGCCCAGCACATTGCACGTGTTTAAGAGACATGCCCTCAGGCAGCTCACAGCATAGAGGGATTAAATGGCTCTGGTGAGTCAGTACAGTCTAGACGGCCAGGGGTTCAATTCCCGACGGGGACAGGTATTTTTCGTTGCTACCACATCTAGAAGTAAAAACACAAAAATGCCTTTGTTGAAGTAATTTGAAAACTTTAGTGAAAGTGCCCGCGTTTAAGCTGGTCCTTGAAATGTAACGGTTACTCAGAGAACGACGATGAACATGATTTCGATTATTGTCCATCTTCATAAGATGGACAATAATCGAAATCATGTTCATCGTCGTTCTCTGAGTAACCGTTACATTTCAAGGACCAGCTTAAACGCGGGCACTTTCACTAAAGTTTTCAAATTACTTCAACAAAGGCATTTTTGTGTTTTTACTTCTAGATGTGGTAGCAACGAAAAATACCTGTCCCCGTCGGGAATTGAACCCCTGGCCGTCTAGACTGTACTGACTCACCAGAGCCATTTAATCCCTCTATGCTGTGAGCTGCCTGAGGGCATGTCTCTTAAACACGTGCAATGTGCTGGGCAGTTCCTTTGTCCCGACCCGTATTTTTCTGTCATAGGAACGAGCTCGGATATCAGGTGACACTTGATATCCCAGACCTAGTATTAAATTCCTACCTGCCATGCTTCCTTAACTTCAGGGTAAACAATTAAAAACAGCAAAGCTGTCATACCCTGACGAGTCACCACAAACTCATTGTAAGAAGTAACATGTGTGAACATTTTGATCAATATCTGTTTCCTTTGGTATTAAGATTTCTTGCAGCATGTGTTTGCATCAAAGTGTACGCTTAAAGGTAAAGATTTCCCTGTGGTTCAAGCACCACACCATCAACATATATGAAGGAAGAGACAGAGCGCCACAGGTTCTTAAACTTGGTGGTAAGCTTCATACCCTGGCTAGGGTGGATGAGGGTCCATTTTTGGCAAGGGCACTTGAATTTTCCTGAAAACTACCACATCCAGAATGACTCTGGCAAATACTCAGCCTGCTAATGACAACTTCACATCTCTAACCTACAAAGACAATAAGAAATCCTTTTAATAGGTTTTCTGGAAAATGAACTACAGAATTATGAGTGCAAGAGAAATATTACATTTTCATGGCATTCAGTAAAGGGCTACCCTGGTTACGTCTAGTCCTTCGGTCATGATGCGCGCAACCAAACAGTAACACTATCGCATGCACGTCAAGTTCTAAACTTACGATACATTTCTAGGTCACTAGTACCCAGACACACTACAGACTGGACGGCCTTTTACTTCGGGTGGCCGTGAAGTACACAAATGACACCAGTGTTACCACATGCAATATGTCCCACTAAAAATGTATTTAGCCAATATCCTTATTTATTTTGAAAATGCATTATTCCATTCTCTTTTTGCCTTCTTTGTTTCTCTCTCTCTCTATCTTCCCCTTTCACAGTAAAAATATATGAATGCATATAAAGGTTAAGGTAGTCTTTTAATTATAACACTATAATTTTGTGCAAACTACGTTCTTACAGTCATCTAAAACCACATTCAAATGACGGATTTGCATTTGCAATCATTTCACATCTGACTGTCAAAATCTCTAATATGTACTCCTTTCAGCATGTCTCATAGAACACTTTTTATTTTACAAATTTTTAAGCTCGGAATGAATGTATTTGTATTAACCCTTTGTAGCAAAGGTTCATCTAACTGATATTTAAAGAATTCAGCCCACACAACACAACACTTCACCATTGCAAAGATAAACTGTTTAACGTTATTTAAGTAAATAATCGCTGTTTGCAGTGAGAATCATACAGAACCCATAAATACAAAATGCAGTGTTACTAACTGTAAAAGGTTAATACATTTGTTTTAAATTGGAATATACAGATGGGTCTCATTAGTTTTACTGAATACAACAGTTGTAAGAGGGAAAGACACTACTCCTGATATGCTAAGTAACAACCATACTTAGGGACTGAATTTATTTTTATATCACGAGACACTCTCATGTAGGGGTGCAACATTCTCATTCATTGCTAAAAATTTTCTCAAATACATTCAAAAAAGTACGTGCGCTTTGAATTAAACTTGATACCAACATTGAATATCACATGTTCATTTCCTTGTTCTAGGTTTACAAAGCCTTTACCAACCTTGTCATGGCTTTGTATATTATCCACAGAGCAGAACTGAGAGTTCTCCTTAAAGCGATCGACATCTGTGCTCTTAAGACAGTGCAGTTAGCTCAGTGACATCAGGTGTTAGAGTTGCTGCTACTGATATTACAGTTAGCGTTATATAGCAAATGGTAATATTTTCCCAGAGCGCTTAGAACACTACAAAATATCCTCATGGGACAGCTTGTAAGTGAGCGGACATTTCAACTGGATGTCTCCTGGCAACAAGTCTACTGTCGCACACAGATGTGGAACAGGTATTCTGGAGTAGGAATTGCATTCTCTGCTCATAATTAAGGAAATCACTGTGGATGGGATATCAAGTGGTAATGGGTAGATAATTTATATATAATAAATTGTCACTTCAAAAATTAAAACAGGAAAAAAAGAAGTATTTTTGAATTGATGCATGTTTGTATTTTCTGATTAAAGGAAAATGATATCTTGGATTAATGTATCCATATTTCAGTTCATGCAACACATAGTCTATGTTATCAGCATGCTTCTATAAACAATTCCAAGGGTCTAATATGTTCTCTTTCATGGAGCAGATTCTTTTTTCGGAAGCTTATAGTCACTCAATTAAACAAGAAATTTCTTGTCTTTTATGGAACCTAAAGGTTCATTGCTTTCGCAGGGGTACACACACTATTTTCTAAAAAAACTTTAGAATATCATATTTGTATTTGCTGTCTGTATATATATATATATATATGTACTCATAACCTACGTGAAATTTACACCAGAAACCTAACACAGAAGAATGTATAAATGTCTACAACGGCAATCTGAAACCACGACTTTAATTACCAAACATCCGTCACCATCTGCTCAATACAAATGAGACTTGTTTGAGTACTGGTTTCAAGTTGGTGGTAAGATACTTCTTCATTAAAAATTCTAGCACCATTTGAAATCAGTGCTTCAGTAGGTCAAGCCACCTAAATCTACAAACATAAGGTAAGCACGCATGTTATTAAAAAGTGTTACAATTATAAAGAACGTGCACATAGAACAACTATTAATATTTTGGTACAAAAGGGTGAAGTTTTACCTGGTACATATTAAGCACTGCATCATGAAGACATAACGGGATGGTAGACATAGATCCACATTTTCTTGACACTGGCACTAGACACAGGTGAGTGATCAGCTTGATGCCCTGGCCACTTTACCCCCAGGAAAAGTGCCCCTGGTATCCACTGGATAAGATGCTGGGTGTGTCCTGGAGCTGGTCTGGATGTGGAGGCTGTGCATCCTGGAGCTGGTCTGGATGTGGAGGCTACCAGAAAAGCTTTCTGCTTATTCTTGGAATTGAACCTCAGCTGTCCAGACTAGTCACTTACCATCGCTTGTTAATATGAAAAATCAAACATACACAAGTTAGTATTTAATATAACATTCAAATTTTAGGAAAGGGAACCTATATGTAAATTCATTTTTTTTAAAAATAACAATGATGTATTAAATGCAGATGAAGGTGACTCTCTGAAGTCCAAAGTAGAAGTATTTTTTTATTTCAGCTATTTCTGAAGCAAATACACAGCCATAGACTAAAAAAAATTAAGTTGAAATCATAATATTGAAATTAAATAGTCATTTTTGTGTGTGTACTGAAAATGTAACAGCTTGGCTTCAGATGATCTGTTAACTTAAATTCCGCTTTCTATCATGCCATACATTCAACAGGTCTTCTTCTATCATATCAGTCACCAAGCTATAATTTTAAAACATTAAATTGTTACATGTTGAACATTTTATTTCCACATTTTAATATTTACCGAATGCTTCATTTCCAGAGCTTATGCAGTCTGATGTGAGATGCCAAAAATAATGGAAACAGTGCATACCACTTCAGTGATTTTTAATATTCTAGCCTCAAAATTCTTTTAACAACTTCATCTTCATCATAATCCAATCTCGAACTTTGGCCAGGGGTTGGCCGATTTTGGTTTCAACATTAATGCCATCCAGCAGTCTTTTGACTGGGCACCCAGGTCTTCTTCTCTCTTTCGGATGATATTTCAGCAACCTGTGATCTTCCATTCTAGTTACATGTTCCAAGCAATTGTTTCTGTATGTGGTGAGTGTATTTTATAGTGGTTCTATGTGGAGTTCATCTAAAATTTCTTAATTTCTCTTCTCAAGTAGTGTGTATCCTGCCAACCAGTGTAGGTATTTCATTTCTGCAGCTTTCAATCTGTTCCACTTTTAACAAATTTTAATACTTAAATTATATAATGAGCATAAATTAATATTTAAAATTGTATACTAACCGGGTAGAAGATTAAAATAATTCCATCAATCCCTCTGTTTTGAACTTTAAAGTTAAAATTTTCTTGGACTAAAAAATAATAATTGAATAATGAATCAAGGTATAATTAAAAACATGTAATAAACATTTGAGAGATTATGTTATATTTCACTTTACACAATTATTTGTATTAAACTAACAAAATCGAGACACCCCAGAAAATCCCACAAAATGCCAAGGAACACTTCTACTGTTTCCTAATGGGAACAGTTTACTTATCAACTTACTGATCTATCCTTCTGCAACAAAACTAAGGATAAGTCAGTTTATTAAAACAAAACACTTTCCACTTTACATGGAAACTTTTCATACTACTTAAACATTTACATTAAGTATTTCTTGTCATCACATAGAACTTATTACATCAGACAATGTAAACAAAGTATTATATATTGGTGTGTTTGTTTATATATACATATTGGAAATAATAATATAATAATTATATACAATTTGGCATAATGTATGCCTACATTTATTGCTGTATATTTATGAAAGGGAAACCTGTTTTTATATTCTACTAACATAACAACACAACAATACATTTGCATTAGGCCGTGAACACAAACAATTACAAACTTTAATTTCTTAACAAAAAATAAGAATCAATTAAACATACTGAAAATATACAAGGAGTGATAATCAGTGTATCAGGGATCGATCACATTCTAAACTGCAATTTAAGCGTCAGTCGAGGCACTGTTTATGAAACATAATTCAGGCTTTTATAACTGACAGGTACTTACATATAAAGTTCACACACGTGGTTTGAACTGGTGCACAAAAAATTCACGTTTATAGTTTAAATATTTCCAAATGTAATGAAATGCAACAGACTTGTAAAACCAAATTGTTTATGAGTTTCTATTAAAACATTTACTATAAGAAACAAGTGCTTATGAATAAAACAATTTCAATCACAATGATTAATGAACCATGAATATGAGCAGTGATCCACACAAGACAACACAACTGATGTGACTATGAACATCAAGAAAGCTGGAAACAAAAACTTACCACTTGCCTCCAGCAGTACTCAAAAACAATCGAATCTGAACTTGTGCTAACCCCAGACACAAATTCATATTAATGACTTAATGCAAGGAACAGCTTTTAAGCACACTATTAAGGCAGTGCTTTACTTTCCAATGCACAACAGAAGCCTACATTAATTAATATTGTTCAATATAAAGCTCACAATCCAGCAAAGCATTGTCAGCCATATATGATGTGAAGCTTTCACGGAGGCTTTCATTAATAAAGTCTTCTCGGGCTATCAGCCGTGTTAGATTAATCAACATCTAACACGGCTGATAGCCCGAGAAGACTTCATTAATTGTCAGCCATTTTAATCTTGTACATTTCTGCTACAATCTTTACTTTATCCGTTCAGCATATCTAATGGACTGTGAGCAACACACAATACCTAATATTAATCCCTGTTGTGTGTCTCACATCATGATGTAAATGGCTGTCGGATGGATTAAAAATAGTAAAAGCTCATGTAATTCAGAACAACCTTCAGCTTAGTTGTGCTTTTTCCAGAGGAACATATGTTAATTTTATGACATATTGACACTTATGCCTGGTGATTGGACAGGTAAAAAGTAAAAAGTGTCTTCTCTTTAAGATGCATTCACTAACTGCATCATCATATTCATGCATTACAGCTTACAAAGCACACAAGGAATTGAAAAAATGTACACAGTAAAAGTTGCCAAAATACTGGCTATGAGAGCCTTCAGAAAGTCATGGTATTTCAGAGAAATGAATGAAGATGGTTGTCTGCAGTTTACAGATGTTTCAGAGGTAATGTTGGTAAACTTCTATCGGGCAACGTGGCAGTACGAACCCAGACGAAAGCCAACCTTATGCTCACAGCTGTAGAAACCTAAAATCCTACTACAGAAATAAATATTTGTGTACAGAAACAAACCTGGCCATTCACATTTACCGCCTCTTCACACAGAATAATCAAAGTAGTCTTTCAATTACGTATTCTTTCCTTCACGTTATTTGAATTTTGTTATATATTTTCTTCTGAGCACAATTACTAATTAGCATAAAAGTTCTAATAATTATAGAACAGTGTAACATGCGTAAACTAAACTATAAAATACTGTATCAAGTAACTACGTCAATTCTTGGTTTTTCCTTTTATAGATGAATATCATTAGAATTCTGTTATCTTGGGGAGTCATTACAGAGCTACAATTCAATATTCTAACACGAACAATTGCCACCTGAATGAATGACATCAGTAGAAGGCATTTTGTATATTTGCAACAATAAAAATTTGTGTCAACATCTCACATCACAATCACAACTACACTTAAATGTAACCATATTCAGTGAAGTGTAGTTCTGTGGTATCATCTTCCACAGGTCTGGAATTAAGATACACATATATTATGTATTGGAATAAAACTATCCCAACACGATATAATTAAATCAACTCAAGATGCTTCAGTTTTTGCAACTGGGCTATACCTAACCTAACACTTTAACAATAGGTAATACTATTTTGGCACAATACACAATCTTATACTTCTAACGAGTGTGCACATAATAGGTTAGTATTTTTGCAAGAGTTGTGTCATGTCTCTGAGACTCGAAGTTGGAAATATGCAATTGTTGACTACACGTGTCAATCTCTTATTTAAGACAGACACAGAATTAATATGATAAATTTCCTCAAACAATGTGGATAGACATCCTTAACAAGAAATGACCTGGAAGTGCCTTAGGAATATATTATATATTTGGTAATAGCAGCTGACATGTTCTGTACATAGTAAAATAAAATAATGGGAAATGTGTCTGTCAAAACAAGACTAATGAAAATTATGATTAAATGTATGCAAAAATATAAAAAAAGTAAAGTAAAGCTGTTCCACTATAGGCCACGTAAGTCCTTTGGGGGCGAGTGATTAGCGTCGCGCCCTGGCCGCACTTTACTCCCGAGAAATAACCCTGGTACCCATTGGTTAGGAAGCTGGGTGGACCCCAGAGCTGGTTTGGATGCAGAGGTTAGATGAAAAATCCTCTACCTCTGTCAGGGATCGAATTTGGTCATCCAGTCCAAAAGCCGATTACTATACTGACTGAGCTACACTGGCTCATGTATGCAAAAATATATACTCAAGAAAGGGCAGAAACAAACATGCAAGTACATCTAATATCAAATCAATATTACCAAAAGTCAACACTTTTCTGTATGATCAGATCAAATTCTTAAAATAAGGAAACACATTTTTGTAAACGTGGGATGCAGTAAAACAGTTTGAACACAGTAGTTTCAATATAGATTCATAAATAACTAACAATTTGATAACAGAATTTGAACACTAAAACAGGTAATACCAGAACTGGCAATTGAACATGGTCCTGATCTTGTTCCACTCACCCCCATCCCTGAAGATCTATCTTAATGTTATCCTACCTGTCATTACTTAGTCTTCCATAGATATTTCTCAGGATTTCCCTACCAATATTTTGTATGTACTTCTCATCTTCCACATCATTAACAAGCTAATGAAACTGTGTTTACAAATAAAAAATCTGGTCACTAGTAAATGATCATCAAATCCTAGTGAATAACTTACGTACCTATACAAAATTTCAATATTAAACAAATTACGAGAATCATAACATACTCATACCTGCACATTAATGACAAGAAGATCTTAAAAATATATGCCTAAAGAGAAATTTAATTACATTAAAATATAAAAAACTGAAGCCATCAACGTAACAACTACTTTACCACATCCAGCAACAAAGCAGCTTCACTGACTGCTAAACCACTCTAGAGACTGTCAGCTGTACCTACCATGCTGACGGGTGTAACAGTAAATACGGACTCACTCTTTCTCGATACTGTTTGTTGAAGTCCCGCAGCTTTAAAATAATTTCAACATCACTGAATCCTTTAGAGCCTGAATACAATTTTGGATATGGGGAGACTGTTATCCCCATGAAAAGCGAAAAATGTATAAATAGGAAATGGCAGTGCATCTTAATGCCCAGAGCCATCTAACAACTGGATATATTTAGTATATACAATTCCTTATACTCTTTCACTAAGTTTAGCAGGAGACTGTTCAAGAACAACTAAAAGAATGAAACTTTATTATTATGTACACTGAAACAGAAGACAATATACGTATTTATATTGAGACGAGCCCTCTCCGCTGCTGGAGAAGGGATGCGGCAGGAGCTGGAGCTGAGCTTGGAGTAGTTTCCTTAGCGACTGACACTGATACGGTTGCAGTTGAAGGGGCCGAGGGCTTCTTCTCCTTTGTGATCAGCGTACTGGAGGAAGTGGACTTGGAAGTTTGTCCTTGTAACTTTACCCACGTTTCACCCAGAGCTTTAGCAAAGTGATCATCCACTGAAACAAACCCATTATACGATGTACGAACATAAGCTGAGGCAGATATAATGATTTTCATTTTCATTACACATTATGTCAACTTCTCTTATGGAAATTATTAGAGAAAAGTGCACATAACAACGTCTTACCTTTTTCAAGTAACCCTAATGTCCATTATAAAAGTCATAAGTGAGGTTATGTCAAATGAAACCTGTTTAGGGATTGTTCTGGGCGAAGTCCACTGCTATTTTGTCAAAGGCAGCCACACACAGCTGAAATATGATCTACTTGATATTTAAAATCTAAACAGTGGTAAATATTAGAAAAGATGTTGGATGACATTTTGTTTTTAAAACCTGACAAGTATGATACCACAAGGTGTCAAAACTCAAAACCACTCTTGTGAGATCCTCATACCCACCTTTGGTTTCATTTACCTTCCACCTTATGACGCTAGAGTTGTGTAAAAAATTTTCACGCAGCAGAGCAAAATGGCAGAACGTTTCTTACCTGACAGACCAGTAACAGTAATGCTACTATTGCCATTACTGCTATTACTGTTATTATTATTGTTTGTTGTGGTACTGTCTGAAGAAAAGAGACTCATGTAGTCTTTGCCAAGTGATCGCCTGAAGTGTTCATCAATAACAGGATCACACATTCCTGAAAAAACAACATTTCTTATGTACAAAACTAGAAGGGAACTATTTTAAACGTAGGATTCGAGGTTTTCAAGGCGGCGAGTTCAAAGATGGCTGTCTTCTGGGTTGTAGCGCAACGTAGTCTGGTAGAAGTTTATCAATGTTTCAAAGGTCCTTGCGGCCTCCATTATCTGGACCCTGATTGCCTGGATGATGGAGGCAGGAAGGACCTCTGAAATGCTGGTAAACTTCTACCAGACTACGAGGTGCTACAACGCAGAAGACGACCATCTTGTATTTTAAACGTGACCACACCCAGTAAGAGTTACGAAGCACTCACTGTGACTCAGTAATGGGAAGATTTCTCATGAGTCAGTCATTCCTTCATTGTCAAAAGCTCATTTACAAAGCAGATGAAAAAATACGCGCATATAAACACAATATTTGCACTACAAAGAGTCAACATTTACACTACTATTTATATTTCATTACATACTGAAAAATATTTGAATTAAAGTAGTAGATCTTAATGAAATCTATTTCATGTTATCAATAAGTTTGTGCCACGAGTCATTTCTAAAAGAAATAAATACAAAGTTTGATTGCAGAATCATGTAAATGATGATGATAGTATATGACAAACAAAAAAATAAAGATTATTTTATAACTTTTAATGTAGACCCGCAATGTCAACATTTAATTTTTAGTACATTCAGTATTCTCGGTGCTAAAACATGCAGATTTATGAGCAGAGACAAAACTCCCCAATACATATCACATCTCAGCACTTTGTGCAGAGGACAGAATTAAATTCAATGACTATTTTAAATTTCAAAAATGAACATGAATTTCTGACTGCCATGCTTCATATAACTTACATCATACGCATGAGAGAAAAATGGCTCAAAGCAAAAATATCTTTTTACGAGCACATCTTAGGACTAAATTATTGGATTTTTACTTTAGTGCTGCTTCATCACATTTACTTCTGAGCAGAAGTAAGTCATAAGAATTTAATGTTCATATTCTGACAAGATTATCAACAGTATCTTTTCACGGTTAAACAGAACTGGTATTTTTCACAGGAAAGTCACTTTTACTTACGTCACCAATAATACTGCAGCACAGTTTAAACTTACCAGAGAGCAATTCACGCCTGTGGCCCTGTCTTCCATTCTCATCTTTATTTGTGCCTTTATCGTCGGGACTTCGGCCTCCCCACAATGTTGCAGCGGGTGGTGCACACGTGATCACCGAAGGACGAGCAGGGCCATTTCGGCAATTTGCAACCGACTGACTGTATGATGGAGGAGGTTTGCTGCCTCTTGTCATTGTCATGTCAAGGGGCGTGTCTCCTGTAATGGAAGTATGAGTATGTGTCCCCAGGGCATCTGGCAATGGAGGGCCTGCAGGTGTATCATATGGTAGGCTGTAACCAAGAACCAGTCATCAATCTTAGTTATTTAAATCTTTTCAAAATTAATTGAACAAAAATTTACTTGGATATTATCCATCGTCTAGTAAATATAAAACGTAAAACGACGTTTCGGAGATGGGACTCTATCTCCGTCTTCAGGTTCCTACTCAGTTGGGCCCACTAGATAGAGCTAATCCCTATCTCCGGACCATAGATAGGGATTAGCAGGGAGGAACCTGAAGACGGAGATAGAGTCCCATCTCCGAAACGTCGTTTTACGTTTTATATTTACTAGACGATGGATAATATCCAAGTAAATTTTTATTCAATTGACTCTTCACCATCGTCAAAAATTTTTAGATTTGATATACTTTTCAAAATTAGTTCTAGTGTCAGGATAAAAGGAAATCAATCCAACCAATTCTCAAGCAAAATTATAATCTCAGACAGATTACTTATGATTAGACGTGCATAACTTTATACTGTATTTAACTTAAGAAATATCTACTGAATTACGTCTATATTTCCGAAACAGTTTCCCAACTTGAATGGAGCAAAATGTAACAGGAATCTACCATTAATATACAAAATATATGTAAGTTTGTGGATTGATTTTTCCGAAAATTAACACCATGTAGTAACAGTTTATAAAGTCTCAAAATGATAAGTATTCACAACATACATGCCATGGGTAGCCTTGGTCTGTTGCGACTTTGTATAATCACCAAGTTTATCCCTGCATCTACGTTCTCGACGCCACCTTGTTGTCGGAAGTTCCTTTGTGGAACAATTCCTCTCATCACCTGCACACAAAACAGTTAAAATATGGATAAACTGTGCACAATGATAGAATATTACATATTATTTGTGGTTCTCACCTCTCTGGAGATTCAAATCAAGATAAAAATCTACCAGACATGTTCTGTTTTTTACTGCATATTAACCCTCTGAAGCCGACGCCCGTCTAAATCATACTTAAGAAATCAGCCCGTACCGCGAAGAAAACACAAAACTTCACCATTACGAAGCTCAACTCGTTTACACTGAGAACCATACAACACCCATATATACAAAATGAAGCAGGCGGTGCATATAGTTACCATTGGGCTTTGAAGGGTTGAAAGTATAAAAATGGGGCGTGGTGGAAATATGTAAATTCGTTCAATAGCCACTGGGCGTTTCTTCATATAAAGAAGCGAAAACAGGCATTAGCGATCTTCTTGGGTTGTGACGTCTTTTGTACACCGCGTCGCAACCCTGAACACCACAACTGACATCTCGGTGAGAAACCCGGGGTCCAAGATTGCCGACGTACAAAGTTTAAAACGCTCGAAGACCACGACAAATAGCTGGCACAGGACGGAAGCTTGCCACAAGCACATGAACAGACTGTACTACCACCTTGTTTAGGGGCAACAACACAGAAAAACGGCTGGAGGTTCCAATTTGCCTCAGGTAAAACAGAGACCAAGCCGAAATCTCTCTCAGGTGGGCAGAGCAGTCGGTGGTCGACCTTCAACCGACCTAGGTCCGTGCCAGCTATCACAGCAGGGGGGGGGGGGGGGGGGAGATACTTCCAACTCAAAGTTCTTCGACACTAACGATAACCTCTGAGTTTAGACTTCCGCCCCGATGATTTGACTTCCTATAAATTGGGCTCAAGAGGATACAAGAACGAACTCCGGAAAAGTTTTTCAGTAGCGATACGTAAACTTTTCCGAAACAACCAGAGATCAAGACTGAAGTCTTCTGGGTTGCATCGCCCTGATGATGGAGGCAACAAGGACCTCTGAAACACTGGTAAACTTCTACCAGATTACGGGGCGCTCAAAACTTGAATCACGTACAAGCTGAACTAACCTGCTTAGTGTCACACACACCTCTGATCATCATCTAATTTCGCGTTCTTCTGTGAAAGAACCAATGGAAAAAGCTGGAAACGTGTAAGCCACTATACGAGGTGCGATCGGAAAGTTTCAAGACTGCGCGTATAAAAAAATCTGAATGATAAAAATGGACAAGAGTCAATGCCGTCAGATAGAAGGATATTGCCATAACGTAGCGATCGCTCATTCATAAAGGACTCCATATCACAGCAATATTTAACATAACGAGCAAAGAACCGAAGTCAGTAGACACATTCGCTCTGGAGGCCGGCATCCTTAAATTCGTTACACGCCTCGAAGTTCTACGGACTGCAGTGAATCGGTGAGGCCCCCCGAAAACTTCCCAGTGCTTCTTCACCTGGGAAGATCTAGCAAATCTTCCGCAGGCTATAAAAGGAAAAAAAAAAAAAAAACCTGGAACTTTAATTTCATTCAGATTTATAACAGAACTCTACGAATACGACACACATTAAGTCTATGCATTCATAATTAAAACAGGTAGCATTGCTTCTAGTGCCCGCCGGCTTATACAAGCAGATCGGTAAACGGCGAAGCAGTTTAAGTCAGGTGCCTTAACACACGCACTAACACGATTCATTCAACAACAGACGACTTTTAACAAATCCCCCGCCTTATGATTCAGTGGCGAAGTTACATAAGGAATTTTTAACGGGAACTCTCATAAAATTAGTCATCTAATCGTAAAATTTATTATCCGAAATGTAATTCAATTAATTCAATTCAATTAATTTATTTACGTGTTTGCCAACAGCAAGAAGCCAATAACAGGCAAACACTGATAATATATACAATAATAGTGAAATAATAATGGATAATATTACACAAACGGATTAACTAAACTTATACATGTACAGTATTAAATATAACTGCCAAGTACAGGCAAACCCAAAATAGAAACAATATTAACACAGAGCAAAAAATGAAGAAATATAAATAAAAACAAATAATCCACCTAGGGAACACTAATATAATTGTAAAACTTTAAAAAATATAAAAAGACAGATAACGAAGCTAGATCATTTCCCTTGTTGAGAACGTTCGCTCAAGGGAGACAATGTTTATGCTAAATACGTCCAAAGATTTACATACGTCATTTGCAGCGATGACGCACCTGGCTGAAGGACTATGTAACAAGTGATAAAGTTTTCGTCCAAATCTAACACAGAGACACGTAAAGGGCATTCGAAAAAAAAAACCCTCATACAGAAGCAGAGTGTAACTTACAGAAAATAATTGAATTAATTAACACGGACTCTGTGTGACATTAAAGACGCAAAATATCTGAGGCTATCCTGAGTAAATGAGCGACTACAAGCTTCCTCAGTGCCAATGATGTCGTAATAAACTTACTCTAAAGCGTTATTATCACAACACTCCAAACAAAATCCACGTCCTTAGAGCAAAGGAAAAAGTTAAGATTGTGGGCGAGCAGTCATTTGGGTTGACATACAAAAGATATTTTTTTTTACCACGGATGCGTGCAATCACAACATAGCATTCGTGGGAAGAGGAGAGATAGAATTTTCAGCAAGCGACGTAGCTACAAAGAAAAATCACGATTTTAACTTCGTACTTCCCCGCGGCAGATGCCCTGGGGACGACGGGTTCATACCCTCTTATTTACTTTCACGAAGACCAGCCGTACAACAATAGGACAAGAGCAGCCTCTGGCTACAGCTGAAGCGCCTGTGGTTCTCGCAACTTATTCTTCAGTGCTGTAATTTGGGTTGCAAACTTGCAGGTGTTCAAAGAGAAAAAAGGAAACCCACAATGAAGCAAATCGATAATAGTTTAATCCACATTTCGTAATTCTTTTTTTTCTTTTAGAAATGATGTATTCATATCTGCACGTGATATGAAGATGGATGTCTTCTGGGTTGTTGCGCCGCGTAGCCTGATAGAAATTTACCGACGTTTCAGAGGTACTCGCTAACTCCTTCATCAGGGTGGAACAACCCAGAAGACTTCCATCGTCATATTCGTCGCCGTCTAAAACTGAAATCAGACCTGGAGGGAGATCACCTACACGTAGATACATGGATAATATTAAAATTAATTTTAATGAAACTGGGCGGGGGATTCGTCTGCCTCAGGATACGGCCCATTGACGAGTTCTACAATGAAAGGTGGGGATTTCTTTAAGTAGCCGAACGATAAAGAAATCTGTACCTTGACTTAAGTTAAGTAAGGGACAAAGGTTGTGGGCGGGAAACAACGGGAAAAAGACAGCGGCAATGTCCTATTTCCATTAGAAACAGCTTCCTGGATGAATAGCCGGACTCACGTCAGACATGTTATAACGACTCCTGTGAGACGCCATACCGCAATGCACTAGCAAATGGAGTATCGTAATTTCCATTGCAAAAGACTCTTTGTACAGCGCCGTCATCTGGAAAACCACATTTCATTCAATCTTATCAAACTATATTATCATATTTATTTACTTCGATTAATTTATCCTTCAAGGATTAACATGATACCAGCGATTTTTAAAAATTTATACCACATACAAAGGCAAACGCGGGCTTTGCCCAGGTCATCAGACGCCAGTGCACAGTTATAATCTGCGAATGAACGACCCTTACAGCGTGTGCCAACAATTATCTGACGCATAATTACATTTCCATTATCACGTTCCACTTGTGGAGATACGACAGGCGCTCATCTCAAGTGAAACAATGACCAAGCACTCCAACTATTCAGCATTTTTTCAGACTGAAATCAACCAAACAACGTAGAGGTTAACAGACCTAATAACCAACCAGCCAAACGACAGAGAAACCAATGCTAATAGCAGAACACAAAGGCCCGCCACTGGACACGATCCGGAGGTACAGAAATTCACCTCCGAAGCTGACATCGTAACCTCCAAAAAGTCTTCGGGCTTACAAATACAGGGTGAGTCACAGAAGACAGCCATCTTTGTACTCACAGAAGTCACAAAACACCAGATCCTAGGAACTCGGCACCCAGGAAAGTTAAAAATGATTCTTGAACTCTTCAGAAAAAGGGTACGAGCCACGGCACGAAGGCGTATTGGGGAGCGGAGGTAATGCTTCACACATTGACCTCGACACTAGATGACGTGGACAGTCAGCTACACGCTCCGACCGCGTTACTTCCAGGACATGGAACTCCGGCACCAACCGAATAGTAGACTGGGCAGGACTCACAGCCTGCCTGAAAGTGGGGGGAATAGGGAAAATCTTACCCGTGCCGGGAATCGAACCCCAGTTGCACAGCACGTGGTCAGTTACTTAGAGCTACCCCACAAACGAATAAATAAAACCAGATATCATCGTACTTCTAAAACGCAATTCCGGTTGGATTCGAACTTTAGGGCAAAGTCAAATTTCACACTTTCAACACCGACAGCAGCGAACGCCGTACCTAAGTCAGCTCAGACACAATTAATCCTTCAAGCTGTGAACGGATGCAAATAAAACAACAAATGAAATGACGAGACCCCTACCTGGTTTATCAACTGTGACCCACGGTTGCCACACCCTGGGTGCCGGTTGCGTTGGCATTCTGACAACCAATGTATCCATGACGCTACCGAATTATTCTTTCAAATTAGAACAGCTTGAGAAACTCGGTCAGCAAACTTCTTCCAGTCTCGTTGCGTCTACGTCGTGCGTTCGTCTTCAGAAGGCAAAACTATTGTTCACAGCTACAGAGATCTCTTCTGACGGCTTACGTGTTGCTGTGTTTATCTTCCACGACCACAAATATTATTCTTTTCGTTTCATTCGGACATATAAAACCAGTTCTTAACACAATACAGATCTGGCCATACTCATGGCTTCTCTTCACATACTGACTTTAACTTGCAAGTTGAATCTTAAACGCGAAACTTACTTTAGACACAAACGCAAAGCAAATCTTCACTCACGGTAAAACTTCAGAGCAACGAAACTACAGGAATCAAAATCGGATCACTGTAACAAGTCCGCTAGAGTTCTCGTGTTTACGATCTAACAGAATCATGCATCGACTAAAGTTGGAAAATATTCTTCCCTCGAGTCTCCTTCATTCACGATTTGGCTGGGTTGGCTTAGCCGCAGTCCTGCCCGGAGGCACTTCGGTCGGGGCTCATTTCAAACACGAACCTGAACAAAAAATAAACTACACCTTAGGCAGTTCACCTCGGCGTCTTCCAGACTGATCTGTAGTAGCAAGCGCGTAAAAAGACGAGGCCTCAGGTAAGAAATTGAAACGTGGAAATACGATCGGCCAGCACAAAACGTATAACAACCACTGACTGTCTTATTTTTCACGTTAACGCACATCAACAAACCATCCAGTTTCGTATCTTAAATGCTCGAAAGTAATCAGTAAACAGAGCCCGTAAGTAAACTCCGACCTTCCGGGAAAATGAAGATTTGTTTTCAATCAGTTTCCTTTCGCCTGTCACGAACAATAAAGCCTCCCAATGAATGAAACTATCGAATGCTATGGCTCTGGACTAAGGTTTCTTCAGAAGGCATCCAAGCTGATCAGACAGGCCACTCCCGACACCTAGAGGATGCTTGGCGGTAGATAATCTCTACCTCTCCCCTCCCCCCACATACATACTCCGCCCGCCCCTTCTCATAACCCACAACCACCCTCAAAAGTGAGCACATTTTTTTCTCTAAAGAATCTTGTAACAAAAACGTCAGGTTTCGTAATTAAAATAACAAAGCACAAATCAACTCCACAGCTCTGAGAGTCTGGATGACGATTCGATTAACTTTTAAACAAGTAAAAAACTGTTCGCAAGGCGCAATGATTTTGGTGCGTTCGTCACAATTTGATGATATCTGGCTTCTGGGAATGGACCGGGAATTTCCCCCCCCCCCACACACACACACGTAAGAAAGCGCTTTGTAGGTGTTCACGCGGACTGAATGTTATTGCTGACAAATCTTAACCAGAACTGGAACGTGCTGACAAATCTTATTAAAACTCCCCATTATAATAACATTTCGTGAGAATCCGTTCGCTCGCTTCTAACACACGGACGAGGGCCAGCTTTACGTCCAGAGCGCTTTGCCCCCCGGGGACAACGCTCCCGATTCTCACCGGACAGGAGGCGAAAACAGAAATCACTGCCCCCGTCAGACGCGGGTCCTCCGAACCGAGCAAGGGCCGATTTTCCACTGCCACGCGGCGACTTGGTGATGGGGAAATTGTGAAAACGTGACACGATGATGTTTAAACGCACAGGGGATTTTCACCTGAGGTCCACAGACGTAGTCGCCAACTGCATGCTTGCTGAATGAACATGATAACAGAGGTGACTACTAAGTCCTTTGTTGACGTAATCACTTTCACCTCTTTAACTTAATAAACCCAAAAAGTTTAAAAATCGCGGTCTGCTTGAGTATGGTTGAACACCAACCCTCCATGAAGAGTGTGGCTTGACGTTCCGACCGCTTTTAGTTTTGTCCAACGAATTACCTGTTCCCGTAAGCAACAAACAAAGAATTTAATTCCGAGAGACTACAGAGAACAGATTGAACAATGCAGGCGAGTTACACAAATAGACTGTCGTCTGGTAATCAACATCGCCGAACAAGATTAACTCTCCACAAATAGAAACTGATAACTCACAAACCGTGGACTGTCCGACCTTGAGACTCGCAGACCTTAACCCTCTGAAGAACTAAGCTAATCTGAACAATGTTTAAAATTTAAGTTCTTACCTCAGAGGACGCACAAAGATTAATTATCTAACGCTGTTTGGAGAAATAATCTCTGTTTATTCTGAAAATCACATGAAATCAATCCATAACAAATTGCGTGGGCATTACGTAAGTGACTCTGAGGTGGTGCATGATATTATCTGTTGTCTGTCTGTCTGTCAGCAGAATTTATCCTACGGGAAACCTGGGCAACCCGCATGACCAGAGGTCGGAACAATGTTGTGCAGCAAGAATGACCTGGAGTGCAACAATATCATCGAAAACACAAGTGCATAAATGGCCCAAGGCATTGGATGACGTAAGAGCAAGAACGACCTAAGGTATAAACACTTATTTCAGAACACGTTAGTGAAACAATGACCTATGCGATTCGGCTTGAAAAACACTTCTGGAACGATAATTCACTCCGAGGAGTACACTTTCCAATCATGTCTTCTGTAGTGTAGGTACAGACCATACGATGGAACCCGAAAGAACACTGTAGTCTTCATTGGTACGTAAGATCCACTTCAATCTTAACTCTCCTGTTCCTTTCAAGTTTTGTGACTAAGATTTTGTATGAGATTGTTTATACACGTGAGTAAGGTCCAGTACACGTTACAACGTTAAGCAACAGAGACAAATTAGTTATTTACAAGACACTTAGTCCGTACCCCCATTCCAAAGACGACCACAAGAAGTGTCTCTTGTCAATTACACACGGCTGGATTAAAAATGCCAACACTGCATCAAGAACAATGGCACGTTAAGCCCACATGCCCGATACGTGATACCGAAACATCTCTACATTCTGTCGACGAATGAATTATCCCTTCATTTAGAGTAATTTACCCAATTCTGCTGAATATTCAAACACGAATCCACGCCAACAGGACAACAGTGGTTTAAGTACTAGGGCATAATTCTTTCGTAAAATCTATGTAATCATCATATTTTATCCTTCGACTAATCTTCAAACGCAAGCTATTTCATTAAACTTCGTTGCATTTTATCACCTTCCAGTCAAAGTTGGGTTAAAAACGAAGCAGTTTATATCCCGAAGTTACACGCGGCATGCACTGGACGATGTGACGTCACAAGCATTCAAAACACTTATCACTTCCATGAAAGGAAGTGGTATTAATCCCAGCGTCTTCAGTGCAATGCACGCAGTAACGACAAACACAATCAGCCAATTTGTTTTAAATGCAGTTGTTTATGTCTGTCACATTCAGCCACTGAACTGGAACACTGTCAATGCGGTTCAGATACTCAGTGGCTAGCAGTTATTACCACAGTCCATGGCACATTCAATAAACAGACCGGATTTATCCCCCACTGCACGAAGACCCGTTTAAATATGATTTTATTTAATCGAATTCCTTGGAATTAACTTTCAGGTAGCACCCAACCCAGAGGTTGTTGGAAGATCCATCAACTCCATCTCTCCGCCTACAAAATATAAATGTGCGAAAAGCGTATCCATTACATATTCATCCTGAAGATGACACCTCAAATGTTTGCCGAAACGTTAGATAATTTTCAAAAATCAAGGCGGCTCATCCCCTAAAGCCCAGACTTCGCATTAAAATTCAACCGCAAAAATCTAAGAAGAATTCTTTCTCGCACTTGCGGTTCCCAGTACTGTCTTCTTGCGACACCAACAACGCCCCGGAGTCTCCAGATGAATAACTCACGAGGTAGTTTGTACGTATCCACACGAAACACTGATACCGGCAGAATACAAGGCAAAGAATCGTGGAGGAATTTCTGTACGTACCCTAAAAGGAGAAGCTCAGGCGGTTAGCATGCAGCAAACCGTTGGGGTCGCATCCCCTATAAGGGCAACAGCTGGTGTATGCAACCCACCCACCATTGTCTCCGCGGCATAATGTTTAATGACGCTGCGTCTCCACGCGTCGTTCTGCATGCAAGTACCATCTCATGTGACTGTAAGGGCTGACGAGATGAGTTCGTGGTTATGACCTGGGTGAAATATGACTGAAACAACTGCAGTAAACAGACGTTACCTTGCCTTCGAATTAACTCCACGGAGAACAATCATTCTTAAACAAGCGGACAGCAATTCCGCTGACCAATAAATTGACCGCCTCCAATGGAACACGAAGGTTAATTCCGTGGACAAAAGCGACACCACTGGACCCACCAGACTGCTCTGAGTTTTAAATTTAATGACGTCCAGCAGAAGACACAAGCGTCTTTGGATTGGATTACTTCGATTTATATTAAAGTTGATATCAGGACAGGAGAATGGACAACTTTTAAAACGCTGTCACTTAGGGAATTTTCCGGCAGTGAAATCCATTCCGAATCCTCATATAATAAAACTAATTTTAATATTATCCTCCCATGTACGTGTACACTCAGGTTTTCTCACCAAGTTCTGCGACTAAAATCCCGTATGCTACATGTACTGCCCATCTCGTACATTTCAATTTGACCGCGTTAATAATAACTTACATCTAGCGAAATAGATCTCTCCATCTTCCTGTTACTTCAAATACTTTACGTTAATACATAAAAGGAGGCGCACGACTTTCGTTCTTGAACAAACTGTTCTGTTCTACGTCACATTTCGTGATTTCCCCTCTGGAAACCCCCCCCCCCCCACCTCCAATCACGTTCCAGTCATGTCCACTAAATATGTGTAAAGACTGCAGAAAAACTCCGATCAATCAACACAAGTGCATGTAGTGCGGGTCACATGCGATCCCGTCAGGCGTAACAAGTGCAATCAGCACCCGGGCCTAATCCAATCACACGGCTTGTGGACGGCAACGTCAAAGCTAGACGTCGATCGCCCATGCACTGCGCATGCTCGAAAGCATTTACACTCGAAAATAACTTCGCCTTGCAAGCCGATTTTAAAAGAAGAACGTTATAATTTTCCGAAATCGCCAATCGTATGCGCGAGATCTGAGATTCTCACGGCGATGAAGATGGAGGCAGTATGTTTCTCCGATAAAAATTACGTAAGCAGCAGAGAGCGAGAAATTCGATCAGCGATTAGGCCTTACGACTTCTGACCACTCACCCCATCTAGTGTCGAGGTCAAGAACGAACAGTACATATACCACCTCTCCCCCCGAGGGTCTCCATGGCAGCTTTACTTTAATAATACATTAAAAGCCATTCAGATTTTTAGTGTGCACGCGTGCAAACGACTTTGCAGTGCCACAACGCATTTCAGTTGCGCAGGAATCCGAACTTTTTGACGTCAAA